TTCGATGGCCTGGGCGACATTAGTCTTCTCTTCGGAATCCTTCACCATGTTCTTGTGGACAGTGGCCAAAAGAAGCGTATAACGCTGAATTCGGGTGATTGGAGCCTTAAGGAAGGTGTCCCAACTGAGTCGGTTCGATAGTTTGTGTTCTCGCACCTGGTTCAAGAACTGTTTAAAGTGCGGGTTGCGTTCGGCCTCCTTACGCACAAGGTAATTAGCAGTGGGGAAGGTCGCGGCATAGTCAATGTAAACGGTCTTCGCCTTGCGAATCCACTCTCTGAAAATGTCACTGAACCCAGTAATGAAGGGGCCCTGCTCCTTTTGACGGTACTTGAGCTGTGCCAATAGGAAGTCCTCGTTGACCTTTTTCACTGCATCAACCTTGCCAAAGACATCCAACAGGAACTTGGGAAGTCGTTTGGTCGGGATGATTGATGGGTTCATGCCAGCCAATTGGTCACGATAGAGTTCTCGCAGGACATCCAGTTGCCCAATGTAGGAGTCTTCTGTGGTGACAATCTCGTGCAAATTGTTCTGCCGATCAACTTCTTTCCTGGGATGAGACTCCCATACCTCTTTAGGTACCTTGTAGAAGGTCACCCAGTCCTCGGCCTTCTTTTGAGGTGCCATCATCTGCGCTTTGAGGTTGACCTTCTTCAGCGTTCGCATACAATGATGCGAGTAGCACCGACCAAAGCTATCGGTATCCTCGATGTGCATCTCCTGCAAATGAAGCTTGGCAGAGTAACATCCGGTACCAGTGATTTGGAACAGGACACCAGAAAGGCCACCAGAGCCGAACTTGACCCATTCCTCTTCCTTGACCAGCGCGCCTCCTTCGAGCATACCGCTGACAACACGAGCAGCCAATGTTTCGGCATCAGCGATGTTCATTGTGGGCACCTTGTGAGTGAACAATGCCACAATAGCGTCGGCAATTGCTTGCTCCTTGAGATCGGTTTCATCCTCGCTCAGGTCGCGAATCCAGGACAGAATGGAGCTCAAAGCCCAAGGCTCGCTACACTTCTTGAATTGCTCCGAGGACAGCTTGGCAGGGTGGAACCTCTTGCGGCGACCAGCCGGGATGCTTGGCAAATCCAATGTGACGGCGGCCGCTGCCGCTTCAGCCGGATCTATATGAGGGAGTTCCTTCTGTCCCAGTTGCAACATGAGCTCGTGCTGCTGCTGCCTGTACCTAACCCGATCCGCATCGGTTTTCGACCTGATGGGCGGATCGGAACGAGGTCCAATAGGAGTCGATAAAGATGACGACCGCGGGACTTGGGATGGGCTGAGCAGAGCATCGTCATATGAGTCTGCAGAAGCTGGCAAGGAAGCGTTGTTGTTATACTGGGCATAGCTATTCAATTCCTCTTGTTCATGGTGATTGTAAGTACCGGCAGGCATCAGATGTGAGACAAGATCAACATTGCCAGCCGGTTCAACAGGTGCAGGTGGAAGTGGACGCATTCCAGGGTGGAAAAAGAGATCTTCATGGGCGGCTCGGTGGGGACTTTCATCGTCGGATTGATATGCAGAATGAGGCTGGTCATATGGTGATTCTCCCTCATCGCCATAGTCAAAGCTCATCCGACGACCATAGGCGTCGGGTGCCGATAGACCACCTGTACCACCCGCATCCACCCTGGCGTCGGGGTTGGGAGGCAGATGATGGAGGCGGTTGGCATACTCATATGCGATAGGGGGATGTTCGTATTCATCATAATATTCCCCACGCTCATCAGGGGACACATTGGAGCTTCTGAATGAACCAGATGTGCCTGTTAATCTATCGGCGGGATCCGAGTACTCCTCAGCAGTGTAAGCAGGCTCTTCGCCGTAGTGCAAGTTTCCAGAATAACCCCCCTCATACAATGCAAGGTCATGGCCGCTGAATTCCTGGTCTTGGTGGGGATCGGGATGTGGTGAAGGGCCTCTCGGAGAAATGTTGGAGCCACGAGAGCTGAGAACTGAGGCATTTGTCTCGCGTCGCATCCGCTCTTCTAGACGCTCACGGCCACGCTCCTCACGTGCCCTATCTTCTTCGTCTGCCATTTGCATCATAGCTAGCCCAGCTGCAGCCTCAGCATCACTTTCGTCACTGTAGGCGTCGTAATTGACGTAGTTCCCTGTGCCTGTGTCCATGTTTCCATTGGTGTGTGTATGTTGCTCATCGGGCGACAAGCGAAGGCGCGAACCGGCGCTTTGGTGGGATGCTCGTGAACTGTGACGCCGGGCAAAATTCTGGGGGTCCACTGCCGCTTCAACCTCTTTCATCAAATCTTCATATGCCACAGGTGGATCTGAAGGTAAGCGGTTGTCATCTGTTTCAGTTTCTGCGTCAACTGGCGGCCCAGGGAGAGGTCGCGATTGAGGGTGTCGAGTCAAGGTGTCGGTTCGTCTCGGTGGTATTTGAGGCAAATCTGGCTGCATCGGAGGGTCTGGCAGGGCCCGCCCTGCCCCAGCATGAGACACACTCGGCCGTTTGCCGTACAGACCATTTCCTTGGCTCTGATGAACCGGTGGCTCCGGAGGCAGATCACCAAAAGAGGCGCCGGTATTCGATGGGTTATATTGGGGAGATTGTGAATCATACGCGGATCCTTGTGTGCCATAGTAAGGCCGCGATGAAGGTGGGGGCATAGTCATTGTGCCTGGCGAGTTCGATGGCACATACGAAGGCGAAGGGATAGGTGACATGGCTTGATATGGAGACGGACGTCCTCCATACGGGTGATCAGGGCCCCTTGGCGGTGGCAGCGGTGGTTGTTGCGAGGAAAAGCCGTAGGATTGTGGGGTCGGTGGTGTTTGTCCGTAGTGCGAAGCTGTGCTCTGCCTTCTTGGTAGAACCGGAGAGCTCAAGCCCGAGAGGTTGGCAGACTGATATGCCGCAGGGTTATACGGTTGATGACCTGAAGCCGGAGTCGCATAGGAGACATTGTTTGAGCCGTTGTAGCTCAAGGGGTTGTAGGCGAGGACCGGTTGGGATTGTGTGTGCGGGAGGCCGTATTGCTGGGGGTTATAAGCTGGCTGGTTCGTTGACGTCCCGGAGTACTGGTATTGGTAAGACATGGTGGAGGTTTGCGAAGACGCGCGACTGGGAGACATGCGCGACATGGCATCTGATGAAGTGCGCGAATATCTGGAGTCCCTGTCGTCGTCAAAGACACCCTGCGGGGCGTTGTAGCCGCTTTGTGCCGCATACTGTGCGTTTCCATCGGCCACTCGTGCATTCTGGGCTTGGGCCGAGTTGAAGAACCCCGAATCATCCCCGGCATTGTAACTTGGCATCCTTCGAGGCAGATGTTGATTCGGCGCGGGGTTTTGCTGAGACGAGTAGCTCTCGTAGCGACCTGCTACCGGTTGAGCGGGCGCCTGGGCATTCGTGGATTGGCCATAGTATGCCTGCTGTCCATTCGGATATTGTGCCATGGCTTCGGAGGGGCGAGAGACCGACCCGATGTTGACTAGACTGGACTTGACACGCCCACGGTTGCGCGAGGGGCTCTATTGCGGGATTCGTGTGGCTCAGGCGACCTTAGGGCGAGCAACTGGAAAAACGAGCGACTGGGAGGGTAACTGATTCGAATGAGGGGGACCACGCGGGCAGATGACAAGCCGGGGAGCTGGCTCTAGGCATCCCCACACAGTAGTAAACCGTGAAGCGTAGTCTGGAGTATAAGAAGCCAAGTCCAGCACGAGTGTGGAGGGTGGGTGGTGGAGGTGATGTTGAGTTGGGGGCTCAGCTGTGCCCACGCTAGTCGAGGTACCAGGGACTTGCGTGCCAGTTGTTCCCCACCGCCAACGGGATGTACCACTACCTCCTTGAACGACGCTGACAATATGCGACTTTGACGTGTCTGCAGCTCCAGGGTTTAAATATTAACGTCCATATATACATATGTCATTGTAAATCTGTCTAGCTGCGCCGTTACTGCCGTTACTACGGTCACTATTATTATTGATTGGTATTAATTCCCCGGAGAAAAATAGGGGTCCAGATTACTACATCGCCCGACTTTGGAGATGTTAATTTTTTTGATATTATAAAAACCTTTTCGAGATAGCATCCAGATGTCTTTCTTAGGTACTTAGTTACACATATCCTGGACGTAGATTGTGGAAGAACCCTGTTATGAAGTCGCAAGGCTGAAAGGGAGGCTGAGCCGCGCCCCACAAAAGTTTACAGGGTGCACATTGTGCATTATAGGTCAAATATAGCTCTTTGAACTCGAGACTGCAAAGGCATTGTTTTATTTTCCTCCTTACATGGATGTCTGTCGGAATTTCATGCAGAAAAATGGGGTTCTGAGGCAAAGTACATATATAGGGAATGGACGCGACATAAAAAGTCTGGTTCAAGTCAAGAATAAAACGGAAGCCTCGGGCTTTCCCAAGGCTTTACAGCAAGAGAGGGTGGCTCTTCTTTGTACAGCATTCAAGCCGATGGCTAAGGTAGAATTCCTCGTGGCCCAACGGATCTAAACTACGTGGGCTGCCGAATATGCATTTTGATCAGACTCGCATCATCAAGTTGTCCTCTTGATAGCAAGCTCTACATTATTTGTAAAGGATAATCTTGTAATCTCAATATGTCTGATAGGATTCAAGAGCCTGTTCATCATTGCTCGAAAGTATTCCGGAATGCGGAAATTGGAAATGACCAGTATAAAATGAGATTTAGAGCAATAGAGTATATAGAGCACAGGGAACATCCAGCGAGGCCATGTCATAAAAAGCCTCGACCTGGAAAAGCCACAAAGCACCTCATAGTGACCAGCATAACAAAACTTATACAGCAATATGGTATATAGCAAAAAAGCAAAATTCTGGACGAACAGATAAAAGAAACGAAAAAGCGGCAGATCGCCGCTGAATGGTCAGAGATCGGTTCTAGCAAAATAATCTAGATATAACGCGCAGTGTGTTAGCAGACCACATAGAAAAAGCGAGGCGTCACTGGAAATGTGACCCAAAGTAGGGTAGTCATAAATTTGGCATCACTTTCCATCGTAAATCTGCTCAGGTGTCAAATAAAACTCGCCCTTCTTGTATTCTCGAGCATCGACATGTTCGGGCTTGACATATCTCGCAGTCAAAGCAAACCGCAGCTTGTTCTCAGGTGCCACGGCGTGCTGGAAGGATCATGTTAACGTTGAAGGCAATCGGGGATAGAATAAGCCACACACCTCATAGTACTTCTGGAGCTTCTCTCCATGCATGACTACCAGATCGCCATGGTGAAGCTCCATCTTGATTGTGGCTGGTGCCTCTTTTCCCTTGCGGCCCTTCAAGAGAGCGCGACGAGAGGCATCATACTCATGTTGTGAGATATCTCCATCATGGAGTTCTTTTTTGAGGGTCTTGCGCTCATCTTCAAACATGCAATCTTTCAGGACAGGATCGTCTTGCAGAAGGGTACCAATCGATTTGGTATCGGCCTTTCGAGTAGAGCCATTGAAGTATTTGTACTTCATGCGGATGAGCATGGTTGCCTTTGCCCCGAGAGATAAGGTGGCAATGCTTGGGCCCAATGAAGATTCGCCGTCGTCGTGAAACTTGAAAAAGAGATTAGTGGACCTAATACCAGCTCCATGTGTTGTGGCTTACCCCTATCTTCATATTTTCGAAATAGCCAAGCGTCAGTAGCTCATTTGGAGGTAGGTACTTATCCCCAGCAGAAACTACAGCATTCTCTGTCGCCCAGGACAAGCGACCTAGAGCTCGGAGCATGTCCTCAGGTGCTTCATCAAAGCCCTTGGAATCGACAGACACAATGTATTTGTAGGGCATGCCCTGTCATCATTAGATCTGATCTAATTGAAAGGAATATTTCGGGCTCGGAAAATATCAGCTTACATAGTTAACAGCAAAGTGAGAAGTCAGGGTGCCAGCAACTGTATCATAGTAAGCAAACAATGCGATAGTTGTGTATGTTTGGCCAGCTTACCTAGACTTGACTGGAGGCGGAATCTCTTCAAACCGAGATCGCCACGTTGAAGATTCACGAAAAGATCATCGGGCCCATTCTCGCGGCTGTTTATGGCTCTGTTAGACACGTAGTGGGTGATAGAGCCGACACCGTCAATTGTGTAAGTCAATTTCCGATACGGAAACATGGAATTGTCATCAATAGCTGGGAGCTTGAACTTTTTGTCGAAAAGAATCGCTCGCTTGACAGGAGCCAGCTCAAAGTGATTGAGGACAACACGAAGAGACACCGGGTTCATGTGCATGAACTTTTGGAATGGACATTTCTTGCTACATTCCTCAGCATTGGTAGAGTCATCATCACACTTCCAGCCTTGCCAGAAAGTTCGACGGATGCATTTGAAACATTCAGGGCACACAATTCCCTTCCATGCAATCCGAGATGTGCTGACATCTGGGGCATTCTCATCTATCGTTGATAGAAGGTCCGGTACAAGACTGTAGTGAGGCTGCACTGCGGGGTCTGGCCGATGGCGAAAGAACAAGAAATCAGGGTTGAAGGTGAGCTCACCGGGAGGGGGAGCGTCATCAATCTTCCAAAATTCGTCACATCCAGGGTTCAGACACATCCATCCTTCGTTATACAGCAAAAGGCTGTCCTTGGAGCAGTTCTGGCACGCGAGGGATGCCGGATTGGTCTCGAAATCTCGTTCCTCAAGAGTCGCCAGAGCAGAGGAGTCTTTTAGTGCCCACCAGCTCTTCTCACAGAGCCTCAGCTTTTCAAACCGGACCTTGACCCCGTGTTTCTGACCAATCTTCTCAAACCAGACATTGGTAACGCGGAACCAGTCCATGATATTATACCGATGGGGAAGTTCTCGATTGAGAATCTTGTTTTTGCTGCCTGTGATGATCAACAACAGTAAGCGCAAAGCAAAATTTGGTAACTTACCGATGACAAGGCCAACAGCAAGCTTTGAATCCATGCTACCGATGATACTTTGCACAATAGCATTCTCCGGGTCTTGGTTTTTTTCGAGGGTCAGATTTCCCTCCGAGTCCTTGGTGCAGCATCCACCACTGATACAATCAACTGTTAGGTTTTGTAAGAAAAGAGCACGCAGCACTGATCTTACATTCTCGTAATGATGACCTCGTCATCGATATAGGTGCGAGATCCACAGTCGGCATCAATCAGAAACCCATAGCAGAAGCCTTCGCTGTGGTACATGGCGCCTTGGGTGCAGCGAAACCAAGGAATTGCATCGCAGAGTTGCTGACGACCCTGGGTGAGTGTAAGAATGCCAGTTCAATCGTATAAAAATAGTTTCAATACCTCTGACCAGGCCGGGGGAGTCCCATAAATTGGTTGAAGGAATTGGGCGCTGACAGCAGCTTCGAATCTGTCAGGTGAAACTGAAACTATCCGATGTCAGCCTTGTCTCCTCAAACGAAGATGACTGAAAGACCACGGGACAAAAAGGATCATTCCCACCTTTTACTGTCTCTTCTTTCTTTGATCTAGTGATGCGCCCTGTTCGTACAGGTCTTTCAGCCGCGGGGGCCCGCTTGACAGCAGCGCGAGAAACCATCATCAATGACCTGCTGCGAAATGATTGATAAAACGTCTCATATGTCAATTGGGCTATTCAGCATGTCAAAAGCAAAAAGCCTTGACGGAAACACTAGGTTCCGGTAGGGTTCTTCACCGTGGCGCTTCGGAGGGTGGATCTCTTGATGCAGCCAACGAACGACAGTCGTCGATCGAGTTCCCAGCTCCCGATTTCCAGATTCGGACTCCGCGAGGCGCAACAACTTCCAGAGAAAGGAATGCCTGGTTTACGAGGATGGAAATATATGAAAGGCAGCAATATTATTGATGGAGATGCTCTCCGTGATGCAAGTAGAAGTGAAAAAGCTAAGAATACATTTCGACGGGAAGAACCATCGGATTCATCACGGGATTATTCGTACTTCTTTCCTCCGCTGATTAATCCCTCGTCAGGAACCCGTCAGCTGGTATACTCCAGGGGTGAGGTACACTGAGCTAGTCTTGCAGTCTGTACCCTTTTTGCCTCGCTAGTGTGCAGAAATTTATAGTATTGAAAAGCGTTACCGACATAATGGCACGTAGTAAGCTGCACATGTAGGCGAATATCAAATCTTGAATATCAGGTCTTGAGTACTGTGCGTAGACTGTAATCGTACATCATATCGACTAAGCAACCAAGAAGTAGACTGTTTGTTCCTTGAGAATACTCTTAAAAGAGTCATGGTTGCAGACAAAAATACATTAGCGGGAAGAGATGTAGCCGGGGATACGTCGGTAAAAGCCCCCGTTACCAGGGGAAAGGGCGATGATCTGCATGCCAAGGCCACCTTAATTCTGAGCGGTCTTGTATCATTAATAATGGTGGGATATTGTGTATATTCTCATCCGTAGCGATCAATATTGTAGGGATTCAGCCATTACTTACTGTGCATTAGTTCTCGGCTTTAAGATTGCAGGGAAATACTGCGTTACCTCTCTGTTACGTGCATGAAAATCACGGTTACTTGCATAGCAGCTACAATAGAAGACTGGGATATAAACTATAGCACAGATTAGATGATCTCTATAAAAAGCAAAGAGAACAAGGGACAAAGTCAATTCGGTCCGTTCGGGACGAGAACTGCACAATCGCAATTCGTTCGGATATGTTGATGCCGCCGAAATACCGAGGCATATCTGGTCTTGGCAGTTTCAACGAGCTCGGAATAGTCGCAAATATCCACCGAGTTGGCCAATCCTCCACAGCTTAGGTCATTGGCGACGTGAACTCGGCCCAAACTATCCAACAGCGGTATGTCAGCGGTATATCCCAGCAAATCCGCCAAACCAAGGGGGAAGTGGAAGTGGGCGCGCGCCTCGCTGAGCTTGCCGAGTTCCCCGCACGGCTGCTCCACGCTTCCCCATAAATTGTTCCGTCGGCCGGTTTTTGAAGACAAACTCTCCCATTCTTCAAGTTAATAAGTTAGTTCTCTCTCCCCGTGCTATCTCAAACATTACTCACCATAGTTATCCTCCAGTTGACATAGCTTCCCTGCCATTCTTGAGTCTGTGTCGCTGCAACTCCGAGACCATCAACAATGGTCTTCTTGCCCTCAAAAGAGGCCGGTGAGCTAGGGCCGGTCCCCGACAGCATTCCAATCTGCGATTTCGTTCTTAACGAGAAATATGGACGAGTAGCACACGATAGCTCTCGGGATCCATTCACATGCGGCCTGACTGGAAAGTCATATTCGTCGCGCGAGGTCGTCGACTGCGTGGACCACTTGGCCCGTGGTCTCTCTAAAGAGCTTGGATGGGCACCGAATCAAGGGTCGGAATGGGATAAGACGCTGGCCGTCTTTACGCTCAACACGGTAGGTTAAACTGCAAATTCATGTTGAATAACAAACGAAAGCTTACATCTCTTCTGGCCAGATCGACTCCCTACCACTATTCTGGGCCGTTCACAGGTTAGGCGGTGTTCTCTCTCCTGCCAATGCATCTTATTCTGCCGCCGAGTTGACACATCAACTCCTCGATTCCAAGGCGAAAGCCCTAGTCACCTGTGTTCCTCTCCTGTCCATCTCGCTTGAGGCTGCAGCCAAAGCTGGTCTTCCAAAGAGCAGGATCTATCTATTTGATTTGCCCAAGCAACTCTTCGGTACCAACAAGGTTCCGACAGAGTTCAAGTCTGTTACAGAAATCGCCGAAGCCGGCAAGTCCTTGCCGCCAGTTGAGGAGCTGCGATGGAGTGCGGGAGAGGGTGCTCGTCGAACGGCATTTTTGTGCTACTCTAGTGGTACTTCTGGCTTGCCGGTAAGCAATGTGCACCAATTCTATACAGACACCGCTGACTGACGGCTACCTTGCAGAAAGGAGTGATGATCTCACACCGCAATGTGATCGCCAATGTCTTGCAGATGACAGCGTTTGAGAAGACCTACCGGGATAAGAAAGCGCCACCGGGAGGCGTATATACTGCGGTGTCCCTTGGTCTTCTTCCCCAGAGCCACATCTACGCTCTTGTGGTAATTTGCCATTCTGGCGCATACCGAGGAGACCAAACAATTGTCCTTCCCAAGTTTGAACTGAAGTCATACCTGTCCTCTATTGCGCATTTCAAAATCTCTTCGCTCTTCTTGGTAGGGTTTCCTTTTCCAGAGGGCAGACTTATGTATCATTCTCTGACCGCAACCTAGGTTCCCCCAATTATTATCCACATGCTGGGCGCCAAGGAAGAATGCTCCAAGTACGATCTGAGCTCCGTGGAGACTCTTTTCACCGGCGCCGCACCATTGGGACCGGAGACTGCAGCGGATTTCCTCAAGGTGTGGCCGAATGTTCTTATTCGGCAAGGTTATGGTAAGCCAAAGCCAATGCATGAAATGATACTGTGAATTGACTTTCTATTGTACAGGCTTGACGGAGACATGCACGGTCGTCAGCTCAACTCATCCTGACGATATCTTCCTCGGCTCCTCTGGCACCCTAGTTCCAGGATTTGAGGCACGAATTATGACACCAGAAGGCAAAGAAATCACAGAGTACAACACACCAGGCGAGCTCGTTGTCAGAAGTCCAAGTGTTGTCCTGGGCTATTTGAACAATGACAAGGCCACCAAGGAGACATTCGAGGATGGCTGGATGCGCACCGGAGACGAGGCCGTAATACGTCTCGGCCCCAAGGGCACAGAGCACGTATTCATCGTCGACCGGATTAAGGAATTGATCAAGGTCAAGGTTCGTGATACACTACAGTTTGAGACAGTCCCTTTGGAGCCAAGCTAATAAACGACGTCTTTAGGGTCTCCAAGTCGCCCCAGCCGAACTTGAAGCCCACCTGCTCGCCCACCCCGATGTTTCTGACTGCGCTGTTGTCGCCATCCCGGATGACCGTGCAGGAGAGGTTCCCAAAGCCGTTGTTGTCAAGGCACCTTCAGCAGGCTCGGACGAATCCGTCTCTCAAAAGCTTATCAAGCATGTCGAAGACCACAAGGCGCGTCACAAGTGGTTGAAGGGAGGCATCAGATTCGTGGATGCTATTCCCAAGAGCCCTAGTGGTAAGATTCTTCGCCGATTGATCCGTGACCAAGAAAAGGAGGCACGGAGAAAGGCAGGTGTTAAGCTTTAGCGCCTTTTGCAAGCATACAATAAAGTTAGAATCAATTGACTATAGTACCCATCTCATGTTATATACAACAGGGGTCATAAATTTGTATACAGCGCCACTGATAAAGTATTGGACAGTCTACAAGGCCTCGAAGTGAGTATACCGTTTCATGCATTGTTTTCGCCCTACATTGGCCTCTTTTTTTTCATCTCCTTTTTTGCCCGTTTTCGAGCGCGTCGGGTTGTAATCGTTTGAAAATTGGGGTCTAATCATATAGACTATATAAAGGTGGGGGGCGTGAAAGGATTTATGGCTTATGACTCTGGTATTGCTGTTGGATTAAGAACACGGTACTTGTGCCTTAGGTTTAATATACCAAGTCTACGTCCGTTTGGAGGATTTGAAGTAACCTTTAAAGAAAGCTTTGAATTTAAATGAAGTATTTGGTAAAGCTCGAATCCTCATCTTTGTCGTCCAAGACGCCTTCCTCGTTGCGCAACTCATGGTCAAACGCACCAGGATCAACTTGAAGGGCGTCTGCACGGGAAAATGGGTTGAATGGGGTTGGAGCATACAGCGCTGGGTCGATCAATGCCGCAAGATATCTCAAAAGTCTACATGAGCTTTAACAGAGTATTAGATAAAGCTTTATTGTGATAGTTAAGGCGACAAGCTTTGATATCTAACAGCCGGATCCATTGCCCCGATCAAGCTTAGCGTATGGCTCTACTAAAGTAGCAATGGGATGCGTGCGTGCAGCTCCATATGCTATTACTCATGTTGTTTGTCATTGGGCGAGGAAGATAATATCTCGGTGGTATGTCCTCACTGTGCAGGGACGTGGTCTCAATGGCAAACTGCTGCTGCACCGAGATGGATGTTCTCTGGAAACAGCGAACGCCGATAGATGACGCCAAGGCAATATACAGTTACAGTGTCTTTAGCAATGCTTCTTAAAATATCCTTGAGGACTTCTTTACTATCCAGGCTAAGTTAGATGTAGCCAAGAGAATCAGATTTCCTATACACAAGACACAGGTCCGATCTACCCCCAGAAAGCAAAGAGAACGCGACCTAGATGACAATAACAAAAGGCACGAGGCCATGATAGAGCCTGTCAACGCCTCGAAAATGGAGTCAAATACCATTCAAAATACCAGCCAAATCAAACGCCAGGCACCTTCCTGCCCAACACCGTCGTCCAGCCCCAGAACCTGGCACAGGCACCGAGCCCATGCAAGCAACAGGCGCGAAGACAATGCCGAAGATCGAAGGAAAACAGCACGAGAAATATCGTGCGTATGTACATGCATCATATCGTATCAACCCAAAGGTTCTCCAGGCTTATGCCCGACCCATCTGGAAAGCTCCGGGGGTCGTGTTGTAGCCAGCTCCGTGATGTTGAGGGGTGTGGGCGCCGGTTCCGTGAGACCCTGTGTTGGGAGTGCTGGGAGTGCCGCCGGAATAGATGGTGGCTCCGTTCAAGTTCGGGGTTTGCTGGGCCATATTGTAGGCCATTGCGGGCATCTGCCCGTTGAGACCCCAGATCTGGCCGGAGTATTTGCTGTCATCGATCGCGCCGCCGAAAATGAGTTGGCGAGTCTTCCAGTAAATCTCGCCCGTCACGAGGGAGTCGGACCCAGCCTGGTGAGCGATTCCAACGCGCTTAACACCGAGTTCATCGGCAATGTCTTGCAGGCCAGATTTCTGTCCGAGGTTGGTGAGGATCTGTGCCGCAGCGGGTGTGAGAGGAGAGCCGTTGACTGCTTGGTTGCGTCCGGCGTGCTTCATGAGGTACTTGATGTCGTATAGAGAGGGGAAGAAGATGGTGAGCAGCTTGTGGAATTCCTCCTCATTCTCGGGGAGCTGAGAGCAGAGCATGATCTTCATCAAATAGCCAAAGTCGTATCCAGAGTGGAAAGAAACCCAGTGAACATCATCCAGAAGCACCAGCCCAGAGCTGATCAGCAGAGCACCGAATTCAAAAGGATCAATTCCGTTCTTCTCGTGCATGGCGAAATCGATTCCGGACTTTGCGAGCATTGCTGTTGATTCTTGAGCGTACATGTCTCCTTCTAGCGAGAACCGGAAATTGAACTGCCATGTGCAAGGTGCGGGCATCATTGCATTGCCGTAGGGTTGTCCATTGGCATCGATGCCGGAGGCTGGCGGTACCTCTCCCTCATCATTGAACAGGGTAATTCCGAGCTGAATCATCTTCAGAAGATCGACGTTGCATCGGAGAGTCTGGTAATGGTAGTCTGCTTTATTCGAGAACGAACCGATCGGCCGTGCAACAATTCCGGGGAACTCGGTATCCTGAAATTAAAAACGGTAAGTCGCAGTCCAACGTCGGAGCGAGCTTCGCTCGACTGTTCCCATGAATCAAGTCCTTACCATGCTGATGTATGGGTACTTGTCAACCAACTGTCTCAACACTGCCATCTCATGGGCCAAGTTGTGCTTCCAGACATCTCTTATCCGTGACTTCGCTGCACCAGCCTTGTTCTCGAGTGCTAACCGACCGTCATGACCGTGATGTAATTGCTGCTGTTGCATTTGCGCACCGCGCGCGAAACCCATCTGTGCTGCATGGCTAGCAAGACCGGTGCCCCCACCATCACTCGCACCAGCCCCTGGAAAGCCACCCACAGCCATGCCATTCGCAATACTGGCGCCAGAGAGAGTAAAAGGGTTGATGTTGGTGTTGGGGTTGCCCGCGAAGCCTGGATGCCCAAGCGAAGGGGGTGGTAGGCTATTGGCTGATGCGTGTGCGGGGTGCTGAGATTGAAGGTGAGCTTGCTGTAGGGTGTAAGGAGTAGCTAGGCCAGATGGCCCGTATCTGCCGACGGGAGGTGGCATTGTGTGATTCGAGGTTGCGCATGGAAGAAGTGACAGTTTCGTCCCTCGAAGGCGGGAAAGCTATGGGTAGTCCGTAAGCGGTTAGCGTGGATGCTTTCTGCCAAGCACACCTCTTTTCCTCACATCCGGCTCCTCACAGCGTTACTTGTGGTCGATCGCGGATTACGGGACAAACCCCAAGCACTTTCTATCTCTACTTTTGTTCTTTTCCTCACACTTTGTGTCACATTTCTCTGACAGCTCCCAAAATGCCCGCCCGCAACCCCACCGGTTTCGACATCGGCCAGTTCAAGGCCGCGGCTTCCCCATCTTCGGTTTGGGCCAAGCGGGACCCATGGGCTCGCAAGTATGTTAAACACACAAGAGACCATGCCAATTGTATCAATGCTGACCTTTTACAGTGAGACCTGGCGCTACACTGGCCCCTTCAGCCGCTTCAACCGCTTCAAGGGTCTCTTCCCCGGCTTCGGTATCGCGACTGTCGCTTTCACTGCCTACTGCGCATACGAGCACTTCTTCATGAAGGATGACCACCACCACGGTGATGCCCACCATGGCGAGGCCCACCACTAAACTGTTGTTCTTGGAGATCAATTGAGAAAACCGCCGGCCGACGGATCATCGAGTGGAGGACGTATACCCCAGACGACGAGAAAGAGTCGACTCGCCTCCGCGAGATCCACTATCGGGTTCGGATGAAAGAACCTACGGCTTTGTTGAACCCAGGAGCGTTCGTCGTGTCAGGGCGGAGATGCAGCTTTTCATGCCTCATGAGAAGTTTAGCTTCCAGATGGCGCTTTGGGTCTGTTGATTTGTCGAATGTACATAGCTTTTGTTCCACTACTACAACGATATATTTTTTTTGCTGTTCGATCACTAAGTGCGCCAGGAATATTTTGAGAGTCACAAAGCTGATACCGCTTTGATCCCTTCTATAAACACGTAATATCATTATCGACATGAGCCCCCACTATGCAATTTTGGGAACATCCAAATCTATTTACTTTTTGAAGCAGATTATTCCTCGAAAACCAGCGAGATGCCATCGTCACCTGCGGTAACGATACGTTTTCCATCAAGGCCCTGTACGAAGCCCATGATGCCACCAGCTTGCTCGCCATCCTCGTTCTCGGTGACACCCATGTGACCCTTCCACTCCTGCATCAGACCCTGACCAGCAGCGGCGGTACCACCGCGTGCGTCCCATCGTCGAACGACGCCGTCCAATCCGACGGAGGTGAGCATCCAAGACCGGTTCTGGTTCGCTGCAGGGGTGGAAGCAAGAGGTCCTGGGACAGAAGCTGCCAGAGGCGAGCGACTAGGCAGGAACTCGGCCTTGACAACGGCAGCGCCATCGTGGGCCTCCTTGATATGGCGGCGGACGGCGAACCTGTGGGCCGCATCGTAAAGCGCAATGGAACCATCAACGGATCCAGAAGCAAGAAGGGTGAATGGAGGCTGAGAGAAAGAGAGGGACTCGATGCCATCTGTTTGAGCCTGCAGCGCAGCCATGATGGTTCCTGCAGCGGTAGCACCCGCTGCTTGCGGGAGAGGTCCCTTGCCCTTTGCCGCTGGTGCGGCGGCTGCAATGCGAGGAAGACCAACGACTCGGATGTGACCCTCGCCACCACCCACCGCGGCAATGCCACCACTGGGGGAGATTGCGATGGCATATAGACCACCTTCGACGGCGAAACGCTGGTCCTCCGCAGTCAAACCAAGGACAGCGTTAGTACCTGGGGAGTAAGAGATACCGGCAGCGGCAGCGGCTCCAAAGACATCGTATACATAGAAGCTTCCGTCCTCGGAGACTGTAGCCAACAGGTTTCCATCCGGTGTCCACGCACCGGCGGTGCAGGATGCGGTGTGCGAGAAGAAGGTCTGAATGATAGAGATGGGCTGGGCGGGGTCGGTGTGATCAATACGGAAGACCCAAGCGCTACCATCATTGGCGCCGATGGCAATGACATTTTGCTTGCCATCGTCGCCCTGCTTGTGAGGGCACACCGCCATCCAGTTAATCTCCTCGACCTCCTGAGCCTCACCAAAGAACTCCCACGCATATCCGTTCTTCTGGGGAGTGGTATCCCTCCAAGCTCGGAGCTTGCCGTCCATACCAGCGGTCACGACGTATTCGCCGGCGGGCTCAGTGAAAGCAACGGCATTGACGGTGTCACTGTGTCCATCCAGCTTGGCGATAGGTTGCAGAGCCTCACGCTCTCTGGGCTGGGGAGTGGTTTCATAGCTCGAGGGCAACACGGGTCGCTCTTGGGGTGTCGAGTCAAAGATATAGGCGGTGTCGTCACCCGCACCGGTAATAACGATGTTGTTGTGAATGGGGTGCTGCGCAACACAAAATACAGAGTCTGAGTGCGAGTCGAAGTGTGCCGAAGAGTCGTTCTGGAAATGGATCTCATCTTCAATGGTCATGTTCTGGTCGGCCTCATCCTCTCCTTCAAGGTCCATGTCATGGTCTTCATCATGGTCGAAGACCTCCTCGGCGTCGTCTGCCTGCATGTAGGCGTCATCCTCAGTCTCCCGGTGCTCGTTCGACGACATTTTTGGATGACAATTAAGATGGTGTTCTTATTTCGATGTAGATGAAAGTGGTTGAAGCTGAGCAGATGGTCTCATCTAAATTAGGACTTGCTTCAAAGAATGAAAACAAGAAATATGAGTCTTGTTGAGGCAAGATGAAATGCGCTCGATCTTTTTTTGCAACTCCCCGCTTAGAAATCCACACCCCCACGGCAGATAAGCGTTCAGATTTTCACCGCCCTGGTGACCGCCCAGGAAAATAGCCAAGCTGTATCTAATCGGAAGTATAGTTCAAGTTGAACCCGTATAACTTATAGTATTTCACTCATCTTTAGATATAAATCTCGTGATTAAATATCCTGTTACGAAACATACGGCCCCTAGCCCACGAGAATCATGGTCTCAGGCCACACAGAAATATAGTCTTCGGGCCTGTCTCCCACCTAGATTGCTTCACATATATTTCCTTCCCCCTCATTTCTTCTGTCGTTCTTTCAGCTTTTCCACACACTCTCTCTCTATCTGTACTCTACAGCAGTCAAGTCTTATTGAGGCAGCTCTCTCGCAACCCTGGCCACAGTTGGTAGCAAACGCGCAGTGGTGGTTCGCGAATTCTGATAATACAGTGAAGCTTCTTATCTCGTGCACATTGAGTTATCTTCTATTAAGCGGTATTGTTAGAGAACCGTGGGCCGTTCTTCTTCTTCTGGCCTTTTATGTTAATTTTTAGCTTCATTGCGAATACCACCTTGCAACTAGGCCCTATGTAAATTCCTTGTTTCAAACGATACACACATTATATACCAATAGGACATATACATATAGAAAGGACCAATAGGAAGGGGAGTAGACGCCGTAGCGCTGACCTGGGTCAATGGCTGTCGAGAGCTAGGGCTGGTACTGTACTACTGTACAGTATGTACCTGGATTTCTGCCACCGCCTTTGATATCAGAGGGTTTATGGACAGCTTGCCTTCTTGTCACCCTGTGAGACAATCACAACCACGAGTCTCGAGTTTAAAGGGAACATTGCTCTGTTGATTGGTTTGATCACCCATATCAAACAGTACAAAGTACGACACCGCATACCCTATCCCCAACAACTACTACATCCTGGCCCTCTCGGAGCACATTTGAAGTCATAGCAGCGCATATACTAACAAACCCCAGAATTAAACCCGCTCACCAAATCCAACTCAAGACCTGAACGGGTCATCCAACCTTCAACATGGCCAGTGAAATTGACATCTTCAATGAATATCCACTGCACATGGACCCAGCCTCCAAAGCCCTCTCCCTCATCGCCACATCCGCCCAAACACCCGCCCAAAAAGCCGCCATCACCGCCGAACTGGAAGAACTAAACCAACTCCACCGCTCTCTCCAAACTCTCGACCCACCCAACATCCCCCCAGCTCCCCTCCCAATCAACCCCAAGCGCGGCGCGCAAATCAACAAACTCCGCGATACCGCCAACGCCGCATACCGCAAATCAAACTACGACGAGGCCATTCGACTGTACACGTACGCCATTGAGATGGGCATCGCCCGGCCGGGCTGGGAACCTGTCACCCTTGCGCGCGAGGAGTTGTCTGCGCTTTATGCGAACCGTGCGCAGGCACATATGGCCAAGCAGGCTTGGCCTGAGGGTCTTGTTGACGGCAAGTGCAGTGTGGATTCCAAGCCTGTTGCTAATGTCAAGGCTTGGTGGCGGATTGCTAAGTGCTTGGCGGAGATGGCGCGGTATGAGGAGTCTAAGAAGTTCTTGGCCAAGGGGCTTGAGATTGAGGGTAGGGATTCGGAGGGTGGAAAGGAGTTGATTGGGTTGCTTGAGGATGTTGAGAAGGCTTTGCTGCGGGGTGCTTCTGCTTAGAGGGTTACCCATGCTTTCATCTTCTTCTTCTGTGGCTTTTTAAGCATGCTGACGACGCAGTTCAGCTTCCTACTCCTACTTCATTTTTTTTCCTTATCCAGTTTGTTTGACTCGGGCTATATGATTCCCTCTCTGTCTGAATGTTTATTGGCGTTTAGGGGCAATTAAATAATTTTTTTTTTTTTTTTTTTTTTTTTTAATGTACTACTACTGGTTCTCTCTCCGGCCAAAGAATTGGCAATCGTGTTCAAACATTGCGCATGGTTCTCGCTACATAATTATTGGTGACTTGGTCATATCAGTCATATAGCCAAGTCAGGAACAGTAGATCCTCAGACCTTAAGGTCATCAGGTTCCATGCTCCCAGACACTCAAGGCTAGCTTGCATGTATCTTTCAACGTTGTTGTTCTCCGCCCTTAGTAAGTGGATCCAGGCCAATCAGAAAGCTAGCTTTTAGGCTCGGTTTGGGTAAACAAACAGTCTCGGCCTGACCCGAATATTTCAAATCATCATAGACATCTGTCTTTCCCATCCTCGCTTTGCCATCAAGTTGCAACACAAAGTAATCATCATGGTTATGGAGACAGCCATGTTACCTGATACTTCCGCTTTACAGCGCAATCGAGACCTCATGAGAGAATTTGAAAGGGCACTTGAAATAAATCCGACAGTCAATTTGAAGGCTCTCATTCCTGATTCTTATGTTCAAAAACATGTGGGCGCACAATCACAACATCTAGAAACAGATACAGCTAAGCTCAATCAAAAAACCGTTAATGAGCTCCAGGACGCCCTTAGAGATGACCCTGAGGTGGACTTGCTTTCAGTTTTTCCTCCAAACTATTCTCGTCGCCGGCGGTTCGCAAGCCAAACCAGTGCAAAAATGACAGGGTCTGGTAGGATGGAACAACCGAAGCCTCCAGATTTTCGGACACGTCTCGATGGTGTGGAGAAAGCTGAAATCGTCTTCCCACTTTCGAATGATGTGACTACCATGCTGACACCATTCTCGAATTTTTCTGATGGATATATGGGTACGGAGCATTCATTCCTCTCAGCAATACGACGAATGCTTTGGGATTCCAAAAAATTATGGGAAAATCCGATACGGGGCATCGTCGTTCAATGCAATGATGATATCATTGCAAAAGTCATCACGACGAACGGCGACTACACGGAGTATACGGCTTTGCAATACCTTGCAGAACAGGTTCCTGAAATTCCTGCTCCTAGACCTCATGGCTTGATCAAGTTCGGGTCTTTTTGCATGCTTTTCATGTCCTATATCCCGTCCATGACGTTGAGTGAGGCATGGCCGTGTCTTTCACACGAACAGAAGATTTCCGTGCAGTATCAGCTAGATGACATCTTTAGCAGGTTGAGAAATGTTCGTCGGGGGGATGGTCACTATCTTGGGGGGCTCGGTGGCGAAGGAGTAAAGGGACAGCAGCCTAATACAATCATCAGCACGGCTGCTGGATTTGAGGATTTCAGATACTCCGCCCCCCATCACGGCAGCACTACATACGCCACTTTCCTTCGCTCTTTCCTCACAGATTCCATTCAAGGTTCAGTCTTCACTCACGGTGACGTCAGAAAAGATAATATCTTAGTGAAGCTGAATCAAGACAATGTCTGGATTGTCACTGGGATCATTGACTGGGAGGACAGTGGGTTCTATCCAGAGTGCCACGAGTGTACTCAATTGACGAGGACATTGAGTGTGACGGAGGAAGATGACTGGTATCTCTACTTACCAGCGAGTATCTCCCCGCTGCAATTTCCGATACGTTGGCTTGTTGATCGACTTTGGGATATCCATACCAAAACCACATGACTTTTATGTATATGTGCTCTTTTCTTCCTCCACTCACTTCTAGACTAATATAAATCCGTAAAAGTAGACACAGGATCCCGTAGTTACAAAGAACGCACTTCTACCACATATAGGTTTGGTTTTAGGTCCAGACTTGAGACCCAAATTAGGTTTTGGAGAAGTCTACGGCGACACCTAAGGTCTTTAGCTTAAGATTAGAGGGAGCTATCTCTCCTCGTAAAGAATAGGATCGGTCTAGTATTAATTCTTATTAACTTAAGCCAGACGTACGGGCGCAGTTGCTATAGGGATGGTTAAATACTAAGGCTAGGATATAAATATTTTAGTGTAGGAAACGCCAAGGTTAACTTAGGACGTGCGTAACGGGGATAATGAGCGGGAATAGGAGGGTATAAAGACACCGGAAGAGAGGGAAGACGAAGCATCTTATAGGCACTCGACCGGGCTAGGCGAAGAGGGAGGGAGCTTAGATTTAGCTGTAGAAGGGAGCCATTTTCGGCGTCAACTTCACAGGTCCTCATATTCTATATGTAAACATCCAATCACCTTTCCTTGGGATTTTGTATGTTCCTTTGAGACTTGCATTGTTGGTGAAGTTGGAATGTTTAGTCCCCAAAGACAGTTGGTGTTTGCATACTAGTTGTTGTCTAAGCCCGCAAGCAATGGTTAAAAGCCCATGGCTTTGGTTTTTAGATAAACGTATCCACCACGTAGCTATGAAGGCTCATCAGTGCACACATAAAGCATAAACAAAACAATGCATGCCAGTTTCTCTATTGGGAAAGACTTAATCAAAACCATATATACAAGAAGGCCACGCTATAAGTATCAATCTGCAACAATAATCCCATCAATCTGTTTCAAACCAACACGCTAGACCCATCACTCTTCTTGCACCCACATGAGCTCGTGCCAGCAGCCACTTGTGTAGGGGTACGAGCAAAGCTAGGCGGCACATCGAGGACAGGGTTACGGTCGAAGAAGTTACGCGGTCGAAGAAGCAGAGTCATAGGCTCAGCAGGCATGATAGGGTAGTCCTCCGGGGAGGGGAAATGGGTCAGACCGAAAGTATGCCAGAGAACGACATCCGTGTTATCGATAGAGCAGTTAGGGCCGGCGGCTTCAATCCAAGCTGGCAGACCTTCCGACGGTTCGCCGGAGGTTTGGGGCACGTGGCGACCAGCTGGGTGGATTTGTTCATCGTCGTCTGGATAAGTGCGTTAGAAAGGAATAAAAAAGTTAGAAGCTTTGAAGGGATACTCACATTTAGTAACGTGGACCGCATGGCGCGCGAAACCAGCTCGCTTCCAGACAAGTCCGCCCTCCTTGGGCAACAAGGGAGGCACCTCTCTGCTCACCAATTTATAGCACACCGGCTTCTTGCTGTGGGGATTGAGTTTGTTGGTGTTGGCCATTTCCCAGGTACGACCGGTGAACCCGTTATAATCGGACATTGACTCGCGCGGGGTGTTATACTTTGTCTTTTTGGCATAGAAGGCATTGCCGTATTTGTTCTCAGCGCTGCCTACTTCACCCTCTCCGCGAACAGCATCTACCTGGAAGACGGTGTTGTCTGGTCCGTCAATGTTCGGGTCGACACGGAGACAGAATAAGTGCTGGTGATTATGAGCATTTACGCCAGGGTAGACCTCAGTTCCCCAGCCGTGGGTGTCTTCACCGGGGTTTATGGCGTAGGTGTTGAGGATACCAGTCAGCTTGACCTCGAGCTGGACGGTGCCGTCCTGGTGGAAGATCCAGTACACGCAGTACTCGTAGTTGGCCGCGGTGAAGATGTGCGAGATGATCAACTTGCGGCCACGGGTGACAATCATAGACTCGTCCCGGAAATCGGTATGCTTGTATAGAATGCCGGCGTCTTCTTCGTGGATGCAGATGGCGTTCTTGATGATCGTGCTAGCACCGGCGCGGTTAACAAATGCCGCGTCCATGTAGTGGATTGCGCCCTTGCAGTCGCATCCGAGGGAAAGGCTGTTGGTCATGTATCCGCCACCGTATTCACCCAGGTCGAAGGCGTGTTTACGCTGGTGGGGGTGATCGGGGTTGCCGTATGGTACGACCATCTCTGCCAAGGACAGACGCCAGAAGACGGGTCGGACATTGCCCTTGTCGTTAAATGTGATGTTATTCAGGACAATGCCTTCTCGGTAGTTGAAACCGACGTGGATGCTCCAATTCTGCCACTCAATTGTCCGTCCCTTAACCTGGAACGACACGCCGTCGGGCTGAGTGATGTGGATTGGCTTGATGTCAGTTCGGTACCCGCCTTCCTTCTCGATAGCAGCTGGGTGGTAGTTGTTTGGTGGTGCCTTGCTGAGGGGCCTCCGTACCGGTGGCACATCGATGTGAATGATCTGTTTGGTCTCCGCGTTGTAGATTGGACAGAAGTCCAAGGGGTAGGTATACTGGGAGTCATCTGGATGAGGACGGTAGTACATAAGAGCTTGTTGCAGTCGGACACCAGTTCCGAAGCGTTCATCATACCCAATAGTCCAGGCTGTATCAATTGGTTAGCGTGGATCTTTACTGACAGGCAGGATACACTTACGGTCACAGTACACTTTGTGCATATCCTCCTTAGGAATTCCAATGATTCCACACTGCTCAATCACCTTGGGATCCTTGCGTACAACGTGTTCAACCTCCTGCAGATCCTCCATTGTGATCAGAGGCTGGACATTGGGCGTATGCTGCCATTGAATGATCTTCTTCTGGTCCAGATCAACAAGGCCATCATAAACATTGCCGCCAGGTGCAATGGCGACAACGTCGGCAGCCCGGGTAGGACGGGGAGCCTTCTCGGGATCCGCAACCCAAGCCATCATTTGAGCTTTGCGGGGCTCGTACAATGTGACGGCATTGAAGTTGAGGGAGCCATATTCCTTGCGGATTATATCAACAGCGGCATCAATCTCCGATGTAGACAAAGGATCAAGTGGGTGAGGGGCAGGCGCCGTGGCGCTGACCTGATGGGTCAGTTGCTGTAATCTGTCGAGTACCATGTTGTGTTGAGGTGTTTGAACTTTGAAAGGACGAGGGAGGTATATTGATCTCGGTGATAAAGCCCGAGCCAAGTAAGAAGTAGAAGATGATATTGAGATATCCCCTAGGCTCTGGCAGACTATTTAAGTGAGCTGCCTCATATCCCTACGTTATCTTATACTTCGCGGAGGCCGGATCCGCTGCCCTAATCGGGCTTAGCGTTATGACCCCACTCCCAAAATGGCGAAGTGATGCGTTCGTGCATCTTCATGATATTGGTCATAACCATTCATATTGATGTTACTAATATAATTCATATTTATTCTATGTGGAGTAGTGTGCCGTTTATCTTGTTTGTCGTATTAAGGGTATCGCATCATCTCTGAATAAGAATTTGCGTAGAGTCTATTCACGACTTCGGTATCTGCAAACATGTATATGTACCCAGAGCATGAAGGATAAAGGTGTCCCCCTATACGCTAGAAGAGACTAGACGCATAGCCGTGAAATGAACTGCCTTTCGCAACAAAATCGAATACTAGACCGTATGCTTAATAACGATATGATCGAATCAGGGACTACACACACTTCGTGACCTAGAAATGAGCAATATCTGAGGCTGCTGGTCCCATTAGCAAACGCATTTCTATTCCACAGCCACGGCGACACTTAACTATTATCTCCACGATTTTGCGGTTTGACATCCCGGGCAAAAATGACAACGTACTTCAATTTCCATAGTTAAAACTGTCTGAAACTCGGAATTTCTATGTTCTGTACAGAAGAAAAGTCCTCTGTGAGAAAAGCCCCCGAGATGCTATTTCCGTCAACGTCTTGCCGTAAACAAAGAAGTTCGAAATACCGGTCGTCTTCTCGCCATCTGGGAGCCGCTAACTGGCCCCGTAATGCTTCCGTAGTTGAAGAAAAAGCCTTGGAGTACTTGTAGAAGATGGGCACCCAGTTGAAGAACAGCTTTGACTACTTGCCTTCCTCACTTCCTTCCTTTTCTTGCTCGGCTTGCCTGCCATGCATTCAGCTGGTTGGGCCGTCCGGTGCCTTAATTGCCTGTCTTGCTCGGCTTTCCCGTTGTGTCACCACTGGTACCACTGAACTCTTCACTCCATTTTTCTCTTGTACTGACGCGGCCGTAGGCTCGGTTCTTCCACAGTCCCCCTACGCAACGATCAAACTACGCTTCAAGGTCAAGCACTGCAAAGAAACCAACGCTGGCCCAAAGTCTGTTCATCACAATGTCGAGACGCTTTAAGCCTTAGTGGAGTCAATATCAAGGATGTGTAGCCCGAATGTAAGTTCCTTGTTAATCGCACTTCGATACCCTTTGGTACTCTTTTGTGCCCTGTGCCCTACAATGCCCACTTCACATACGTAAATGAGCCTGTCTGTCACCGGCCAGATGACTGACCCGAAGTGCACTGGAGTCATTCCTCCCGCGGCTCTCCACGACATCCAGTCGTATTCAGAACTGTGAAGTGTGTTCCCCAAGCTGCCCGGCGACTCTACATTAGGGCTTCCTGCTTTGGGTTTACACGCTTCGATAACCCACACGTGGATATTTGAGTGTTGATATGCATGCTAATTGGCCTATAGAAGCGGGCGGCGAATCTCATACCTCTTTTGCAGTTGACTGATTTCCATACACCCGGGTGTCTACAAACTACGACTACAACAGGAAAGTTTGCTATGCAATACATCTATATTTTCCAAATTTAATCAAGCCAAAGCAGGACATACAATCGTAAACTCAAGGCCTAGCAGCACCAGAGAAACATGAGTAAAAAGAAACAAGGGCCTAAGGGCCTAAGCCCATCGAGGAAAAAAAAAAAGGGCATGATGCGCCAAACACCGCTTCCATGGGTCATATCCAAGACAAGACGCAAATAACCAAAAAAATACCCCAAAGCCAGACATATCAAATCCTCCGGGTATTTCACTGGAATCAAAGCCTGACCACATCCTACAAGTCTCCAATTCCAACCTCTTTTCAACGCCCATACCCGCTAACGGAAGATCCCCCATACCCAACAGAGGATCCCCCATACTCAGTCGGCGCAAACTGATCACCAGGGGCAGTATAGTGCTGTCCATGAGCCCCGCCGTAACCTGTGCTACCGTTATAATCATGGAGGACACCACCAGGCGCGGGAGCAGTGGGGTCGTAAGAGCCGTGCATCGCGGACCGGCCGTGTGCATTGCCTAGGTCGTCGACCTCGCTTTGCTGGAGGAGGGCGTAGTCCTCGTCCTGATCACCGCGGGAAGAGGCGGCCATTCCACCGCCACGGCCTGAGCGGAAGTCATCTTCGTCTTCCTCGAAGTCGTGGGCCGGGTTCGAGGAAAAGGCAGCCTTGGTCTGGGCTGCGAAGGTGGGGTCTGAGACTGCGTCGGGGAGTGTGCCTGTGCGGCGGAAGTGCATCACGTTGCGGAAAGACATCCAGGCGGTGATGGCGAATAGGATACTGTGTGGGGACATGATGTTAGCGTGATTCGCGGTTGACCGGTCCTGCTCGCATCGAGCTAGGCAGATATCAGGTCCCAGATCCAAGATGCACGTACAAGATAAAGACACCAATAATGGTAGTCGCCTCGCTAAGCTTGCACTTAGCAGCACTTCCATAAGCCCAGTTATCACACCCAGTCTTAGAACTGCTATCGCTATTCGTCGCCCTCTTCGTCGTAGACTTCGAATCCGAGCTCGACTTCGAGTCCTTGTCACTGCTATCCGAAGACCCCTTCGACTTGCCCTGCGCAACATACGACGCAAGACAAATCCAAGCACTAGCCCAGAGAATCGTATAGAGAATATCGACACAGGCAAAGGCGTAAACGTTTCCGAAGCGGCGGGCGCGCGGCCACATTGGTACGGCGACTAGGTAGACGAGACCGGGGATACTGAGCCAACACTATAAATCATGCGAAAAGGGTATGTTAGCAATGCAACTTCTTTTCTCAACACGAACCTGAGCCTGCTGCAGCAAGATGCGACTTGATTTCCAGGGTATGCGCAACTCACCAGACCCCAGTACCACCCCGTGCGCCCGTCAATACCATCGCCTTTTGTCCAGATAGCGATAGTCAGCGCCCAGGCGATGAAGATGATGAACGCTTGTGTGAAATGCAGGATGTTCTTCGTGCGTCCTAGGCTTCCGCCTGAAGGGCGCGGCATTTGGAACTTCATGTTGTGCAAGGGCGGGGTGTTTCAACCATGTACAAGTAGTTGTTCAAGGGATGGAGATGTCGTTGTATTGCATTGACAGGGGATGGTCAGATTGCAGTCAGTAAGGTAAAAAAAAGTGACAGCGGAATGTGGGCGGAGGCTGTGTTGAGGCTCGGGGGAAATGTTCTGTTTTGTTTTGGTTGGTAGCTTCGTATTGCCCAACGCTCGTATGTGGGAGTTGGAGGGATGCAGATGGAGATGTTTGGATATTGAGTAATTCGAAGGTGACTTGAGAGTTCGAATGTTCGAGTGTTCAAGTGAATTTGGGTCTTGTTTCCACCGTCTACGTATGCCATCCCCGACGATCATCGCCCAGGCGACAGCCCGTGGATCTATTTTCGGAACTCAGGCTTGGCATATCTTTCAGCACTTATTACAGACATATGCAAGGATAATCGTGATGCCTGCTATAACATCATCGCGCATTATATGCAAAGCCTCCATTGGATCCACACGGTTCGAAATTCGCTGGGAAATAGAAGAAACTTGCAGTTCAACTGTTCATAATATTCGTTCATACTCACATTGCTCATATACACACACATCACCGCTCACATACTCATATGTATCAATCATCATTTTTACAAGCCGACCTCTCGAGTCTGTTTCACTAATACCCAAATCTCCCGCAGTGGCTGGTAGACATGAACCTGCCACCACCAAGGAAGAGGATCTTGAAATGAGAATAGTGGATCTTTCCAGAACAATAACCGCACAAATTCTGCCTTGGACAATTCAAGTATCTGGATTCCATGCCGCAACAAGGAGAATTGTAAGAGCAAAGCTGAAAAACGGCCCGCTGTAGAAAAACTGGCTATCGACGTCGTACGCGATGATGACAGTGTCGGTGTCGTCTTCGAAGAAGCATCAATCGGATCAGAAGGAAACACAGATAGATATCCTGCAATGGGGCAGGAAATATCCTGCAAAAGATGCTCAACCGCTTTCGCGCCGGGGATACAGCCGGCAATGTACACTGCATGTCGAACAGAATGAGCATCAAACTCCTCATCCACCATAAGCCTAACAGAGAGATGCCCCGTCAAGCGAGTCCCGATTTTAGCCGCAAAGTTCTGCATGAGCTGGTGAATCGCAGCAGCCAACGCCTCATCCAAGCGCGAGGTACCCCATGGCGAAGAATGCGCATCCGACAACCGGACATTGATCGCTTGGACTTGACCACGGACAACGAGGATATCGGCAAAAAGCTCTCCCAACCTATAATGTTGCTGCAAGACCCAAGGCCGGTCCTTGGAAATCTGAATCTCACTGATACTGGAGTAAGTCTTGCTAGTCGTACGTTTCGGTAGACGCATAGCCTTATCATTTGCAGACGGGCTAGCGCGCAACATCTGGTAAGATTTCGACGGCGACCGATGCAAGATCTTATGCACAGAGTCGCGCGATAGAACCTTATGATACTCTAACCCGGGAAGACCTCTTTCAATCACCAACTGCCGAAAGGCATCCGGGTGGCTGAAGCAAGCGGCCAGCTCGGTGTCAAAGGTAATACATTTGCAGCCGGTACGGCTCTCGACAACCTGTCGCGCTGTTGCGTCTTCGCTGGAGGTTGCCTTGGGCGAGCACGGAATCCACACATCCACTTTTTCGCGATGGATCACGTCAAGTAGTCTGGAAATGTAATGGTCCTTTGGAATGCGGTAGAATGCCTGCAGGGCCTTGGACATGCTTGCGCCAGACCGGACGGGGAGATCCAAGTCGGTAACATCGGCTCCGACCACGCGATGGCCCTCTGCGGCCCATGCCCGTGCAAGTGCTAGAGCATGAGAGGCTCCCACGCCTGTGATTAGCACTGTCTTTGGGTAGAAGCGAACGTTTCGTCGTGTTCTGCGATAGCTGGCTACCGATCGGAGATATGCTAGACAACTCGCGACGGCGAGGATGGTATTATCGAGGGATAATAGTGAAAATGAGAGACAGATGCGGAAGAGGTGCCAGAAGACTCGGGATACGGTCCCTGATGAAACGGAGGCTGCGGTAGATTTGATGAACATTTTGAGCCTTTGTTTCACCACTGGCGGTGGGATTACGTCCCGGTTCATTTGGCCCTGGGTTGACAGGGTGGGGGAGAGGGTCAAAGAACCTCGAAAGGTTTGGGTTGAGGTTAGGACATTGTGGAATGCTGGAAATGTGAGGGAGGCTGGTGAGGGGGCGCTTGGCTGAGGTGCAGATCTAGTTCGGTGTGACAAGACACTTATGCAAACAACCTCGATCTCTCGGCACTCAGGGTTCAAGAGGACTGTCCAGAGTGGGGGAGAGGTCTAGGCTTATGGTATCGGATCCCTTAAGGCTGCTACCCCCGAGCTGTCATTCTGGGATCAAGTTTCCGATCTTTATCAACTTTATCAATCTCGGACAAGACTTCCTAAATGATGAGTATCACGTCTTCGTATGAACATATATGGATCAAGAACGACGCCATTTGATGCATTTAATGCGACTGCCTGCGATGAGTGTGCTCGGACTTGCTCTCTCTGAGGTATTTATTCCCGAGCTGCCGGACTATAAGTTTTCGGCGCCTGAAGTATGACCTCACCGTTCACCGTTCACCGTTCACCGAGTTTTCAGCTGCGTATCTGGTTGATCCCATTTCATACTCATAAAGAATTTCGAGTCTCTCAAAATGGCAACTGACCAACAGCCGCATCCCAACCCCCGGGAGCTCTCCGTAGGTTGTCTGTCCTCTCATCGTCATTTCAACTAACCCTAGTCCAGCGTGAACCAGGCAGAGAGTTGAAGCTCCTGCACTTCATCTATGGCCAGCCAAACCTGGACGAGATCCGCGGCCACCCGCAAAAGGTGATCGACCTGATCCACGAGTTCGAAAAGGAATACCGCTTGATAAACGTCGGCCCTGAGAAGGGCGAAATCGTCACAAAGCTCATAGACGAAGTCAAGCCCAAGACCATGATCGAACTCGGCTGCTACGTAGGCTACTCGGCAATCCTATTCGGCGACGCAGTCCGTCGCAACGGCGGCGAACGCTACCTAAGTCTAGAATTGAACCCGGAATTCGCAGCCATCGCCAACATGCTTATCGAGCTGGCGGGATTACGCGACTTTGTGCGCGTCATCGTCGGCCGCAGCGACGTATCACTCCACAAACTGATTACCTCGGGCGACGTCAAGAAAGTGGAACTCCTCTTCATCGACCATTATAAGCCCGCATACACCACCGACGTCAAACTGTGCGAGCATTTCGGAGCAATCGTGCCCGGCTCAGTGCTCGCCGCAGACAATGTCATTTACCCGGGGAACCCGCCATATCTGGAATTCGTCCGCAGTACGGTGAAACAAAAGCGAGAGAAGGCAAAGGCTGGACCTTCCAAGGGTTATGACACCACCGGTATGCCCGAGAGCACGGTGCAGTCATTTGTGGGTAAAGACGATGTGCCCACTTTCGACTTTGTGGGGAATCCGAACTTGGTGTACCAGAGCGAGTTGTGTCAGCCTGAGGGTTTGGGGGTGAGCGAAAAATCTTCTTCTTCTTTTTCTGTTGCTAACTATTCATAGGACGCCATTGAGGTCACAAGATGTGTGGGAGTGGAGGATTAGCCAGAATAGGATGACGCACAAGTGGAGGTTGCGGCCGAGACGTGGGATATCCAGAGGTTAAGACACACCTTGAGAATACAATGGATTATCAAGCAGGGACACAGTACTCCGTAGCCCGCGGTTAGATGTCCGAGATGAATATAGTAGAGTCTTCCGAGTGTAGAAATATGAAGTGGCGGCAACCCGAGTCGACCTTTGAACCCCACCAGACCCAAACGTTGCCGTCGCCAGGACCTTCCCTCGTTCCCCGCGTACTTATTTCCGGGGATATATAAGTTCATCTCTTCAGCCCTCTTTCCTCAATTAAATCACACATTCATCATGGCCAGCAAGACTTACAACGTTGGCATTGTCGGCTACGGCTTCAGTGCAAAGATCTTCCATATTCCCTTCGTTGCCGAGGTCCCGGAGCTGAAGCTCTATGCCGTCGTCCAGCGCACCCCGAAGGCGGACGATGATGCCGAGAAGGACCACCCCGGTGTGAAGTCCTTCCGCACCACGGAGGAGATGGTCCAGGACCCTGCGATTGACATCGTGATCATTACCACCGCCCCCGACTCCCACTTTGCTCTCTCCAAGCTGGCGCTAGAGGCTGGCAAGCACGGTACGTGTCTGGAAGTCCTGGATAAGCGTATACCCAGCTAACCCAATACGCGTCATAGTCGTCTGCGAGAAGCCCTTCACCCCCACCACCCAGGAAGCCGATGAGCTCATCGCCATCGCAAAGAAGAACAACAAGCAGCTCGCCGTGTTCCAGAGTACGTCCCACCAGCCCAAACCGAACCAATTGCTAGAAAGCCTAGACTAACAATACAACCGATAGACCGCCGCTTCGATGCCGACTTCGTTACCCTCTCCAAGCTGATCAAGAACGGTTCCCTCGGCCGCATCTCTGAGTTCGAATCCCACTTCGACCGCCACCGTCCCCAGGAGCCCGCCGCCGATAGCCACAAGTGGAAGAACAAGGTTATCCCCGGTGGCTCTGCCATCTACGACCTCGGCGCCCACCTGATAGACCAGGCCTACTGCCTATTCGGTCTGCCCCAGCGGGTGACCGGCTTCATTGGCTCCGCCCGTGAGGTCAACTCCTCCGGCTTCGAGGACGCCTTTACTGTCCTTCTACACTACGCCAATGGCACTATGGTCACTGCCAAGGCGACCGTCGTCAGCCCGGAAGACGAACAGCTGCGCTTCTGGGTGCGCGGTGACAACGGCAGCTTCAAGAAGGTAAGACTGCCCAATTGCGCATCAGTTGTTCATATATTAACGGCCTCTTTAGTTCCATCTTGATATCCAAGAAGACCAGCTCAAGGCTGGCATCATGCCCGCCGACAATGGCTACGGTCGTGAGCCCAGCGAGCGCTACGGTACTTTGACCACCATTCAGGGTGGCAAGCCCGTCAAAGAGGTCGTTCCCACTGTCGAGCCCCCTACCTACACTGAGTACTACCGCAAGCTTGTTCGTGCTCTTGGTGGTGACGGTGCCCTGCCTGCTAGTGGTGCTGAGGCTCGCGAGGTCATTCGCTTGATTGAGCTGGCCCGTGAGAGCTCCCGTACTGGCCGTACCCTCGATGTTTAAGCTCGGGGTTTGTAAAACGCAACGACGATTATGATCTGATAAAGAGTAAATAAATTGATTTTCTGAATTTATATTATCTATTTTGTGATTGGGATATCCCACCTAGTCAGTATGTATGAGCCCTAGTCTAGGGAATTAAAGTGTCAGACAATGTGGCCGACTATACACAACAGTCACAGGCCATAAACGTCGCCAGGTATCAAAGATATATACTTGCAACCCGACCTGAACAACCACGCAAAATCCCCAATATATACAGCCACCGCTATAAAATACCAAACCAAACCCCGTCAAACATCCCTCAAACACCCTTCCCTCAAATACAAATCATCAAAAGACAACCCAACACACCAAGCCCTAGGAAACTCCATTCCCCACTTCCCCATAAGCCCCGCAAGATCTCGTTCCGAGCCAGGAACAACATTAACAAAAACCCGATCTGAATGAGACATAGGCTCAGAATGAACAGCGCCCTCTTCCTCCCCAACCCGGAAAAACACACACTGCCCCCGCGCCGCTTGCACAATCGCACCATCATGAGCCAACTGAGTTGCTAGTGTCGCTCGTACTGATTCCGCTGCCATGGCGCATCCGATACAGCGGATTGAGAGGCACATGTGGTCTGGGTTCTTGGCACGGGCGGTTTGTTTTGCTGATTTTTGGGCAGTGCGGGCATGCGGTGTTGAGACTATTGGAATGAAGAGGGTTCCTGGGCCTAGGAGGGTTGTTGTTAGTTTCCAGTTTGGGGGGTTGGGATTTCGATTGCTGTTTTGGGTGTTGGTATTGATGTTGATGTTGTAGGTTGGTTCTGGGGGTTTATTTGTGGTTTGAGGATATTAGACAGCTGGAAGAAGCGTGTTCGCTTTGAGGGTGTGGTAGTAGTGGTTGGTGATGGTGATGGTGGTGGTGGTGATGGTGGAGCAAAGAATAGATCATCCGTATGCCAGCGCGGAATGTCGAATTCATGTGTTGCTTTACTTGCTCGGATTGTGAGCCAGTAGTGAGCTTGGTTGTTTTTTGATAGGAATTCATGGACGTATGTTAGGAATGAGAAGAGGGATGGTAAGATTGAGCCGTTAATTGTTGCTTCGGCCCAGGTATTGAAAGAGCCTGGGAGAGTATGTGCGTCTAGAGATAGGAGGGGTCCACAGTAGGTCCATGAGGATGTTGTTTTGAGGGTGATTTGGTTGTCGAGTTGGTCTTGAGGGTTGATGGCAGGGTATGGTAGCATTTGGAAGTCCGGTAATGCGTTGACCTCCATCGTGGAATAGCTTGTCATCCGAAGTAAATGATTTTCTTCAGGGGCATGGCACAATGTAAAATTCATTCGAGCTTGGGGAAGGGAAATGCTCAGGCCGCTTGCACCATGTGACCGTGAGACAACAAGCTACACCTGGGCGTATTTTTCAACTTAACTTACGCTTCATTGCGGGGCCTCTGAGAGTTGGGGGCTGTAGCCTTGTAGGGCGATTAGGTAGACTTAGGCAACAACTTGGAGATCTTGGAGACCTCGGAGATCTTTCTTTTTCCGGGTGATTGGAGTAAACTTAGAAGCTGAAGTTACCACAAGGGTCAACAATGTGTATGTATATAGGAAGTAATATGCGGACAAAGAAAAGTTATGCGGATATTACGCTAGTATTATTAGGCTTTGAATTTATTATGGCCCGGGTATACTTCAGAGCTGTTAATATCCTCAGAAATAGGAGCTTGCCCTACGCCTACAGTATTGGAATGAGCGGCTCGAGATATATAGTGATTGATTGGCATCTTCCGGCAGGTGGGCTAGCTCTGCATCAGGAGGGGTTGCGCTCAACAACACATTCGTCCTTGGCACGAAACTCCGAACAGCTTCCGAATTTACTAGATGCAGTTCTTTGAATCTAGTCAATTTGCTTCGTTTTTGGGATGGCGGAAGTTATTGGTGTGGTTTCGGGCGCCATCACGTTCGCAACTGTTGTCGCCCAAGTCACTGAGTCTATAATCACGACCAAAGATTGCTGGTGCCAGTTTCGTGATGCACCCACTGACCTCAAATACCTGATGCGGGATCTTGAATTGTTTGGACTCATTCTAGCCGAAATCCAGGAAGATCAATCGCAAGACGCATTCGCATTCGCCCTAAAGGGCAATAGACACGCTGTGCAAAGTCTGGAATTTGGCAGCGAAGCCGCCGCGAACTTGCAAGAGCTATCTAATGAGCTTTTGCGTGACATGAATTCCTCTCATCGCCTGCGAAAATCATATGCTGCCGCAAAAATGGTGATGCACAGAGGGAAACTAGAAAGGCATATGGCCCGACTGCGAAACGCGATTCAGTTGCTATCACTGTCTCAGCAGTGCTATACTAGGTTTGTAATATCTGATATACTGCAATTCTCCTACCTAATAATACAAGTAGAGCGCTTCTACGGGTCTAACCTGATTTGATTGCCGAGAGACTAGTGCAAGACAAGCAAAGCACAGCAACATTCAAGCCGAAAGGTATACCAGCAGGGTGCGTTCCTGCCTAGGTGTACAAGGTAATCATGATTAATTAGTCTTCGCTAACGCGTCGAGCAACAGAGGGCCATTTAAAGGATGAACGAACCGAATTACTGAATGACCCGACAGAAAGGGTGTCTTAGGGCGGGATATCACACCACACACACATCTAAGTACTTGTGGCGTCTCAGTTTACCGTCCTGGCTGAGTTCAAAAAGGCCCTAGAAGTATACAGCGAGAGACTTCATCACGGCTGGCAATGGGTTTTTCGAACGTACAATGTGATCCCATCAACATCAAAGGTAGTCTCATTGATAGCTAGCAAAATTGAAGATTTATAAAACCTATTTGCTATAAAATAGGCCTCTCCGTTCGACCCAACCGGTCGCTTCGGATACACGCTCCTACACGTATATTGAAGTCCGTAGTCTACATCTACCGATGATAGCCAAGAGTTGCTAAATAGATTTTTTCAAGAACGCTATGCTCGGGCCTAGGAAGGAGCAGATGTTGAAATTTCTCCTCGATCAAGGAGTTGACTCCTCTATCGTAGGCAACCATCCCAATCTTGAAACGCCTCTCAATATGCTGGTATTCTGTGGGGCCCTAGGACTCGGCAAGGGCCAACCATTGTTACCGTGTTTACATCTTCTACTTCGCTATAGGAAAGAGACATCTTATGAAGACACGCTAGAAGAAACGATTAGGGGAGTCTTATCCCGATTTCGTGGTTCAAGCGAGGAGTTCAAGTTTCTATAGCAACATTGCTGTCCTTCGTATTACGAAATGACCCAAGGGACAAGAATTGCAGTGGCTGCCACGGCCGCATATGGTGTGTGGGATGCCTATCATATGCCTGAATTGATCCAAACGATGCTTGGACCAAATCTTTTGACGGCCGAAGATCTCCAACTCGAAGGACCCTGGCGTTTCGATTCAAAGAAGACGACCTTGTGCATTGTGTCGTGAGAAAGGTCGTGGCAAGTCAGGCTGCTCTGCAAAGGCCTCATCCATGGAAAAGACGAGTTCGCCATCAGAGTCAGACCTCCGGACAATCTCTTGGCATCAACATGAGGGAAGGCTATTACTATCTTTACAAATCGTGGAATAAATTCTTTATGGAGTTTCTTCAAGCTGATGTGGTTTTGAACCACCAACAGACTCTGTTGCTTGCATTTTTAGAGGGAAATCTCGACTGGCTCGACGTGTCTAAATGTCAGGTCTCGTCTCCAACTGAAGCACTTCGAAAATGGTTAACAGATCTAAAATCTGCTGGCATTGATTTACAAAAGTTCGGGGGAAAAGAGGACAGCATCTGGAAAGCGGAACTTAGCCAAAGAAACTTTGGTCCTGGAGATGAAGAAAATGGTTGCCATCGACTGATAGGATTCTCTCATGGCTCATGTGTTAATGACTGGTCTGTGTGGCTATCTCCATGGGATAACTTCATAAGACATTTCTGGAGCCCGATAGAGCTACCTATAGAGACGATGGCCGGTGAATGGCCCAGAGAATGAATATTCCCAGCAACATTTTCGTTAATGATGAAACTACAATCTAACTTAGCCATACCTTATATATAAGGGGGATGCGAAAGGACTCGTACTCTCTAAATCAGTTCAGTCAGATTTCGCATGTTGAATCTGGAATAGAATACCACGACTATCAGTAAACAACTCATAGCATGGATATATCGAAGAACAGAGACATTAGGGCTTGTATACTCCGTGCAGTGACGCAGTACTCAGCAGGACCACTCGTCATGCCAAGCCACTAGTCCTGAAAAGGGATTTCTGTTACCACACGCAAAACGATGAGTGGAAGACGGCGAAACACCCAGAAGTGTCAAGGGAATAATTCCCCGAGTCCGCGGAGAAGCTCTGATATTGCGTGTTAAGCGGCACACATGAGGTATCGATCACTGATGGGGTGTCTATCCTCCAAATATCTCCCTCGGGCTGATGCCTCCCGATGATATCCTGAGATTTGCACCGGCATAAACTACGAAAGGAACAAAGGACATTTAGAGAGCACTGAGATCTGCTGGGATACCTACCATGACGCCCTCTCCGCATGGATCAGTGACCTTGTCTGACCCGTCGACCTGGCAGTTTGATATCGGTCGGTATATCAACCCGTTCGTGCCAGCGCCGCGATGGCATCTCGTCCCAAAGCCTGTGGCTCGTATGCTGGGTCATCGGGAAGAATCTCCCAAGCCTGTGGGTAATATTCCGATCGCCTTCTGGTCGCTGGTCGGCGCATTTTGCGGTGTTGCGTTGGTGGCATCAGTTTCGAAACGAGTGCCCTCGTTTGAGGCCCGTGGTGCACCGGCCATTATTGGCAGTTTTGTAAGTGATGGATGGACTGGATCCGGATCGAGATCAGTGACACCTGGGCTGACTATCAATCTTTGAATAGGGTGCCGCTGCAGTCCTTGAATTCTGCGCCATCGAGTCGCCCTTCGCGCAGCCCCGCAATGCGATCGTAAGTCAGATTCTTGCATGTATTATTGGGGTTGGGATCTCGAAGTTGTTCGCCTTGAATCCCCATGCCGGGGCGTATACCGAACTGGGGGGTGCGCTTGCATGTGGGATTACCACAGCGGCTATGGTCCTCACCAATACTGTACACCCGCCGGCGGGTGCAACAGCCCTTTTGGCAGTAACAAATCCTCAGACGGTTGGGTTGGGCTGGTTTTTGATCCCGGTGATGTTGTTGGGCGTCACGCTCATGGTGGCCGCGGCTTTGGTGATCAACAATGTGCAGCGTCGGTATCCGCTTTACTGGTGGACTTCGCATCCATTGGCTGTGCCTAGACAGGACCTGGAGGAGATTCGACATGAGAAACCACCGAGTTTCCTACGTAACTACGAGGATAGTCTGACGGATGTTCCTCGAAGGCTGGTGGTAGAGCGGGGGGATATTTCGGTGCCAGATGGAGTGACGCTTTCTGCTGAAGAGACAGAAGTGTTGGAGAAGATTAGTGAGAGACTTTAAGCCAAGAATATATCACTATCTACATATGAAAATAATGCGCAACAGAGTCCTCCGTAGATGTTATCGGGAAGGTGGCAAATTGACACCTCAGGCCGTACTGCGGTGACGTCTCTCCCAATCAGCGTCGACTTATGTACTCGGCCCACTGAGGATTTTTTTATTTCTCAACTCTTCGACTGAAAGGACTGAAATTCTTCAACGCATTCACATATCCTATCGTGAGCACTGCCCCTGCTGTGCTGAATTTCTCCCACTGACGTCGTCGCAGAATTATATCGATAAGGGCAAACCAGGCACTCCACTGCTTTGCGCCCCTCCATTTGTCTCCGCCCCGCCAGGCGATCCACTCAGCCTTTTTGCATTTCTCTTCAATCTCTTTCCACTGGTGTCATCCTTTCTCCTTCCTCCCACCCGTCTTTCCCTTCCTTTCCCTTTTTCCACCTTATACCCTCGTCACACCGCCAACATGGTTTCCGCCTCGAAGGCTGCCCGTATGGCCAAGCGTGCCGATGAGAAGAAGCCCAAGAAGGGCGGCAAGGACGAGCCTCAGCTCGATGCCAACGGCAAGCCCATTGTCTCTGACGCTCCTGCCACCACCGACCAGAAGGCCGTCGACAAGCTCACAGCCCAGATGGACAAGCACGGTCTGTCTGATCGTGTCACCACCGGTGTGCTGTCGTCTCTGCCCGCCTCTCGCGATGTCAAGATTACCTCCACCTCCCTCGTGTTCCACGGAAAGGTCCTCGTCACCGACTCCACCCTCGAGCTAACCTACGGTCGTCGTTACGGTCTTCTGGGTGAGAACGGTTGTGGAAAGTCCACCATGCTCAAGTCCATCGCTGCTCGCGAGTTCCCCGTCCCTGAGCACGTCGATATCTACCTTCTGAACGAGGGTGCTCCTCCCAGTGACCTCGGTGCCCTTGAGTGGGTTGTCCGTGAGGCTGAGCGCCAACTCGAGGCCATGGAGAAGAAGGCCGAGGATGTTCTTGAGGCCGAGGGTCCTGACAGCCCCATCCTCGAGGATCTCTATGACGTATGTTCTCACCGTCTTTTTTTTTTTTTTTTTTTTTTTGGACTGAACTCAGGCTGACCCATTGCTATAGAACATTGACAAGATGGATCCTTCCACTTTCCACGTCCGTGCCTCTCTCATTCTGACTGGTCTCGGTTTCAACAAGCACACCATCAACAAGAAGACCAAGGATATGTCCGGTGGTTGGCGTATGCGTGTGGCCCTTGCCAAGGCCCTGTTCGTCAAGCCCTCTTTGCTCTTGCTCGATGACCCCACTGCCCATTTGGACTTGGAGGCGTGTGTGGCTTGAGGAGTACCTCAAGAAGTGGGACCGTACCCTGATCCTTGTTTCCCACTCCATGGATTTCCTCAACGGTGTCTGCACCAACATGCTGGACATGCGTGGTCAGAAGCTCCTCTACTACGGTGGTAACTACGACTCTTACCACAAGACCCGTAGTGAGCAGGAGACCAACCAGATGAAGGCCTACGCCAAGCAGCAGGAAGAAATCCAGCACATCAAGAAGTTCATTGCTTCCGCTGGTACCTACGCCAACTTGGTGCGTCAGGCCAAGTCCCGCCAGAAGATTCTCGACAAGATGGAGGCCGATGGTTTCATCCAGCCTGTCCTTGCCGACCGTGTCTTCACCTTCCGCTTCGCCGATGTCGACAAGCTCCCTCCCCCAGTTCTGTCCTTCGACGATGTCAGCTTCTCTTACTCCGGTAATTGGGAGGACACCCTCTACGAGCACCTCGACTTCGGTGTGGACATGGACTCCCGTACCGCCCTCGTCGGCCCCAACGGTGTTGGCAAGTCCACGCTACTCCGTCTGATGACCGGCAAGCTCAGCCCCATCGGTGGCCGTGTCAGCCGTCACACCCACTTGAAGCTCGGCATGTACTCCCAGCACTCCGCCGAGCAGCTTGACCTCACCAAGTCCTCTCTGGAGTTCGTCCGTGATAAGTTCCCCGAGAAGTCCCAGGACTACCAGTACTGGCGCCAGCAGCTCGGCCGCTACGGTCTGAGCGGTGAGGGCCAGACTGCCCTCATGGGTACCCTCTCCGAGGGACAGAAATCTCGTATCGTCTTCGCCCTGCTCGCAATTGAGTCCCCCAACATGATCCTGCTGGACGAGCCTACCAACGGTCTCGACATCCCCACCATCGACTCCCTTGCCGATGCCATCAACGCCTACAGCGGTGGTGTTGTCGTCGTGTCCCACGATTTCCGTCTCCTCGACAAGATCGCCAAGGACATCATGGTCTGTGAGCACAAGACCGTCCGCCGCTGGGATGGCTCCATTGGAGAGTACAAGAACTACCTCCGTAACAAGATGTTGTCGGCCGGTGCTGTCTAGTGCGCTTCTCTTGCTTTCGCTTCTCCTTGCTCCATTTTTTTCCATGTTTCCTTTTTCATGTTTCCTTTTTCATTGATGACGACGAAATGCTAGACGAGAACTGAAGGAATACAATGCCCCATTTGCGGTGCTAAAAGTTTGGCTCCCACTGGGAGACGTTCTGACACAAAAAGTTCCTTGGTTTTGGGATGGGTTTCATTTTATTTTCCTTTCATTTGTTAGATCGTTTATCCTTGCTTCCATGCGCTAGATGAGGTGCTTTTGGTCGCTTGGGATTTGTGCGTTGGTTGTCATACTCGAATTACCCCTCCTCGATTGGGACAGGCGTGATCCGTCTGTCCGAGTTTTCCCCTGTCTTATCTTGCATCCTTGATAGAGTATCTAGTCCTCTCTTCCGAGGTGAATATAAGTGATGCCATTTGTATGTGCACATTAGCACTTTGTTCAAGATACGGATGAAGTAGACAGCGTAGTAATTCGCTCCACTTCATGTTATGTATGCTCTCGCTGAATTGTTCCTGGGCTTCTTATCTTGGCTCTTCTGTTGATCATCCACCTAAAAACATCATGTTACATACATAGCTATTCGAGGCCGACTAGCGTATAAACGTGTGTGTATCTAGCTTAACGAATGCACGTTTAGCGGGGAGACAGCACTATCCGGTCCAGATGTAGGGACACCTCTAGCGTTGATGGAGGCGTAGTTAGCTTGGATAAGTTGATTTCAGCTACGAAATGAGCAGTTCTTATCATAAATCCTTCCAGATATTTAAAGTTATGTTGATAAGCCGCCGCCGAACGTAGCGACGTTTATCCGAATAGCTTAGAAAGTGATAAGGAGAGACTATCCCTTGAACGTATAGGTTCACCTCCCAAACTGAAATATGTCCCTCTTTAAGCTAGAAGCGACACTGTCTGGGCCAAAGAAGTTCGTCGTGTTCATCTAGATAGCCTTCTTCTAGACTAGAATGAAACATCTCTAACAGACAAATTGTTTGTCCAGGCCTCTAAAAAAAGTAAAATAGCCTAACTCTAAGCTAATACAAGAACTGTATATGCTCCAAAATGTTAATGTACAAATCTATACAAGCGGAATATAGACCTTTCCACGTCAAAATAAGAACTATATAGCCTCCGAGATGTTAATCTACCCTACCTAAATTAGCACTCTTCTATGCTTTTATCAGACAAAACGTTAGTGTAGACATATACAAAAGCCCAATAGGCCTCCTTCTAATATAAATTTAGAACTGCATATCCTACAAAATGTTAAGTTATTATATCTAACAAGGCTTCTCTCATGTTCAATACGCCTTCGTCTTGGTCAGAATTGGTTATCAATCGGGCCAATTACAGCTCCGTTCGAGTTCAAAATAACTCCGCTTAGGGTATTTAAACAAGTAAAATGTTCATGTAGGCATTTGTGAAAACGGCCAATGCCTCCCACTAAGCTAGAACTGGCACCCTCGCATCCAGAGATGTTTATAGCGGTAACTTGAGTAAAAGTGTCTTCAAGTTATGCTCGAGCATAAAGATGTTCAGAACTAGTTCAATACTAGTACATCTAAGCTATCTTCAAACAGAAGGACGTTTATATAAATAGGTTAGGCGATAATCTATCGAAACTACCCTCAAATATAGAAGCTACCCTTGAACTTAGAGAAGATCATCCCTCATGAAATACGCCCCTCACTCTCAGGACAAAAGCGACACGAATGCTAGAAACATTCAATACCCCCGTTTAAAGGGCTCCTTCTCCCTAAACGTACACTTTTAAGAGTCCCCCAAACGTACGTTCTGGCACCACCCCTAAAATTAATTATTGGGGACCCCCGCCTTATGACCAAGGCTTATATACCCGCATATCTATATGGGGCCTTATGTAAATAATTCTCAAATGCGTGGCTTTGGAGACAATGCCCTATAGTCGAAGCTTCATCAAGCATATATACCTGCGATGTCAGTCATTCTCTATCAGATTTTGGAAGATCATACCGCATGGGCAGCTTTGTCCAGCCGTGCTGTATATCAATGCTTATTGTTGCAACAAGGCTTGTACGACGTAATTATACCTTTCTTTGTCACATTCCGACTTATAAAATACGATTTTAAAATGCGTGAAAGGCCAAAGAAGACAACATTAAATGTTCTTTGTGGCTCCATCCTTTGTATCATCAACCAAGAGATTCCCAAAACAGGAATAACCCAATGCGGCTGTGTTTTCGAGGCATTATAAAGCGCAAAATTCCCCATTTTCCTATCTTTGCAATATCCATCAAAACAAATTATGCTACGTCAAACCATCACAAGTTTGGAAAACCCTCATCATTAGTCTTACACTCGCCAATACAAGTCTACAAGTCACCCTAGGGCAAGCTCAAGGTAAGCCCTCATACAACTTTGAACCACTCACATTTTCCTACCAGGTCACCCCAAATCCCAAACAAAACAATGAATCACCCTAGAAACTACGACCTCCCACCCAACTTCAGCGAAACCTACAAGAAACTTTGCCGAACCTTTACAGAGAGGCTAGATCAGCAAGTTACTATTCTTAGTAGTCCGCAACCCGACCGGCTCCAGGTTATGTTGGAGATAAGAGATCTTGCTTCACTTGTCGGGCAAATTGGATATCTTGGTTGGGTTGGAGGCTCGGATATTCCTGATCGTCGTCGAGCTCTCCCAAAATACGGATATAAGCCTCTGAAGGACATTTGCGCTACTATTAGCCGCAGCTTGGATCAACTAGCGGTTATGCTCGCCGTTGATGATAGAAATGATGTTGTTGTTGCGAATGAGTTGGAAGAGATCTTGAATAGCTTGCCTTTCGAGAAAATAGCGGTACAACCCTTTGAAAATATTTGAACGAGGGCTATGGGCATCTTGTATCAAATGGTAGTTGATTTTGTGGCTGATGATAGAAATCATGTTGCTGTTGTGAATGAGTTAGAAAATATGTAGAGTAGTTTTCTTGCCTAATTAATTATCAGTACGTTTTCTTTATTCTTTTTTTTTCCCTTTGGGTTCTCTTTTCGACCATTTCCCCCTTCTTTTTGTCACTTCTTCTTATGACTGAAGCGCTTGTAAACACTCGATGGGTAAAGATCGAATGTAGACCGCCATAATCAGTAATTACCAGGGCCCTGCCTCAAGCACAAGTTGCAAATATTCTCGTAGTTATAATTTTTCATAAACAAGTATAATTTAGCTCTTATCCCCGCCACGCTGTGCTGGATTCTGGCTTTCTTGCAAGAGACCGCTGCCAAACTCGGCTGCATGCATGAAATCCAAATCTGGGACAAAGGGATTAATTAGTACACCACCCACAGAAGATCTCGTTGAGTTATCTCAGTATCTACTAATTTCAGCGCGTAGAGCTATTTGTGATATTATAATATTGATAATACTTAGCATATAGATTTGTTGCACGTGGGTGTCCTATAAGTTAATAGAATTAATAGATGAAAGAGTGACGAACATCGAAGATACAGTCATAGGCCATAAGTTTCTGTACACACCCCACCAAAATGTGGGATAGATCTGACTTGATCTGGTATAGTTCTGGTGATTGATTCCGTCAACTGGGTCGAAGAATGCTTATCTTAACAGAATCAAACAGAAAAAAACAGGCTTTCTTAATTTCCACCAGTGAAGCTGCCAAGTAATGTGGAGACCAAAATAAGGTGGTCGGTTCCAATCTAACCAAGCTACCGTGGGGAGGACATCAATTTCTGACGTCTAAAACAATCCGAGGTCGTACACGTACTCATGAATAGCTTTGCCGCATCGGGGGCTCTGACAAACCCTCTCCTGTATGAGTTGGATATTATTTAGGGTTACACGGACAAGCTGGGTACGCCCCCAATAGGCTGATCGACATGTACAAACCCCATTTGATACGTTTAAGCAGGGCTGATCTCTGAGCTGGTGCATTGAGTGACGAGACTGGAGAGCTAAAGTGTTGGGTATGCTACTTTGAATTAAACCCCACGGTTGGAAGAAGTGTGTATTTTCGATCAAAAAGTAGCGATAATTAATTTTATAAACAACCTCAGCATTATACCGGGTTTCTATGTTGACCAGAGATCTACGAGTGACAAGAATTGGCTTGTTTGCGTCTTATGTTATAGTTGAGTGTTCAGTTGTTGATTTCCAGTCGTTTCCACATGAATTGTTGCTACCAACGTATTCAACCGGTTATGACAACGAAGCAATTCCCACCGGGAAGTCTGGGAGACATATATAGCGATGTAATACCCACGGCTGGGCGAGGGTGCACCCTCAACTAACGTTATCCATTAAGGGCATGAGGTATATGCGCTCGCTAATGCTTCAATATGAATCTCTCTGCTATGGTTGCGATCCACTTGATTCAGGGCCATCCACAATGTTATGAGAGAGCATGGTTCCGATTATTTCATCGAGCTGGATACTCAGCGGCACTGGCATGATTAAGACTGTGTCATGAGATGTCTCTCAGCGCATCGATAGATGCCAGATATTCATTTAGACGAAATGATTATTACTGCTGTTTTGTTCGCTGAGTGACCAGCTCGGGACCAAAGACGTCATTGCTCTCGCGGAAATTTTGTTCCTGCTCCAACTTCCGCTTTTTCGCCAAGCGTTCCGACTCACTCTCGGAGTTGGCCATCCCAGATTCGCTTGGCACGCCAGTGGATGGCTGTGCTGATTCCCGCTTTTGGGCAGCCATATTTGCTTTCTCGGGGTTCTGGCAATGGTAAAGCTTCTTTGCGATGCGCTTGAGACTCTTCATTTGGGCGGGATCAGAGGAGAGCGGCGTGTAGGATTGGAGGAAAGCAGTGCAGTCAGTTAAGACGCGGTGAAGCTTGCAACGGATTTCATATAGGGGGTTTTGGAGACCATTTTGGGTTGTTTCGGAGGTAGCTGTGGCGGGTGTGACGGGGCCGCCGAGTTTAACGTCCAGAAGGAACTCAGCCAAGGGTCGATCGGCTATAAGAAAGGCGGAAAGCCATATTTGGGAGGGTGTGTAGAGGAAGTAGACATCGGTCATTTGGGCCGCGGTCTTGAGCAGCTCACGAGTTGTGCCGTGGGCTCGTGCGATGCGATCGGACATCGATGATGATGGGACTGGAGGAGGCGCGATAGACATTAACCCCTGTTGCAGGTCTTCGGAAGTCTCATGTGGTAGGTGAGGGGCTGCTTGGCCTTGACCGTGTGCGATAGCTTGAAGTTCCATGATGCCGCCCTCGAGTCCTCGGAACGGATGCCGTACATCAAAGGTGAAACGAAGTCCCTGCATGAGCAGAAACTCTGGTGTAATAACATCCTCTGTAGTTGTGTCACCCGGAATACCCTCTGCAAATTGTCGAAGCGACATATAGTAGTTGTCGGTCTTCGTCGCAAGGAAGAGCGCGCACGCCATGATCGACTTCGGGTGGTATGTCATAGGTGAATTGGTTAGGTAGAAGCGGCGGAGGTATTGAATCGCAGTGGCCTATATGCGCGTCGGATGGAGGAGTCAGCTTTGAGAAGTTCTTTCCTAGTGTGACAGCACTGGTAGCATGGTAATCAGACTTACCCGAACCATTGTTGGCAGCGGTGGCTTGTACGTCTCCCCTAGCTCCAGCGTCTTCTCACAATAATACCGCACCAGAACAAGCTCCTCCTCTGGTGTCAAACACTCAATCGGCTTTTCTTCGTTGCTTTTGCCATCCATGTCGCTGCCCGGCTGCGGCGTGCCAGCTGCAGAGGACGCGGCCGACGGTTGAGTCTCGCGTGCCCTGCGCAAGGCAGCCCGTACACGCTCACTGGCCACAGCATTTGTCGTCGCCCGGAGTGATTGTAAAGAAGCCTCAGTGTAGGACCATAGTCGATACTGAGACGAGGTACGGTAGATATCGTCTTCGATCATGGCGACCGCGATTTTTTTAGTTTTGGGCTTGATGACGGAAGCCGATCGTGATCACTTGCTGGGATATTGGTAGGCTACTATGTGCGGTTCTCGGCTGGGCGCAAGACTCGAACGGTCTGGGTTCGATTCTAAATATCAGAAGTATACGGACGAGCAACGGCAGCGTTGAAGTTGGAGGGAGCTGGACGGTTCTTATCGATAACGACCACTCACTTCGCACGGCCGAACCTGGGCGCCCTTATCCTTCCAACGATATTTATTTGGAAAAAAAAGGTGGAAGTTCTGTTAATTTCATAGGTTGAGGGAGCAATGAACATCGACGCACAAACCACCCAATGCAATGTGTCCATCTATGTGCTATTCCTATTTCGTCGCACACTAGGCCATACGTCACTCACCAAGAAGTCGAGCAGTAATATCTGCCATGTGGCCTTCTTCTAATTCATAGTCCTGTCCTCCTCTTCGGGGAGCGCCGACAAAACGGAAAGCAGCTACGACCTGTTCGACGTCAAATCCCATGCTGCCAAAACGGTCAATCAGATCCTTGTTGTATCCATCATATCTATAATCAAAGGTGAGCAGCCATGTCCGAAACGTGACAAAGAAACAACTTACTTTGCCAAGTTATCAACACCGGTACCTTGCTGCACCTCATCTAAGTCAGCTGCGGCTCCATTCCCTGTATTGCTCATGGGGGCGCCAGCATAGAGAACTGCCCATTCACGGGCAACACGCTCGAATTCCTTTGGTGTCTTGAGAAGCATGTTGGCTACCTCAGCATCTTGTGGGTCCTTGGGCTCAGGTGTGCTGAGCAAAGATTGCAACGACAGCAAGGCAGATTTGATAGTGAGTACTGGTGACCAGGCACTAGATAGCGTGTCAAGACAGATTGCACCCTGTATAAAGAAAATGAGCATCTAGGTAATTATATATCCAATGAGAAATCGTAATAATACTGACTGTTTGGCTGCTGACATTGGGATGCCAAACTTTAGTCTCAAACTTCATTGCAGGTGGCCGGAAGGGGTAGTCCGTAGGGATTTTGATATCAATGATGTAGGTGCCACCTTCATAGGGAGTACCAGGTGGTCCGGGAAAGGATCCTCGAAGATGTGTTACATCATCCAAGTCTCCAAAAGGCTCAGCCTTGATCTGGGAATGTGTGTCTGCATGGATGTCGGCAATTTCTTTCCCAACACGACGTGTGCGGTTGCTAGCCATGGTGATTCGTAGTTTCAATCCAGATGGGAGAAAGGAGCAGGATGGTTATGTGGAAGATTGTAGGAATAGTTCTGTCTCGTCGCTCGTTGCGCAGTAGTGTTGGGAGAATGCCGCGGTTAGGATTTTGGAGATAAGCGCACGTATGTTAAATATAGCTAATACAAGAGAAGGAGGGTTAGAGAGGCTTAAAATTGAATATGCAAGAAGATAAATAGAGTACGAAAAGGCTTTTCGCCCAAGAGAGATAGGAACAACGCGAGATAGACAAGAATCTCACCAAATGGAGGGGAACTATGACGGGAAACGAGCTCAATTAATGAGTTCAAATAGGCTTGCTTCCGTTGACAAGGGTTCGAGGAGAAAGAATACCTTCGAGGCTCAGCCACGTGAGACCAAGACCTGAATACCGTTCAGTTGGAATACGAATATCCTCGATTGCTCGAAAATGTTCAAGCTGCGAAGTGCCGAAGTGGGCTCAGGCATCGAGGCAGACATGACGCAGTGGCGGCCTGAGGCCCAAAAATCATGTGACTTGTGACAACAGCTGGAAGCTCGCCGAGCATCTGACCCCGGGCGACACCAACCACACCTGCATTCACAACCCATCCCTTCCACCTTTTATTTCCCATCATTTCCAACTCATTGGAGCTCGGGGTTTACGCAGCCATTCAATCTGTTACCTTACTACGGGATTCTGATTGTATCCCCTTAGGTGGCTGACAAACATGGTGAGTCCCTCAACTTTCTATCGCCTTCGGTCAACCATTTGAATAAACTGACATTTGAAACCAGGGTCAACAACAATCTAACATGGGCGGCGGCCCCGGTGGTGATGGACGCGATGACAAGGACAAGAAGGTATGATTTGAATCGTTTCTCTTTTGACGGCAACTGGCGCTAAGACCGCGTTTCATTAGAAGGACAAGCCTAGATACGAACCTCCCCCACCACCTACCACTCGCATCGGAAAGAAGAAGCGCAAGGCTGCCGGTCCCAGCACTGCCTCTAAGCTCCCAGACATTTACCCTACCTCGCGATGCAAACTACGTTATCTTCGCATGCAGCGGGTGCACGACCACCTGTTGTTAGAAGAGGAGTATGTCGAAAACATGGAACGCATGCGCAAGTCCAAGGCCCAAGCTACCCAGGATCCCGGCAGCCGAGGTGACTTGGATGTGATGGATCGGAACGCTGATGAGCGCAGTCGAGTCGATGACATGCGAGGCAGTCCCATGGGGGTTGGCAACTTGGAAGAGTTGATCGACGATGACCACGCTATTGTTTCGAGTGCTACTGGCCCCGAGTACTACGTTTCGATCATGTCCTTTGTTGATAAAGATCTCCTCGAACCGGGTGCCAGTATTCTACTACACCACAAGTCGGTTTCTGTCGTCGGTGTATTGACAGAGGAGTCCGACCCCCTTGTGTCAGTGATGAAGCTGGACAAAGCTCCCACGGAGTCATATGCCGACATTGGTGGTCTGGAATCACAGATCCAGGAGGTTCGTGAGTCCGTGGAGTTGCCATTACTACACCCCGAGCTGTACGAGGAGATGGGTATCAAGCCCCCCAAAGGTGTTATTCTCTATGGTGCCCCCGGTACCGGAAAGACGCTTCTTGCCAAGGCTGTCGCCAACCAGACAAGCGCTACTTTCCTCCGCATTGTTGGTAGTGAGTTGATTCAGAAGTACCTGGGTGACGGTCCTCGTCTGGTTCGCCAGATCTTCTCAGTTGCCGCTGACCACGCTCCATCCATTGTGTTTATTGATGAGATTGACGCTATCGGTACTAAGCGTTACGAGTCGCAATCCGGTGGTGAACGCGAAATTCAGCGAACTATGCTGGAGCTCCTCAACCAGCTTGATGGTTTCGATGACCGTGGTGATGTCAAGGTCATCATGGCTACCAACAAGATCGAGACTCTAGATCCGGCTTTGATCCGCCCTGGTCGTATTGATCGTAAGATTCTCTTCGAGAACCCAGACCGTAAGTGTTATCCTGATGTGCACTGTTTTGTATCGGTTCACTAACAGCTCCCAGAAAACACCAAGAAGAAGATCTTCACGCTTCACACGTCGAAGATGTCCCTCAGTGACGATGTTGATCTTGAGGAGTTCATCAACCAGAAGGATGATCTCTCTGGAGCCGACATTCGTGCCATCTGTACTGAGGCTGGTCTGATGGCTCTGAGAGAGCGCCGGATGAGGGTGCAGATGGACGATTTCCGTGCTGCCCGGGAACGTATCATGAAGACGAAGCAGGACGGTGGCCCCGTGGAGGGTCTGTACCTGTAAGCGCTGGTAACTGCTTGTGTCTATCAAGTGCCGGAATGCTTGCGTGGGAGGCCTCTATCCTGCTAGGTCATTTGTGTATTGTAATAATCGGACGAATTTAAATGGCTCAATGGGCAAATATCCAATGATACTGTACATGTAGAAAAGAAGACGTCTAGAGCCATGAAGAGCACCGATCTTTAACCCCAGACTGTACAAACAGTTACAGCTATACAGTTGGCTGTCAATTTGTGCATTGCCGACGTTTGTAGATATCAGTTGACCTTGTAAATGTCAACGTCAGCCCGAGATCGTCGGCTTATCGGCGTTGCAAACATAGCAAACAAAGTTCATTATCAGTTCGCATCCTCTCGTCTGTCGCAAGTTTCGTCACATCCTCAACCATGGACGGATTCGACGAGGAAGCGTTCAATAAATTCTTTCCTTCTAGCTTTGGCAAGCAGGAGAAGTCGGTTGATGTTGATTCGCAGATTAACCGCTCCAAACGCGCCGATGTTTCGGCGCAACCCACACTCGAAGACAATCAACTAGGCACCTCCACAAGCACCCCTACCGCGCAAGCAGAAGGCAATGGAGATGAGAAAAAGGACGACAACGATGATAGCGATGACAGCGATGAGGACTCAGATGACGACGAGGACGAGTTCCCCGTATCGCATGAGCTCGTTCTCAAGACTCACGAGCGTGCTGTCACAACCATGACCGTGGACCCTTCAGGGGCGCGACTAATCACAGGTTCGACCGATTGTACGCTGAAGCTCCATGATTTTGCTTCGATGACTCCGTCAACTATTCGCGCCTTCAAATCTGTCGACCCTTCCCTCAAGAAACAATCGGCAGCGCAGGACACCCACGCCGTTCATTACGCCGCTTTCAATCCACTTTCGCCAAGTCATGTTCTTGTTGTGACCGCAACGGCACAGCCCCGGATTCTGAGCCGGGATGGCGAAACCCTTACTGAGTTTGTGAAGGGGGATATGTATCTGCGCGATCTACACCACACCAAAGGTCATATCTCCGAGGTGACGTGCGGTGCCTGGAGCCCCTCCGATCTTAATCTATGTGCAACTGCTGGAAGTGACAGTACCATTCGAATCTGGGATGCGAATGTGGGACGCTCGCAGAGGGAAGTGATAGTGCACAAGTCTCGGGCGGCTGGCTCCGCTGGTCGAACCAAGATGACTGCTATCGCATGGGGCACCCCAAAACAGGGAGGGTCCGATATTCTCGTGGGTGCAGCTCTCGATGGCAGTCTGGTCATGTGGAGTGGAAATGGCCCCTACTCAAGACCCAGCGCAGAAATCCGGGACGCTCATGCCAAGGATACATGGACAAGCGGATTGGATGTCAGCTCCGATGGAAGGCTTGTCATCAGCCGAGGTGGTGATGATACCATCAAGCTGTGGGATACCAGGAAGTTTAAGACACCGGTTACCACAGTTGATCACAAATCGACGTCCTTCCGCTACCCGACGTCAAATATCCAGTTCTCTCCCTCGTCTGCAAATGTGCTCGTTGGCTCTGAAACTGGCCATCTACACATCCTCAACCCGGCAACTCTCAGGCCAGAGTTAGTCACTGCTGTTACACCAGGATCGCCTCTAATTACCGTGTTCTGGCATGAAAAGCTCAATCAGATCCTGACAGGCTCTGCCAATTCCGAGACTCATGTCCTCTACAACCCGACCACATCTACGAAGGGCGCAGCAATGGTCATGTCCAAGGCACCAAAACGCCGCCATGTCGATGATAATGCCACTCTCACTACGGACTTGACACAAGGACTGGCAGGGGACTCTGTAGTGGTCGGCTCCAACGGAGTGCCGCACTACAGCTCGGCCACCTGGTCTGCCCGTCACCCTAATGTTGGTCTGACAGCTTCCGGTCGCTCTCGAGACCCTCGTCGGCCACACTTGCCGCTACAAACACCATTTGCCAAGTCTACGCCAGATGAAAAGCACATCCGTGAGAATATCCCTCTCAGTTCTATGCGAGATGAGGACCCGCGGGAGGCACTGCTGAAGTATGCCGAAAAGGCCGAGAAGGACCCTATATTCACCAAGGCATACAAGGAAACACAGCCCGATGCCATCTACGCGGAGCTGAGTGACGAGGAAGAAAAAGGACCCGAAAAGAAGAAGGCCAGGCGATGATTGAATGTCTCTCGCTTGGTTTTCGAACATGTATAATATCTATGAACATTCACTGATCGCGAATTACGACTAAAACGAGTCTGCTATTGCCAGTCCCGATATGCTTGTAATCTCATTGTAAACTTCCTAACTCACCGATAAAACATCCACGCGTTTAATCTTCCCCTTACATTCTATCTGGGGTGTCCCCTCTTTTGCTGCTGCATGACGTCCCCAAGAGCCCGCCGATCCATAACAGTCCACCCGCACTGCCAATGGCAGCTATGGGCGCGGCCGCATGAGCTCAGGCCTCGCGCAGACCTCGCATTTGGCGCGATTTAATTCATAGGTAATGCGCCTTTGAACATTAAATGACCTTGTAGAAGCAGGGAGGAAGGCCTGAGGTTGCGTGCTGACATGAGCAATTTTTCTCCGCTCCAGCACCTCCGTGCATTGCCGCCTGCCCAAACCTCTTCCCAATCACCTCGGATGCCGTATCCGTGGATTACTTTTCTCGCGACGATTTCGGCTTGCTCGGATCAGCATGCAGCCATTTGCGACTTGAGATCGAATGTTCACCGTTGATTCTGGGAGTTCGTTGTAATCGGCCGCACCCGCCGGAGAGCTGGGTATAAGGGGTGCGATACAAACAAAGCGTGAAAGCGCATCACTTCGGACGACCAGATGGCTTCTTTGCAAGCCTCATTAGTAGCAAACCTGCTGCCATCTCTCCTTTTTTCGACTCTCTCTCCTTCCAGATCCTCCTCATTCGCCTCTTCTTCCGTCCACGACCTTCTCACCACGACCTCAAATTTCGCTTCGGATCTTCCGCATAATCATGACGGAAGTAAAGGGGGAAATATGCACGAATGGTCATCCCTGATCGGTATCGTGACGGCTCTTTGTGGAAATGTCTTGATCTCCTTAGCCCTCAATATCCAACGCTATGCCCATATCCGAATCGCAAGAGAATGGGAGCAGGACAAGAGTCAGAAGGAAGCCGATTGGAGACGCACACATTCCGGATCTGATATCGCGAACTCGAACGGGGCTGTTGGAAGCAACGGGACTCGCGACCAGTCACGAGGCCGATCTCGGGAACAATACCGAGATTCTGAGGATACCTTCGAGCCTTACCGTGACGATGACACCCAAAGGCGGAACAGCACGTCAAGCTCTCGAGATGGCAATTATCCCGGGGAAGGCGGGAACCGCAAGTCTTATCTCAAGTCGCCGTACTGGTGGGTTGGTATCGTCCTCATGGTTGTGGGCGAGATGGGCAATTTCATGGCTTATGGTTTTGCACCAGCTTCGATTGTGTCACCATTGGGAGTTGTGGCTTTGATCTCTAACTGCATTATTGCGCCATGCTTGCTGAAAGAGAAGTTCCGCAAACGCGATTTCTGGGGTGTGCTGGTCTCTGTTGCTGGGGCTGTCGTTGTCGTTCTCAGTGCCAAATCATCCGAAGAACAAATTGGACCCCACGAGATTTGGGTGATGATTACCCGTTGGGAATTTGAACTCTATCTTGGATTGACTATTTCTTTGATTATTGGTCTGATGTGGGCAAGTCACCAATATGGCTCTCGCTCAATTCTCATTGATGTAGGGCTTGTGGCACTATTTGGTGAGTCTCAGCTGTCTCTATTTTCTGGCATTCAATTCATTGGATTATTTTACTGACTGACAATAGGTGGATATACTGCCCTGTCTACCAAGGGTGTCTCTTCACTCCTGTCTGGCCAACTATGGCACATCATTACATTCCCAATCACCTATGTTCTCGTCTTTGTGCTTGTTTCCAGCGCATTAATGCAGATTCGTTACATCAACCGTGCCTTGCAGCGCTTCGATTCTACGCAAGTGATTCCGACACAGTTTGTACTCTTCACCCTTGCTGTGATCATCGGAAGTGCAGTTCTTTACCGTGATTTCGAATCGATCACAGCGACCCGGGCCACAAAGTTTGTCGGAGGATGTTTGTTGACATTCCTTGGTGTGTACTTTATCACGAGTGGTAGAGTCCGCGCCGACGACGAGTCATCCTTTTCATCTGAAGATGAGGAGGGATCTATTGGTTTGTTGAACGGCGAAAGATATCATGATAGATTTGATTTGTCTCCTCCTGGTCATCAACTGCCGAAGGCGAAGGCATCTCATCTTGACAGAAACGCGCAAGATGGCACCGTCCAGTCACCTCCAGGGTCCTTATTGAGTCAAGGCATTGAAGGGGTTGATGATGGCGAGTTGACTCCTGGAGGTGTCCTTTCCGCTGCGCCCTCTTCGCCACGGGGATCCCTCACTGCAGACTCCCCTATTTCTCCCCCATCCTTCGACCATACTTCACCATTGCGACCCCCGTCTCGCATGTCCAATCCCTGGGCAGACATTCAAGAAGAGGCTGTTGTGACTCCCGAATCTGATCACCACTCTTATCGCCCTTCCACTCCAACTCAACAAGATAGTGATACAGCACAGGCTTCGACCGTTCTTTTGCGGTTTCCCCCTGCCCCTGGCCTGGAAGAAGTGTCAGGACACAATGGCAGCGCTGGAACTGTGCGACGTGCTTCGACGCCCACGCTGCTAAACCAACCAAGTCAACTTGGTCCCGATGAGACTCCCTTGGAGACCCCTTCGCGGCGCACTCTGCGTAGCTCCGTCTCACACCGCTTTTCGCCCGGAGCTCTTCTCCCCACGCTATCTGGTGGTTTCAGTGCCGTCGTGGCTGACTCTATCCGACGCGGAGACGGCAGCCCTCTCAAGGACCGCACAAAGCGAAAATTAGGACGTCGCCGTCAACTTGACGGTGCTTTCACCGATCCGTCTCTCTTTGTTGACGGGAATGAACCAGAATCATCACTTTCAGTTGCCACTGCTCGTCTCCAGTCCGCCACGAACCTCGCTGATGCGCCTGCAGAGGCTGGCCGCTCTACCCCGGCTCTTGCAACAAAAAATCACCCCACGCAGGCGCCAGACTCTAACAAAGACGTGGCTCGTCTTCGCAGTTTCAGTGACTCGTGGAATGGTGGACTTGCATGGCTGGGAGATGCTCTGCGCAAAAACCACAGCAAAGCCATTGACGGGGCGGCGACGCAAGGAACGCCAACTCCCCACGACGAAGACGCACCGCCCGGTCCAAGAAACGAGCCACGCAGTAATGCCGGTGCCGAGAACGAATCTCGGCGATAATCACCGCAATGGACACATCGGCCTTGACTGGTAAGGTCAGATACGTGACAGTGGCTGGTTCACTCGAACTGTACATACTATTTCTACTTCCCTCGCCATTTTTCTGGGCATCTTCTTGCTGCGATATTCCCTTGGCGGTACATTATTGTCTTGTAATTGTTATTGCATTGTCCGGGTATATGTTAGGCATCTAATAATGTATTTCTTCCAGTGTATTTCCTCACTACAATGTATAGTTGGCCGACAGAGAGTGAGTGGCTCGTCGAAAGCCACCCATCTCGCTTTAGTCTTATGTACAATTAAGTTCATTTTTTACTCGATTATTCCAAAGCAGCATTCCGATCTCCGGCTTCCTAGGCTTCTGGCATGACATGGTGCTCCCCGCCGGGCGACACGCAAATCCCTAATAGGTGGAAAATGCAAACCGGAAACACCGCCCTACAGGGGTTACACCCCGTTTCCCAGATGGCTTGATTGCTCTTCGTTTAGCAAGTCAATTTAGCCGGTAATCCAGTTATAGGACATAAGTCATTTCATACCCCCCACCTGTATACCATCTACATATGAACTCGAGGCACTCGAAAATAAGGCCGAAAAGATGTGAAAAAGAGAGGCCAAAGTAGGGCTAAAGCAATGTATAACACGGTACACTCAGCTCGAGGCTTTCGTGCAGAGACCGTTCAAAACTTCATGGCACTGTATACACATTTATAACTCCTGTTGTACTATGTAACCCCCTCAACCCCACAACCCCAGTCCACCATTCCAGTGTGGAGGCGGGGATGTCACTCCGTCTCATGACGGTCCTAGCTCGCCATTAACTTCGCCAAGCTGTGGACTACTGCAGTCAGGGTTGACCAATTTGGTCTGTTTTGGTACTAAAGCGGCTTCATTTCCGTTGAATGATCGTACTATAGTCTTCAAGCTAGTGAATTTATCCAATTTTGACTTCAATTCTCGGGATCGATCAATCTCGTGCTGCGATGGGATTGGTGTCTTGGTCAATGTTCGATGTTCCCACTGTGCAAGGGAGCATAGCTCTTCTGCATGAACATATATGTGGGATATATCCTCCTCGATGATTTCATTTCCTTTCCTTCCCTGTTCCAATCCGAGTATTTGTTAGCTGGTACACCGGTTCGTGCCCATTGAGCTTGGAAAAGAAGCTGACATCTCCCTGTCATCAAAATGGTGGCCAATTTGCTTTCCCATGGGCTGTTGCTCGTGGAGATTTTTGCTGCTTTGGCTCAAGGAAGCTCGACACCGATCTACAAGGATGCTAGTGCGCCAGTGGAAAAGAGAGTCAAGGACTTATTGGGTCGGATGACGATCGAGGACAAGATGTCTCAATTGATTCAAGGTGTGTTAAGTGGTACCGATCCATGCTCGATACATGTTCAGGAATGCGCCGCTTTTAGTCTATGTCGAGAGTTTCACTCGCTGATATAGTAATTAATAGGTGATATCACGAATTGGATGAACTCCACCTCGGGGGAATTCAACTATACCGGACTGGTGGCCAACATGGAGATGAAGGCGGGCATGTTCTATGGTATGAGTCTTCGAGCACTTCAAAACGGGATCTATACGTCGTTGTGGCGCATTGCTAACGAATAACCAGTTGGATATCCTGTGGCTTGGGATTGGATCGCGGATAATATCAAGAGGGGCCAGGACTATCTCCTTCACAACACCACTCTTGGAATTCCTGCAATTGTTCAGACTGAAGGTATGTCACACGTGTTCTATATGATCCAGGGGTATCCGATGTCTGACTTCATCCTTTGTGCAACAGGTATCCACGGATTCTTGATTGGCAATGCTACCATCTTCAACTCGCCCATTGCATATGGATGTTCTTGGAACAGGGATGTAAGTGAACCACAATATCTCAGTTTGAAATATTATATGGTACATTCATTGATCTAACTAAACGTATTATGAAGCTTATTGAAAAGATGGGTAAGATCATTGGCCAAGAAGCCAAAGCCCTTGGTGTCAACCAACTATTTGCTCCAGTTGTTGATCTCGCCCGTGAGCTTCGGTTTGGTCGTGTAAGTTCTACCAACTTGTCAAACTGATAATTGAGCTAACGAAGTTCGAAAAAGGTCGAAGAAACTTTCTCCGAAGACCCCTTCCTCGCAGGTGAAGTCGGTTACAGTTATGTCAAAGGTGTGCAAAGCAAGAAGGTCTCTTCGATGGTGAAACATTTTGCAGGCTTTAGTAGCCCCGAGCAGGGGCTTAATACTGGCCCAGTTCATGGTGGCGAGAGAGAGTTGCGCACAACGTATGTTAAAAATACCTGAAGCACGAGTGGATTGCTAACAATTGGTTAGATGGCTGCCGCCCTTCAAGCGAGCTATCATTGATGCAGGTGCCTGGTCTATCATGGCTGCATACCACTCGTACGTAGGCACTGTGGTCTTTCAGCATCGTTATGAATCTAACAAAATCTACTAGATATGACGGAATCCCGGCCGTCTCCGATTATCATACGCTCACTGAAATACTGAGAGAAGAATGGGGCTATGAATACTTTGTCATGTCCGATGCAGGTGGCAGCGATAGAATTTGCAGCTACTTCAAGCTCTGCGAGAGTAAACCTATTGACATGGAGTCAGTCACCACGCAGCTATTGACTGCTGGAACTGACGTTGAAATGGGAGGTGGCTCATTGTAAGTACAAGTCTTTCCTCTGTCTTGATGAGTACATGTACTGACATCTGGGAAGCAACTTCCAAAAGATTCCTGAGCTTGTCAAGTCCGGCGACCTCGACATTTCGGTTGTCAACACTGCGGTTTCTCGGTTGCTGCGAGCCAAGTTCGAGATGGGTCTCTTTGAGAACCCATACCCTGCTGCCCCGGAGAAGGAATGGAAGAAGCTTATCAATAGCCCTGAGGCTGTGAAGCTTTCAAGAGACTTGGATAAGGAATCAATTGTATTGTTGGAAAACCATAACGCGACTCTGCCCTTGAAGAAGTCGGGTAGCATTGCCGTCATTGGGCCTATGGCTCATGGCTTCATGAACGTAAGTGGAACCACAGCCATTTAGCGTGATAGAGGAAAAGTGCCATTCATGATGCTAATGAAGCTTCTAGTACGGTGACTATGTTGTCTATAAGAGTCAGTACCGGGGTGTCACTCCCCTTGACGGTATCAAGGCTGCTGTTGGCGACAAGGCTCAGGTCAACTATGCCCAGGGATGTGAGCGATGGAGCAATGACCAGTCAGGCTTTGATGCTGCAGTCGACGCTGCAAAAAAATCCGATGTGGCCGTCGTCGTCGTTGGAACTTGGTCGCGCGATCAAGGTGAACTCTGGCAAGGGCTGAACGCAACGTAAGTCACACAAATCTGTTCCACAATAGACCTCGAAATATTGTCAGAAGAACCAAAACTGACTGTATTGAAGGACTGGTGAACATGTCGACGCAGACGACCTGTCTCTTGTCGGTGCCCAAGGACCACTTATCAAGGCTATTGTCGATACGGGAGTCCCAACAGTTGTTGTCCTCTCAAGCGGCAAGCCCATCACAGAAACCTGGCTATCAAACAGCACCTCCGCTTTGGTCCAACAATTCTACCCAGGCGAGCAAGGCGGTAACGCCCTCGCCGATGTCCTCTTCGGCGACTACAACCCATCCGGCAAGCTCTCAGTCAGTTTCCCACGCTACGTTGGAGACCTTCCAATCTTCTACGACTACTTGAACTCAGGGCGCTCGATCGGCGACCAAGGCTACGTCTCAAGCAACGGCACTCTGGTCTTTGGTCACCAGTATGTCCTCGGAAGCCCATTGCCGTGGTACCCCTTCGGCTACGGCAAGAGTTATTCCACCTTCAAATATGGAACCGTGAAGGTCGACAAGAGTGAAGTTTCTGCATCTGATAGCACTGTTACTGTCAGTGTCGATGTGACCAACACTGCCTCCCGCGACGGTACGGAGGTCGTGCAGGTTTACATTTCGGATGACATTGCTTCTGTTGTTGTTCCCAACCGTGCCCTTAAGGGCTTTGATAAGGTTGTCATTCCTGCTGGAAAGACAAAGACTGTCAAGATTCCTATCAAAGTTGAGGATATTGGTGTGTGGAATTCTCGTATGAAGTACGTTGTTGAGCCGGGTAGCTTTACTGTTCTTGTTGGTAGCAGCTCCGAGGATATTCGGGGGAACACGACATTTACTGTTCGATGATTGCCGTGAGAGCTTTCAAAGGTGTCTTGAACAGTCTGAATATTTGTACTGTACCTGTGTTTCATGGTTGTATACAATGTGAGCTTTGCTCAATTTTCTTTCGGCCAAACACGTTGAACCGCCCAACACATTAAACCCCGATGATAGTGGCGAAGTAATGACCCATAAATAACCTCATACATCTTACAAGATCATGAGCATCTTCGACTCGGCGATTTGTTTCGTTTTACCTATCAGCCTTGGAAGTATCTGAACAATATACTGTATACATCATCTGGGCAAATCGGTAGCTCTAATCTTGCTTATCCTTCTTCATATTCTTTCTAGGCCAAGCTCTGCCACTGTAGAAAAGGAGATGCGAGATTTGGCCAGTCAGTGCTATCGCTATCACCTGTTCTGATATTGAAAGAGCTCTTTATATACACTCGATCCCCTCCACCTCCTGGCCTTCCTTGAGGTGCAACTGTGTAACGATATCCCATTTGGCAGATAGTGATTTAACCCAAAAGACAAGTTGAAGGTTTACTGAACTATTAGTCAGAAGCAAGTGAAAGAAACAATGAATTCCCTGCTTAACAATTCTGTAAATACCTCACGTTAAACCAAGCGAATACGCCCTCAGCATTTCTTTCAGTCGTTGATAATGGTCATTGTAATCATGTAGAACTTACACTTCCCGGTGTTCAAGATCGGCCCACAGATGGGCCCTGTCCAGTAACCGGAGAAGCCGGAATTTCGCTCGGCGAGTGGTTTATTTGGGTATCGCCAGTGCGAGCCTCAGCTCTCCGAGTTTTGGCACCCTCTTTGAGTTTCTCCCAGCGATCCCGGTATCGCCGAAGAACTTCTTTCAGCTTGTCGTTCTCCTGAGAAGCAGCCTCGAGTTTGTGCTCGTGGTCTCGAATGAGATCTTCCAGTTCTTTGACTCGTGGGTCAGGTCCAGTTGCAGCCGGGGGTGCGGTCATGGTAGTTACTGGGGAGGTAGTACCCGATGGAGCGTGGTGAATCATCTTCAAAGATTGGTGGAGTGCCATGGTAGAAGATTGCGCGTTAACTTCCCACATATGTAGTCGGGTTGAAAGTGTGTCAGTCAAAGTCCTCAAAGCTTCATTCTCCATCTGCATTTCTTCCACTGTTTTAGTATTCGGAGCTGTGGCAAGCTGATCGGGGACATCCCGGCGTCCTCGCCATATACGAGAGCCACTGCCGCTGTGACGCATTTCGGGCGATGAAGGTGTCTCCTGCGCATCCACGAAATCATCATCGCCATCCTCGAGGCTGTTCCTGCGTGCTTCCTTCTCGGCCCGAGTGAGAATCCCTGCGTACGACATGGTCCCGCCTGTGGTCGGCACTACATAGAATGACTCGGCCGGGTTTCCGATACTTGCCCCGGCACCGTCACGAACTGACCGCAGAGCTGCTCGGGAGAATATCTTGTTCACATTAGGCTCAGGCGCAGTCGTCGACCGATCCAAAGTAGCATGGTCCCGGTCTAGTTTCACTTCAGCCGAAGACTTGCGGCTCTGTCCAGCTTGTGTTGGATTGGCTGTCCCCACTTGAAGTCCTGCGAGCGCCAAAGGTACGGATACTTTGGCGACTAGTCCACCAAATGCTGAGTAGAAGCGCTGCAACGGTTCTTCGGCAGCCGAAGGCCTATCCGTGGGCCCTGCAGACTCAGATGTGCCGGCATGTGCAACTTGTTGCGTTGTGGCCTGTGTGGAACTGGGTGTTGGGGGAGACCACGGCTGCCTAGGTGCAGACAAGCGACTTTGTCGGTTTTTGTTTGGCACTCCCCGCAGTCTGGATTCACCGGTTGTAGCTTTAGGTGGGGGTTCGGTCATCTTTGCTGCAGCTTGTTGAGAAGAGAGCGTTGGTGATGCCGGCGACCCACGCCGTGGCTGGGAGGGAATTCCTCGTGCAGAGGCAAGGTCGCTGGCGATAGAAGATTTGTCCCGACTAAGAATTCGACCAGTTCCCACCAACCTTGGTGGTAAATTGTGAGCATCCTGAGTCGGCGTTGCAGTCTTTGCGCCGGCGGCATCAGTCGCAGCTTGCTGAACTGATAGATTTGAAGACGTGGTAGCGGATGTGACTTCGGTAGGGGCTGTGGTTGGATGCTCATGTTGGAACCTGAGGAGCTCGGCGAGCTTCTTGTGGTGGGTTTCGAGTAGGCGCAGCGTTCGTAAGGCCTTCGTGCGACAGGTCAGCCTGGGGCCTGGCATAGGACTGAGGGCAGATAGACTTACTTCTTTGTCGGAGCTGTTCTGTGCAGCTGTGGCGAACTCACCGGCAGCTAGATCATGCTCCTCGCTCGCAGCGACCGGGTTGGCCTTGCGGGTCTCAAGCACTGCATTCCGAGCGTGGGTGTGAGCCTAATGGCATATCAGATCAGGCCAGACAGTGAGGGAAAGAGAAAGAGTACTTACCAATGTCAGAGGAGCTACCTCCATGGCGATCTGTAGCTATCAACGCGATGTGTTAAGTCTGGGGAAGCGGAGAGGTGACGCCATGCGCCCGTAGTCTAAATAGAAACTCTTGGGCACGAAGTCCTGAGCCTCTGCCCAACGAACAGACGACCTCAAAGCAGGAGATCGTATTTGAAAGGTTGCTAAATGGCTGAAAGCAGCAGATGTCACATCCGCATTCTGGATGGTGGAGATGCGGAGTGGCAGGGCCGGATTTCTGCGCTTTTGTATGGCCACACCTGGTTACAGGACTTTGCTAGTTACTAACGCTACCTTGACACTGAGCTTGACGAGACAGAGAAACAATTCATGTAACAAATTAATAACGTCCGATATCAGACAAAGTACATTGTGCACTGTAACGTAGATCCTGACTAAGTTGCGGAGCTGGAGATCCCTCTCGACCCAGGGGATGCCAACCTCCACACTCCTTTTGTCTCCAGCTTCACCATCTACAGACTCCGAACATAGCTATCCACCCACATCCTCGCTCCATGCCGGGTGACTCTCACTCCAGTCTTCCAGGACCGGTCCGCGTTCTGGCCCGCATCCCCGATCCCCGAGCCATCACCTCCACATCCTCCGCACTCCTTCAAGAATGGCCGAGTCTTCTTCCTCAAGCCTGAAAGGCGACAGAAGGTCACACCGCTCCTGGACAATCTCAGCTGAATCCAGTGCAATCGAGAGCAATGGTCGGTCGTCCGTGGACTCCAACACCGAGAGGCCGAAGACACAGGGTGGAGAAGTAGCAGATCCCAACAGGGCTGGTCCCAGTGGATTCTCAAAGCTGCTCGAGGCACGTCGGAGGCGAAAGAAGAACAAGAATAAAAAAAATGACGACGAGCCGCCGGTACCCAGCGTGCCCCTGGACCATGATCTACAAGCAAGCCAATCCAACGAATCTCGCAATGGAACTTCGGCAGGCAGCTCCTCCGTGGCTGAAAGTGCTGCGGCGCCAGAAGGAGAGGTCATCAATCTATTAACGGATGATTCTGAGCCGGACAGGTAAGTCGAATACCCTGATCGCTTGCGCCTTGTACTGCTCCTGACTTGTCTTACTTTCGCTTTAGGACTCCACCGCTCACCTCCCATAACTCGCATACCGGATTTTACACCTCGTCCTCGCCATTGATCAAGACTACCTCGGTAGATGCCGCAGATACGGAAGGTTCTCAAGCTGATGTCGAATCGGCAATTAGCGGTCCTAGTGCTACTGGGTCAGACTCGAATCAGGGTGAACGGCAATCCAGACGCCCGACCCAATCTAGCCTCGCATTGGATGTCCCCGCCGATCCAAACAGCAAGCGACGGAGTGCGTCTCCCGGAAGGCGGTTCAAAGATGCTTTCAGCTCAGACAAGAAAGCACCTGCCGATGCCCCCGACACCTCGTCAGCCAAGTCTGGGGCGAATAAAAGTGGGCGGAGTCTGTTCGGGGGCAGCCGGCGAAGCAGTCTCTCATCCAAACGAGCTCAAGCGACTCCCGATGAGGTCCCTCCTATGCCGGCACCCATTCGCACTGATCTGACAGATAATAAGCCTCGTTCGCTTGAAGCGAGCCCCATGCCAAATACCCCTCCGCATACCGCCATTCCGGCCCCAGCAACAACAGTGACTCCTCCTACCCCCACTGAGCACCAACCTCTCATCCCGCAAATCATGTCCAACGATGTGACCGATTCACCAGAGTCTATCAAGTCTAGAAATTCCATATCTTCCGGGACCGGAGTCACCACCGTCAGTCCGTCTGGGAACATGATATCTCATCGGCGGGTACGATCGGCTTCCGCAGCTCATGGCCCGAGCAAATTATCCAATTCAGTCTCGGCATTGACACCTCTCGAAGAAAAAACTCCCGGGGCGAAGACCCCGAACCCTCAGCAAAGTGGCTTTTTCTCTTCCGTGTTTTCGGTTGCCCAAAATGCGGCATCCTCGCTAAGTAACAGCCTAAACGCCCAGCAGAGGAATCGTCCCAGCTCTCAACCGACTGCGGTTGACCTTGATCAGACCCCAATCGATGGTCCTTCAGACGAGGTAGAACGGACTTTTGAAAATGGGAGCAAGGGCGAAGAAAGCAAGCCCTCTGCAGTGGAGACTCTTGGTGCCGGAGACCTCAACTTTAGCCACCTCGAATTCGACGCACAGCCAGGCCAGGTCATTTCAACCACCGATGGGGTGGTGATCACGAAACCTGGAAGTCCGCTTGACAAGCGCAAGAACACTGCTGTCTTTCAGCGGGATGAGGCGGCTGCCAAACTTGAAGACCAGCGAGCTGCGCGTGCTGTTCAAGTAGCATATGAACGGCCCTCGGAGCTGTCTATGATTGGCCCACCTGTAGACGAGGTTCTGGAGCTTCAGTCTACAACTTCGCTTCCGAGAGATCCGCCAATGATGGGTGATCAGACTCCTCCCAGTGGTAGTGTCCTTGATGGGGACCTCACCAGTGGCATCAAACGGAGTGGGAGCGTACGCAGCAGACTTGCCCGGCGTCATCGGGGCTCATCTGGGGCAACAACCTCAACTATCGGAGCAGCTGCCGTCAATGCTATCGCATTGGGTGCTCCTGGTGCCAATGCGAGTGTACCTCGGTTGACCGGTTTCGCTGTTGCAAGCAAGAAGCGCAACAGAGACTTCCACCAGTTGTTCCGAAGCGTGCCTGAAGACGACTATCTAATTGAAGATTACAGTTGTGCGTTGCAGCGTGAAATCATTCTTGCTGGCCGCATCTACATTTCAGAAGGCCACATTTGTTTCTCCAGTAACATTTTAGGATGGGTTACGACTCTTGTGATCAGTTTCGATGAAGTTGTTGCAATCGAAAAAGAGAACACCGCGATGGTCTTCCCCAATGCAATTGCCATCCAAACCTTGCACGCTCGCCATACATTCCGAAGTTTACTCAGTCGTGAATCGACATATGACCTTATGGTCAACATCTGGAAGATAAATCATCCGTCCCTCAAGAGCTCTGTGAATGGAACCCGCGTCACTGGCACTGGTGATAAGACAGAGAAGGTTGAGGATGAGGGAAGTGACTCCGAGAGCGACGTCTCCGACGAAGATGAAATATACGATGAGGACGAGGAAGGAGACAATGCCGACAGCTTCTTTGAGGCTGGCGGCAGTGCTAATGCCAGTGCAACATCTTTGCCGGTGAGAGCGGGTTTAAGTCGCAAGACTTCGAGTTTATCCGCAAATGCAATTGCACCTGCATCCGGAGCAACCACCACCGGCGCTACAAAGAGCGGCGACAAAGGTGCTTCCAAGGACGCACCTCCTGACTTCCCTGGTCCTGTTACACATGCACCTACCGAATATGTCGATCCCAATGGGCAATACGAAAAGGTCATCAAAGACGAGACCATCCCAGCTCCCCTTGGCAAAGTCTACTCTTTGGTCTTTGGTCCAGCATCCGGCGAGTTCATGACCAAGTTCCTCGTTGACAACCAAAAATCCGGGGAGCTGCAGTTTGAAAGCACGGCAAAGGGGTTGACAATCGAGAGTCCCATCCGAAAGTATTCGTACATCAAACCTCTGAACGGGGCCATTGGCCCGAAGCAGACCAAGTGTATCAGTACCGAGAACTTGGACTTTTTAGATCTTGAAAAAGCAGTTCTCGTTACGCTGAGCACTCAAACGCCTGATGTCCCTAGTGGAAATGTGTTTGCTACCAAGACAAAGTACCTTTTCACCTGGGCTGCAGACAACAAAACCCGCTTCCTCATGACCTGTACCATTGAGTGGACAGGTAAAAGTTGGTTGAAGGGTAAGTTAACTGTGTCGATCAGTGATACGTTCTGGATTATAGATTACTGACTGTTACCAGGTCCAATTGAAAAAGGCGCAATCGATGGTCAAACAGCATTCGGTAATGAGCTTGTTAAATCCCTCAATATCGGAGTTGTTCCTCGCGGACGTGCAAACGGTGCTGGACGCGGCAAAGGTCGCCGCAAGAAGGGCGATGGTACAGGCCGAGAGTCCACCGCAGCTGCGTCATTGAAGGTTACTGTGGACTCCAACGTCGGAAAAGCCGATTCTTGGGGACTATTCGAACCGATTCGACCCTTACTAGAGCCTTTCGCTAGTCTTCTCAGTCCGCTATGGAGTGGCAACATTGCTGTCATTCTCATTGGTATCCTGTTCTACCTGGCTTTCTTCAAATCATCATCGTCCTCATCTATGCTCGCACATGAAGTTGGGTGCCCTGGTTACAGCTTACCTCAGAGGCTGGCTGCATACGAGGAGATGTGGCGCCGTGAGGAGACCGAACTTTGGAACTGGCTGGAAGACCGTGTCGGCATGGATGGAATGGTCTTCCCCAATTCATACCGTGCCCCCGAGCCACACCCGCCTCGGAGATCATCTGGAGGCAACGCGGCCGACGAGCGTGAGCTAGCCTCAAGGCTTCGTGAAGAGAAGGTCTCGGACCGTGAAATGGACCATGCTATTCGCACGACGCGCCAACGCCTCGACGTTCTTGAGGAGATGATGAACAAGCGCAAAACCCAATGGGAGGTTAACGAATCAATTCGGAAATCTGAATTGTGATCGCCACGCCTCATTGGCTCATCAATCCCTCTCCCTCTCCGCGTGTATTCTATATTACCTCTTCCTCCTCTCCCCGCGCCCCCCAACAACCATCTGGGTCTATCTATGACCTCCTTCCACACTACACAAAATTATTTTCCTTGTTTCTACAATCTTTCTCATTCTCAGACATTCTTTGGGTCGTCTTTTGACGTTATGGCATCAAGCAGAGCTGCGCCTGGCTGTTGACATTCACCCTCCCAAACGTTCCTCGGAACCCCACAATCTTTTACCTACAGTCCACCCTTGCCTTTCAACCAACGGGCAGGCTTTTCCTTACATGTACATGAGCGCCAACTATATTGTCTCTACCGGCCTACGAGTCGCTGGCTTTCATTTCTTTACACTTTTCTTTCTCATTGTTTATCTGAGCGTGCTGGTTGCTTCTGCCTTTGCTCTGTGGGCAGTACTGTATCTTTGAAAAATGTCTCATACAAGCGTGTTTGTGCTTTTCCCTTGGGGGTCTTGGAGGGTTGCCACCTGCCATTTCCTAGCTTTACTTTGTCAACTTGGGCTTTCTTGTGAATATCTTAGCCAATGCCAAGTGATTTACATATGATCTTAGTTCGTGTGGTATCTTCAGTTTCGTATGTGCAGCACTATTTGATAACCTGATTCTCCTTTCTGTTTGTTCATGTAAGGCAATACGTACAAATTCACGACTGTCAAAAGCAGACCAGAGCCATAAGTCCGAGTATTTGGCGCTGTGTGTGAGCAAAGATGTTGGTTACGTGACAGTTCCTTCTCAACGGCAGGTAACGTCTCTTGTGCTTCAGTCAACTCTTGAAACATGCCACACCCCCGATTGGCCTGGTTCCGCATCATTGTTCCCGTCCCTGCCCCTGTCCCTGTCCCCGTCCCCTGGTACTTTGCCTCCAACTGCGGTATGAAACATCTCTTCCACTTCTCGATCCCCCACTGGCACCACTGCCTCTGCGGCTTTCACCACCACCGCCTCCTCCTCCTCCTCCGGAATAACTGCTATGTGAAGAATCGCCAGCACCACGGTCATCAGGTCGGCGGGATTCGGTGACCAAAATTCGGCAGTAGTAGGTAAAAAGCTGGTAGTCTAAATCCCGCCCCAAGTTGTCCACTTCATCGCGGATAAAGGAAACTCTGATTATCTCACTGGACAACGCTTGGAGGAGACGCCGGAGGGCAACAGTACAGGTAGGCTCATGACCCTCCATCTTCAGCCTATTGAACTGATTCTGATATGCCATAATGAAGTCGACAGCTGTGGAGTACTGATCACGTCTCAGGTTTTCCCATTTCTCCAGTTCGCCCGCAAGATAGGATGCATGATCCGGCAGACTCATTGTTCGGATTGATTTGAAGACCTCGTCTGCAAAGGTAAGTTGAGGCGCGTAGTCTCTGACTTTCACTTGGATTGATGTCTCCACTTGGTCGAATAGCCACCGGGAAACGATGGAGGTCCAGTATTTCCATTTTCTGTAATCTTCGTGGTGTTGTTGTGGACGAGGGAGGCTTGAATCCAAGAGACCTTCCAGCTTGAAAGGTCGTAGGACATGCATAATTTCGTTGCCCCAGCGTGTGGTGCTGGACTGGGGAGTAAGATTTGAGATGCCCAGTAAGGTAACTGGGATTTCTTTTGGCAGATGTGTGGCTTGGGTGAGTGGAGGTGATCGACTCATCCCAGCGGCGTGGTTGCGGGCCCCAGAGGCGCGGGAGCCGGAAGCCATGGTTGTTTGGATGGAGGATGCAAGTAGCCCAAGTGAGGAAGTGACCTTGATGAGTCAAAATCTCCAATGAATTAGCTTTCTATCCTTAAGGGTAGAGTTGCAGCTCATGCTGTAGAGACATGGGCCGGTCAACCTTTAGTGAGAGTTTCTGCTGAAGACACACGTCTTTTCCCTTTGAAGATTGTCTGGGGGCTAGTTTAGAAGAGGGAAAAACAAATGGCGGAACTCACGGAAAATCAGACTCCTTTTTTTTTTTTTTTTTGTAGCTTTTCAGATTCTAGCCAGATTCACAAGCCATAGGGATAAGGCTAGAGACAGTCTTTTGAATCACAACGTGCAACATCTAGATGTTCAACTCAACCGTTGATAAATTCCTTTTAGCCACATTTCTTTCCCCTATGTCTTTGGAGACGTTTAGCTGGGCCTATGACTTGTTAGGTTTCCTGACTTAGGGCCAGAGGGTCACGTGCATCTCATCTGGCCTGGAAGGTTAGTCCATTATATGAAACTGAAGTTTGGAAGGTGGTACTTGGATTGAAAACGGCTACGGTAAGTCCTTCCTGTCAGGGGATAAGAGTATATTGTACTATTTTTTATGAAATGAAAGTCTCCCAATATGTGCCATCTCACGTCTCGTGTATATTATCTGCAGTTAGAGTCCCTCAGGCGAGAAGGCACTCTGTTAGACTTGGACATCGCCGCGTGCCACACCTTGCTTCTTGGAGGAAGCGATAGCTTTGTTCCTCACCACTGACGTCTCCCATGCTTTAATCCCGGAGTTAAATTGATCATCAATTTGCTCAAGCGTCAAGGAAGCAGTCTCCGGTACCAGCAAGAAAGTTAACACCGCTATGACGACAGTAACGCCAGAATAGAAGTAACCGACATTAGGGCCCATGTCTCCATAGTACGGGCTGAGCATGTACGGAGTCCAGAATGTTGCGCCAAAGGTGAATATACCATAGAGGATTGTTGTGCTTGCTTGCCCATAGGTGCGAAGCGAGACACTATGCATTTCAACGGCGGATAAATTAGCAGTCGCCGCAATAGTTCCACCGAAGACAAAAGCCCACAGGCAAAGAAGAACAACCACCACAATTTTTGCAATATCATCCATGCCAAGGGCTGTATTGATGGAGGAAAGAACAAGCATACAGGTGGCCATGACGATGTAACCTGATAGACTGGCAACTCTTCTGCCGCCATATTCGACAATAAACGGGCCAAGGAATGATCCTCCTAGGATGCACAGGCCGATGATGACGTTTATTAGATACGGGTTCTCGATGCCAACACCTTTCAGAAACAATGCAGCGTATGGTTGCACAAACTGAATGCCGGAGATAGTCAGGCCAACCATAATAAAACCAGATATTAAGGTGCGACGAATGTGCTTCTTGCGGTAGATATCAAAACAGGAGACCTTTTTCGCGTGCTCGCGCTCTTTCTCAAGATTCGCTTTGATTTTATCAATCTGAGCTGTAATGTCGGGCGAGTATGGGTTTTGGCGATAAAGCACACAGAATGATTGGCGCGCCTCTTCTTCTCGGCCGTGGCCCATAAACCAGCGAGGAGACTCAGGGAACATCAAAATTCCAGCACCAAGAATGAGACCCAACGGGATCTGGCACAGGATGGGTGTTTTCCACTGCCAGTCATTATGCGGCTCCAGTCGGGCAGACCCAGCACAGACTGCGGAAGATGCAACATTTCCCATGGCAAGCCCAACATTGTAAAGGCCCAAGGAGATGCCACGCTTGCTGGCAACAATGCACTCCGAGCTATATGTGACACTGGATGCCATGAGCTGACCAACACCCACTGCACTGATACACTTGCACACCATATAGTGAAGAAAGCTTCCACCTGTGCCAAGCATTCCAGCAGCACCAATGATAGCCAGCATGCATCCAACCTGGATCGCGCCCCTGCGTCCAAAGCGATGGCTCGTCAAGGCTGAAACCCCACCCCCGATAGCAATGAACAGATAGCTCAAGCTTATCAGGGATTGCTGGAGTGGTGTCAACGAGCAAACTTCGATCCTGATGTATGTATTCGGATCGAGAACTTGCTCGCAGGTTCCGAATGCTCGTTTGTATGACGGCATGATCAAGACGGTGCCGGAATAGCCGTTGTCGAAATTTGCGATCCACGCGGCAAACGCGGCCCATAACGATACGCGTAACATGGAGCCGGTTGTACTTGGGGCTTTTTCTTGTGCAGCGGTCGCGGCATCAGCAAGCGTGTCGTGGGTGTTGATCTTGGACTCGGCTTCTAACCTTGGGAGTTGGACCCCCATTTTGGTATACTGACGAATATATAGAAGCTAAGTGATGAAAGAGGGGTTTGAGATATCGACACTGACAGAAGATCGACGGAGATCCGCGGCATATAACTCTTTGATAAGTGCTTGGCTAAACTGAGTTTCACTGCATTCTCCTTGCATACCAGATCTACAACGTACGTACACTATTTGTCATGAGGAATTCTAGCCAAGTGGACTACCAATCATGGATCGTTTTGAGAACGAGTGCGTTATCATTTATTCTTCACAATTATGGTGAATCTGGATAAACCCACTTGATGATATCACCATTGGAAGTAGAAGGAGTCAAGCATTTGCGAACAACCACATCTTTTTCATGTCGAATAGAAATTGCGCGTGAGGACAGTAGATGAACGGATTAAAATCCTTTGAATTCAAACATGCTGTGGCCTGGAAACTGTGGTACTATGGACTCAGAATATTGTGAACTGAAAATTAACCGACTCCTTTAGTTGAGGAACCCGTCGTAATGGTCTTTTTATACCTATCCACAATACATCAAACATTGTGATTTTGGGGATTCGGATCCTCATACATCTTTACCATTGCTGGCTTCAATTATTTGGGGTATTAAAGGACATTCAAGACATGTATGCAAGAAGTTCGCGGTAGATTGAGCGATCATCAGTGGATCTTACTGAGCTTAAAGTCCCGAATTAGGTTTGTCCCGGACCGAAATGATGTAGGTCCCACATGTTAAGCATAAAATTATGAAAATCATCAGAGACGTGACTCCCGTGGTCTTCGCATCAAATTCATACACCTCAGATACAGTAGCGTGTTCTGTTTTCAGGGCTAAAAAAAACCCGTGGACCGCAGGGAGGTGCAGGACCAACCAAATTTTAGAATGAAAGGGTATTTCACCCCCACCAAGGTAAGCAATACATAAAGCCCCTTCCTATTCAGAATATATCGTGTAGGTATACAGCACAGTGGCAAAATTTGCGGGACTCATACCACCCTGACGCGTCGCAGACTGCTACCAAGATAGCATGGTATGTTGACCAAGACCTGATCTTGTTTCCGCGGTAGATATTATACCCGCAATCTTCAGCGTTTTTTACATACCATATCTGAGATATGCAGGCTTGAAGGGAATGCACGTGGGTGTGGTGATGAGTGTGAGATAATGGCTCGCGATAAAGCATAGCGTAAGCCATTTGCTGCATGTTCTATTACAACAGGGGGTCATAGATGTATATACAGTGCCACTGTTAAAGTATTGGACCCTCTCTACACGAAACCTCGAAGCGAAGTTATACAGTTCCATGTATTGTTTTCATCCTGATTTAGACTCTTTTTTTTCACCTTTTTTTTTGCCCATTTTTTAGTGCCCTAGGCTTTAGTTGTTTAAAAATGGTAATAAATAAAGGTGAGGCTATGGAAGACTCATGGTCTATAATTGTATTACACAAGGACATGACTTACTAGGGATCTGCCAGGATATATCGTCCTCATACTCCATCCAAATTAATGGCAGATACACTTAATTGATTGAAGTCATGATTAAGTTTACACCTATTTTAGAGTCGGTAGTATAGTGCTTACTTCTAACATAATCGAGCTGCGAGATATCTGCCCAAATGTCGCAATTCAAGTACCTCCAGATAGGGCATAGTTTGTGTCACGTGCCGACCAACCCAAGACGACTACTCCACCCCAACTTGCGACAGACAGGCAAAGATGGAGCTCAAGACGATTCTGATCCTTACCGCAATCTATATTGGTAATAATAACCTCTGCCACATACCTTGTTTACTCTTTGCAATCAAGTCCCGTGGCAGCTTCATAATGACAGTATCGAAACTGGAGCTGACCCCTCATAGCTGTCCGCGTATTCCTTAAGACTCGAAACTCTTCAGCACCCATCATGGCCCACGGAAAAGTCTCCGAGATCGACAAGTAAGAGAACATGTCCTCCGCGCAAGTAATGTCCAGTTCTAACATGCGCCCCATAGCGCCGTCATCTTCAAAGCCCTCACCTCCTCCGGCCCCGTCGTTGTCGACTTCTTCGCTACGTGGTGTGGTCCCTGCAAGGCCGTTGCTCCCGTCGTCGGAAAGCTCAGCGAGCAATACCCAAACGTTCGGTTTATCCAGGTGGACGTGGACAAGCTGCAATCCGTGGCAAAGGAACTGAGCGTGAATGCCATGCCCACCTTTGTGGTGTTCAAGGATGGCAAGGAGGTTGAGCGTGTTGTTGGTGGAGACATGAAGAAGCTCGAGGCCCATATCAAGGCGATCACCGCATAGTTGCTTTTCTATGGTCAACGAGACGAATTGTCCTATCAAGAATCCCGGAAAGGCCCCGATTCATGCTACATGTATCGGGAAATACTCGTCCCTCTCTACGCATAAATTATGAATCACGAATAAATCTTGTGACATACAATGTTGGGATGCACGTGTGCACCCAAAGTTTAAAGTACATTGGTCGGAAAAATGGTGCGAATCATTCCTATCAGAACCACGGACATTGTTTCAGATGACAATGCGGGCTTGTCGCGCATTTCATTGGGTACAGGTCTCGTGGGAGGTATTTTGGCCAACGATTGGTGGCCCAACTCCGAGTATGCAAGGCAGTGCTTCTATCCTGCAACATATTGGTTGGGTACCATGCCGCAAAGCATACAACTCTTGTTTCGGTCAGGAATGTATGAGCTTTTTTGGTACAATCTAGTGGATTGATACCGTTGTACAAGATATCGAAATCTAGGCCTCCACGTTCTCAGTATCGTAGTAATCATCATTGTTTGCCTCGGAAATTATATACATACCATCCCCAAATTTGGGCCGAGGATATCCCGAGAGGCTAACCATATCGGTCCAGGCGCAACGGCTTCGCAAAGTAAAGAACTGCCGTTTGATGCATTTTGTTTTTTAAATTTCGTGACTTCTAATGCATCCCAATCTAATCAGAGCATTATATGGTTAGGCGTCTATTGTAGAAGAATATTAAGACTCTCGATTTGGTGAGGACGAAGTGGGACTATGGTCTCTGAGATTCACGTCGCTCTATACATCTTCATCCTAGGATCGCAATACGGAAATTCACTAGTACCATTCATTCAATAATATCTAATCAAGGAATATCCTTGTTCTACGTGTAGTTCAATGTGTATCTTAAACTTTCCACCCCCGTAATGTGGCAGAGATGCTAAGTTAATTGGCTCTCTCTTAACCCCAGATATACCTCGGAAGCGACTCCGCGAGAAACCACGCTCTAGAACAAACTAGTTCCCAGCCATGTACAATTTATAATCCAATCTGTACGTCGCATCAGGAGTCAACATGACTCGTGTTGACTGGCATTGGGCTTAAACCCTGTTGGGACTCCGTCCGCTTGGCATCTTCGAATATGGTCACTCCACCGCGGAACAAGCCGTCCGTGGCCACTCCCCCACCTCTGCTTGCCAGTAGTTTTTCCTGCATGCGCATGGCAGCCATGCTTCGAAACGGAGATAATTGTTCTCCGACTCGGTGAGTCACCTGCCGATCCTCCCCAACACTGCCCTTTAGTTATGGACCCTTGTATGATCCAAGCGAGATGGCTCGGTGGAGCAGAGTGGGCACTAAGTAGATGTGTTAAATGTTACCGGACTTAATACAAGGGCAGCTCGGGCTTGGCTTCCTGATCTTTTTTCCCTAGGCACTTTTTTTTTTTGCTTCAGCGCAGATTTTGTTTCAGGGGAATCTGAGGTCGTTTTTCAGATTTTGTCTTCTCCAATCATTCTTGTTTGCTCCAACACACGCTCAGACTGCCATTTTCGAGTTTGAAGAGAAGTGATATCAGGGGGGTGGTGATCTCCCTGGTGAATCAGAGAGTTGGCGATCTAAGTTTAGTTGCTCAATCAACAGACTGTTCCTCAAAGAAGAGACTGCTGTCCACCAACAAATTTGTGAATCAGATCGAAGAATAGGTAGCACGAGACCAAACCCGGCGTATAAACACGCCCAATATACTCGATGTCACCGTCACCAAACATCGATGTCGTTGACGAAAAGCTAGTCATGGAGACAAGTAGAAATTCAGACGTGGACGAGTTGGAGACACATAGCTATGGACGACAGCTCGAAGAAGTTCGCATTGCCAACACGCAGGCCAACACCCCACTACAGGGGGGCGTCGATGTTGAACAGGCCGAGCAAGAGTTCTCAGAACTGAACAGACAATTCTCCAGCTCGCATCAAGCTCGCAGATTATCACAACAAGCATCTCGAGCTTCCAAGTCCGGTGCCAATGCAGATGTCGAAAAAGCTGCGAGCTCTACTGAAACCGATGAGTCATGGGACTTGGAGACTGCTCTTCATGGCCAACATGCCGCCGAGGAAGAAGCTGGAATCAAAGACAAGCATATTGGTGGGTGCTTCTCGGCCTTGGAATGAGAATGAGACGTGGTGCTGACTGCTCCCAGGTGTAATCTGGGACAACCTCTCTGTCCGCGGAATCGGTGGTGTCAAGACAATCATCAAGACCTTCCCAGATGCCATTATCGATTTTTTGAATGTTCCGGCGATAGTCATGGATATTTTTGGGTGGGGGAAGAAAGGACAAGAAGTCAACATCCTTAAAGACTTCCGGGGTCTTACACGACCAGGCGAAATGGTGCTGGTTCTTGGACGTCCCGGTTCAGGCTGCACATCATTTCTGAAAGTGATCTCGAATCAGCGTGTCGGATACACTGGGATTGACGGAGAGGTTCTCTATGGTCCTTATGAACACGATGTATTTGCCAAAAGGTTCCGTGGAGAATCTGTGTACAACCAGGAGGATGATATCCATCAGCCTACCTTGACAGTCAAGCAAACTCTTGGCTTTGCTCTCGACACAAAGACCCCTGGGAAACGGCCATATGGAGTTTCAAAGGCCGAGTTCAAGCAGAGGGTAATCGATACGCTGCTGAAGATGTTCAACATTGAGCATACAGCAAACACTGTGATTGGTAACATGTTCATTCGCGGTGTCTCTGGAGGTGAGTCTTGGGAATGAAAAATCTCGCAAAGCAATGTAATCTAATTGAAATAGGCGAAAGACGTCGCGTCTCAATCGCAGAGATGATGATCACTTCAGGGACTGTTTTGGCTTGGGATAACAGCACTCGCGGACTGGATGCTTCGACTGCCCTCGACTTCGCCAAGTCCCTTCGCATCTTGACCAACATCTACAAAACAACCACTTTCGTATCACTTTATCAAGCGTCTGAGAACATTTACAAGCAGTTTGATAAAGTTCTTGTGATTGACAGCGGCCGTCAAGTATTCTTCGGACCAACGTCTGAAGCAAGAGCATACTTTGAGGATCTCGGATTCCGCGAAAAGCCTCGTCAAACTACTCCCGACTACCTGACAGGAACTACCGATCCTTTTGAGAGAGAATTTAAAGATGGAAGAAGTGCCGAAGATGTACCTTCGACACCAGAAGCGTTAGCCGAGGCTTTCAACAAATCTGTGTACAGCGAAAGACTGGACCAAGACATGAAATCTTACCGCGCTCAAATTGCACACCAGAAGCAAATTCACGATGACTTCGAGATTGCCAACAAGGAAGCAAAGCGCAAGTTTACTTCTGACTCGTCTGTCTATTCCATTCCATTCCATATTCAGATCTGGGCCTTGATGCAACGTCAATTCCTCATCAAATGGCAGGACAAATTTGCCATGACCGTTTCCTGGATTACCTCTGTCGGTATTGCTATCATCCTCGGTACTGTGTGGCTCAATTCGCCAGCAACTAGTGCTGGTGCGTTCACCAGAGGTGGTCTTTTGTTCATCAGTCTGCTGTTCAACGGATTTCAAGCCTTCTCCGAACTTGCATCGACTATGATGGGTCGCTCAATCGTCAATAAGCACCGATCATTCGCTTTTTATAGGCCTAGCGCCCTATTCATCGCGCAGATTATTGTTGATACCACATTTGCGATTGCAAGGATTCTGGTCTTTAGCGTAATCGTGTACTTCATGTGTGGATTAGTCCGCGATGCTGGAGCTTTCTTCACATTTGTCCTGATCATCCTCGAGGGCTATGTGACAATGACCGTTTTCTTCCGGACGGTGGGCTGTCTCTGTCCTGACTTTGATTCCGCTCTCAAATTTGCCTCGGTCATTATCACCCTTTTTGTCTTGACCTCCGGATATCTGATTCAGTGGTCCGGTGCTCAGGTGTGGCTACGATGGATTTACTACATCAATCCCTTCGGTCTTGGGTTTGCATCTTTGATGGTCAACGAGTTCAAGCGATTAACTATGACGTGCACGACGGAGTCACTCGTTCCCACCGGTCCTGGCTATGGTGATATTGCACACCAAGTTTGTACTCTGGCTGGAGGCGAGCCTGGGTCGGCAATTATCCCGGGATCTAACTACGTCGCACAGACATTCAGCTACATGAAGGGTGACCTTTGGCGAAACTTTGGTATTATGATTGCCCTTATCATCGGCTTCCTTGGTACAAATCTCTACTTTGGTGAAATTCTTCAGTTTGAGGCAGGTGGCAAGACTATCACTTTCTACCAGAAGGAAAACGCAGAGCGAAAAGCACTCAACGAGGCTCTGATGGAAAGGAAGGCCAGCAGGCAATCCAAGACTCTTGATATGGGATCAAACTTGGATATTACCTCGAAATCCGTGTTCACCTGGGAAGATGTCTCTTACGAAGTGCCTGTTCCCTCTGGTACTCGACGTCTTCTTAACTCTGTCTACGGCTATGTCCAACCTGGAAAGCTAACAGCACTTATGGGCGCTTCAGGCGCAGGAAAGACTACACTGCTCGATGTTTTAGCCGCGAGAAAAAACATCGGTGTCGTCAGAGGTGATATTCTTGTCGACGGCAAACCCCCTGGCACTTCGTTCCAACGAGGCACATCTTACGCCGAGCAGCTTGATGTTCATGAATCTATGCAGACTGTACGAGAAGCTCTACGTTTCTCAGCCGATCTACGCCAGCCGTTCGAAACCCCGCAATCCGAGAAGTACGCCTACGTCGAGGAAATCATCACCCTTCTGGAACTGGAGAACCTGGCAGATGCAATTATTGGCACTCCTGATACTGGTCTTTCAGTAGAAGAGAGAAAGCGGGTTACCATTGGTGTCGAACTGGCCGCGAAGCCTGAGCTTCTTCTATTCTTGGATGAACCTACCTCTGGTCTGGACGGCCAATCTGCCTGGAACATTGTGCGTTTCCTTCGCAAGTTATCAGCAGCAGGTCAGGCTATCCTCTGTACAATTCATCAACCAAATTCTGCACTTTTCGAGAATTTCGATCGTCTTTTGCTGCTCCAAAGGGGAGGCGAGACCATCTACTGTGGTGACATCGGTCACGATTCTCATATCTTGCTGGACTACTTCCGCCGCAATGGCGCCGATTGCCCCGCGGATGCCAATCCGGCCGAGTGGATGCTTGATGCCATTGGTGCGGGCCAAACACGTCGGATTGGAGACCGTGACTGGGGTGATATTTGGCGCAGTTCTCCGGAGCTGGAGAAGCTCAAGCAAGAGATTGTCCAAATCAAAGCTAGCCGTGCTCAATTTGTTCAGGAGAACAAAGATGAAGCCGATGTGGAAAAAGAGTATGCCTCGCCTCTTTGGCATCAAATAAAGGTTGTTGGTCGACGAACCAATCTCGTCTTCTGGCGCTCCAAGAATTATGGATTCACTCGGCTTTATACCCATGTTGTCATTTCTATCATCACGGGTCTTGCTTTCCTCAACCTTGATGACTCCCGATCGTCGCTGCAATATCGGATCTTCGTCATCTTCAACGTGACTGTCCTCCCAGCTATCATCCTCCAAATGGTCCAGCCACGCTATGATATGTCCCGTTTGATTTTCTACCGCGAGTCAGCCTCGAAAACCTACAGCCAGTTTGCATTTTCGCTCTCCATGGTCATCGCAGAGATGCCCTACAGTATTCTGTGTGCTGTCTGTTTCTTCCTCCCTCTGTACTACATCCCCGGATTCCAGTCCGACTCCAGCCGAGCCGGGTACCAGTTTTTCATTATTCTAATCACAGAGATATTTTCCGTGACTCTGGGCCAGATGATCTCGGCCCTGACACCCAACAGTCTGATCGCATCTCAGATGAATCCACCCCTTACAATCATCTTCTCTCTGTTCTGTGGTGTGGCAATCCCCAAACCCCAAATGCCAGGCTTCTGGCGTGCGTGGTTGTATCAACTCGACCCATTCACTCGCTTGATCGGAGGAATGGTGGTCACGGAACTACACGGGCGTGATGTTGTCTGCTCGGCAGCTGAGTTGAATCATTTCCAAGCTCCTCCAACCTCACCTGCGGTGAATATATGAAGCCATTCTTTGAGAATGGTGGTAACGGCTATCTTGTTGATGAGGCCACGCAAGCTTGCAAGTACTGTGCTTATAAGGTTGGCGATCAGTTCTATGCGGCATTTAGCATGCACTTTGATCACCGATGGCGGGATCTGGGCATCTTTGCTGCGTTCATCGGGTCCAACTTGATCATCTTGTTCCTGGCGGTAAGTGGACTGGTTTTTTATCAATTTGAATCTGGGGACGCATTTGCTAATATGAGTTTTGACAGTCCCGTTTCCTGAACTTCAATCGCCGATAATACCAAAGTTGGCATGCTGATGAATGTAGAAGGGGGTGAGAAGAAAGATACATAATAATGTTATTTTTAAAAAAAGTTCGTAGACTAGAATTGCAGATGTCCAAAATATGAATACAAAAGCACTTTTCCCTCTTTTATCTGAGCTTTCAGACCCAAACAATCACACACAAATTGTCCGGGGGATCTTCCCATCTCCGCATCACCCCGGATTCTCGACCCCCACGCACTCTAGCCCTGATTGGAAGGTCAAGTACGATCAGCGCCATCCTTGGTATAACCCCTATTCGTATCCAAATATTCGGCTATGGTGGCTTGCGATGTACATCACACAATTGGATCAACTAAAAGAACCAGTGCAGCGGCAAGATCTCCGAGTTCTCGGATTTCCCCCGACAGTAACATACAGCAGGTATACTCCGTGGCAGGCAATCCTTGGCCACCGGCCAGTCTTTGTGGCGCAACCTAGCACACCCCTAATACTCATTCTGGATGAATTGCAGCGCAAGCCAATTGTGTTACTCGTCAGCCAAGACCAAGCTTCCCCCGCGTGGGTTGACTGCTCAGCGCATGATACAACTTTCCTTGGCGTGGGGAATATGCGTAGAGCTCCCCGCAGATTGGCAGTCTTTTTCTTCTGCTTTTTTAGCTTTGAACGTGGGGGAAGAGAGCGGGATTCTCTTCGGCGACTTTGAAGATGTAAAGCAAGGGGCGCATGCGATGCTCGGAATTCTCCCTTCGTTATACATCTACGTCCTTATTTCTCATTCATTCCGACCGTTTATATATCTTGATACACCCCGATTTTATTGATACCCCGTTGGTTCCACTTCTATACTAAGAACATCTAACTCCACTATGGCGGACAAGGTCCCCTCCGAGCCAACGTCTGGTTCAAAGGCCCATATCGCCGAAGCTCCCACTATCGTGCATGCAGAGAGTAACCAAGAGCAAAGCAAATTCAAAACTGCCAAAAATGCCGACGGCGATACAGCCATGGCGCTGTTCGATGATCCGGACGAGCTCCACGAAGAAGTTGATCCTGCAGAAGCGAGGAAGTTATTGTGGAAAATTGATTTTATGATTCTGCCCTACCTGGCTGTTTGCTACGCTTTCTTCTACATTGACAAGGTCGGTGCTTGCACACTCTTGATTCTCGGAGGATAACTGGTCAAATGTGCTAACACATACTTGCATGGGAACAGACAACCCTAAGCTATGCAGCAATCTTTGGTATTCGTGAAGATCTCAATCTTCATGGAACACAATATAGCTGGCTGAGCAGTATTTTCTACTTTGGATTCCTGGCTTGGGCATTCCCGACAAATTTCTTGATGCAGCGTCTTCCAATCGGTATGGTCCTCTCGTGTCCATCCAACAGGGATCAATCTGACCAAAGATCTTAGGGAAATATCTGGGTGCCAATATTTTCATGTGGTACGTTGAAGATCATAATCATTATTTAACTATATGCTGATGTACTTCATAAAGGGGTGTGTTTCTCATGATCCAAGCTGCCTGCAACAGCTTCGAGACTCTCGCCGTCCTTCGAGCCCTCGGTGGTGCTGCCGAAGCCTGCGCCGATCCTGCCTTTATGCTTATTACAAGTATGTGGTACACACGTCGTGAACAGCCCGTACGTATTGGATTGTGGTATACAGCCAATGGACTCGGTATTGCGCTAGGTGGGCTGCTAGGATACGGAATTGGCCAGATTCGCGGTGCGCTGCCATCTTGGAAATATGAGTTTATTGTAATGTGAGTTGGTATCATGCTCTCGTTCCGTTTTGCTTTTCGTCCTTTGTCCTGTCCTTTTTATCCCCTCTTTCTCGTCATGCTAACCAATGTCAGTGGTGCCCTCTGTGCTTCCTGGGGCATTATCATGTACATCTTCCTACCGGACTCCCCAGTCACGGCTCGTGGTCTGACCAAGAGAGAGCGCCGTATGGCTGTTGAGCGCTTGAGAGAAAATCAGACTGGTGTTGAGAACAAACATCTCAAGCCATATCAGATTCTTGAGGCCTTTAAGGATTATAAGCTCTACATGTTTTTCATTCTGGGTCTTGTTTGCAATGTCCCCAATGGTGGAATCTCGAACTTCGGCACCATTATCATTAAGGGATTTGGCTTTTCAACATTGGTGACGACTCTCATGCAGGTAAGAAGTTCCCTAACCCCATAAAATAACATCATTTTGTCTATTGAGCCTTTCTTTGCACATGCTATGCGACGCTAACTAAATACATGTCAATAGATCCCTTACGGAGTCATCATCGCCATATCCATCCTCGTATGCGTCTATCTGAATGACCGCTTCGAAAACCGACGATGTGTATTCGTGCTCATCTTCTTGATTCCAAACTTGGTTGGCTCTTTCGGTCTTCGATTTGTTCCCGTCCAGCACAGTGTGGGTCGCTTGATTTGCTACTACCTTACTGGCCCATATAACGCTGCATTTGTACTCATCTTGAGTATGCAGATTGCCAACACAGCTGGTGAGTGGCATATACCCATTTTTTACGATATCAGTTTTGCTGATAAGCCTAGGTCATACTAAAAAGGTCGTCACGAACGCCGTTCTGTTCCTGGGTTATTGTACCGGAAACATCGCAGGTCCATTCTTCTATAAGAATGAACAATCGTATGTCATCTCTTGCGGAACATAACTGCCTCTTCCTCAATAAGAAAGTATCTAACTTGAGTTCTAGACCTACTTACGAGCTTGGAATCTGGTCCATGATTGTCTCGCATTTGATTGAAGTCGTCTTGATCAGTGCTTTGGGTCTACTACTCCGTTGGGAAAACCAGAAACGCGATCTCCTTCAGTCTCAGATGGAGGGTGGTCTTGAGGGGAGAGATTTGGATGCGACTGCGTTCTTGGATTTGACGGATCGTGAAAACATGAAGTGTGTATCTCCCCGTATCCTTCCTTTCCTTTAGGATCTCGCTAACCATGATTCCGATAGCTTCCGATACATCTATTAGACGTATATTTCGTTTCCCCTTGATCCTTGACTGTTCACAGGTTCTGATGTTGATGATATAATCAAAATGAAGAGTTATATTATGTGAAATGATGGTTCTATTAAAACATATTGCAGAATGGATATCTTGTAAATCTAAGCCGACCTATATTATTTACTTCCCGAGTTCTCCTCCTCGATATTGTACTTCCCGACAATCGTAAGGAAAACCTGATCAAGGCTGGTCTGGCTGACAGAATAGTACTGGACACCCAGTAACTCCTTGTTCGCCTCTAGACACGAGAACAAATTGCCAATCCCGCCGTTCCCTCTTTTCATTACAGTCGAAGACTCAACCTTCTGACCATCGCGTCCGAGATCAAAATGGATCTCATCTTGGGTAATAGACTCATCGCCATGCTTTGACACTATGTCTGATGGTGAATCAGTGGGTACACTGAATCGAAGCTGACCGTGATACGTCTTCTGCTCAACCACAGCTCCACGGAGAGTACTATGCACCCATGTACGCATACGCTCCATATCTTCATCGGATGTATGAGGAGCTTGTGAGTGAACAAGGTGAACATGATACATATTGCCATATTTGGAGCGGAGATAGTCCGTAGTACCAAGAGCGAGCATACGCTTCGCCATGATTCCAGCACGACTCGCAAGTGCATCCGCCTCTTCCATGGAATGCGTGGTCAGGACAATAGACCGACCAGGTGCAACGGCCGCTAGTGTCTTCCACATGACTCGTTTGGAGGCGGCATCCATGCCGGAAGACGGCTCGTCGAGGAGGAGCACGGTGGGGTTTCCCATGAGTGCTATTCCAAGGGATAGCTTGCGCTTGTTGCCGCCTGAGAGCTTCATTGCCATGCGATGCTGGAATGGTGTAAGTCCGACGGCTCGGATAACTTGCCTCACGTTGTGATCGACATCCGAAATGCCGCGAATTTGAGCGTAGAACCTGAGGTGCTCGATGACGGTCATTTGGTCCATTGCGTCAAACTGGGGGCAGACGCCTAGGTTGGAACGGGCGATTGCGCGATTCTTGGTTACAGAGACGTTCTCGACAAAAATGTCGCCTCCTCGTTCGGAGGGCTGGATATCGCCTCGGATTAGACTGATGGTTGTTGTCTTTCCGGCACCGTTTGGACCGAGTAGAGCGAATACTTCGCCTCTACCGACTCCAAATGTGACATCTTCGACAGCCACCAACTTTTTGAAGGACTTTGTGAGGTGTAACACCCGAAGCCCATCTTGGCAGTCTGTGACTCTGGATAGCTCGTTCGCGACGTCTTCGTCCATCTCCTTTTCTTCGACGTCTTCAGACTTTGTTTTCGATCTGAAGGCCAAAACTGCATTGCCGCCTCCATCGAACCATAAAAGCAAAGCAAACAGTACGAATGACTGGATGATCAAGTATAGTATAGGTCCACCGTATACTGTGATATCACCAGGATAGGAAGCGAGCTCCTGGCCTTTACACAAGATCGAGAAGATGTTCAGCGCAGCAAACATAGCCCGCGAAAGACTTCCAATCGGCATGATAATTGACAAGGTGAAGTGTACAGTGGAAAGATAAGAGTCAATCTTGGCAGTCGGCGCGTATGTGAGGACAGACATGTAGCCGATGAAATAAATGAGAAAGAAGACGCACTGCATACCAGCAGCAAAGGCAAATGCTGCAAGCTGAGATTTGGCAAGAAGAGAGACCAAATACGACAAGATAGTGGAGCAGAGACCATAGAGGAAGAAGACCACGAAGAGATATTCAGCGTGATACCATACATCTGACGCAGCTCGGAAGATGATGATTCCCAAAACGCTGGCAAGTAGAACAATGCAGAAGTCGAAGCAAAGGTATGCAAGCCACAGGGGAAGCGGCCGGACACCATTGCTATAGTGCAAAGCACGCACATTTCGCAGGCGTTCTATGGTTGGATAGAGAGCGAAAAGAGCAGGGTACACAGCTGAGGCTAGACCAAAATAGACCAAAAGCTGAAGCATTTTGCCCACGTCAGACTGCCATGGAATGTCGAATGACTGATATTGGAAACCGATTGAGGTGTTGGACAAGAGATTATTCATGGCATTCTGCGTAAGCGCTGCGAGCACGAAGTTATTGTTGTTACCCTTCCATGCGAAGGTTGGTTTGGAGGATGAGTCTCCAAGCCAGATTCCACCGGGTGTGACATTTGCTTGGTGAGTTTCAATGTAGTTCGTGAAATCTGGCAAGCTCTCGACGAAATTGAAATAGCTAGACAGACTGCTGCTTTTCGAGCTGGCCGCACCAGACAAGGAATTGATGTAGCTGCCTAGCGCAGATGAGAATCTACTCTGTGGACCGACGACTAGGTCAATATCTTTGTATGAGCTCAATGACTTCGGGGCTGGGCTCATAAAAAGACTGTCCCCAGAACATTTGGGCGCAGTTGCATCCTTGAGAAACAAAGTGACAAGGCCTGAAGCAATCACCGGAATCAAAAAAGCAGCGAGGTATGGGATGTAGTTGCGACGTAAGATGGTCAGACGTTTGATATACAAAAACCATGTTTGGCGCACCATGCTAATACGCTTCCCTGTCAAGAGTTGTGTGGTGCCATTTGCGTTCTCTTCCACTAAATCCTCGGATTTTGGCTTTCTGTTGACAATATCAACACTTTCAGGTTGCTCGGAGTCCTGAGGTAGTTCCTGGGCAACTTTGAGGAACACGTCTTCGATCGTCGGTCCACTGATGCGATACTCAGTGATATTTTCCTTTTCAAGAACAGCAACAATTCTGGGAACGAGAGTTGAGTCTTGTACAGTATACACCGTTTCATCAAACTGGGTTTCCTTGATTGTTCCCTTGAGTTGCAAGTCAATGTTAGAAGTAGATCCAGGGGGTGATGAACATGAACTCGGTAACCCGATCCCAGACGGTGTTTAAGTTCGACTGAAGACCCTTGGGCTTCCAGAGAACCTTTTGATAGAATTGCGATATGATCTGCGAGAAGTTCTGCTTCATCCAGGAAGTGAGTGGTGAACAGAATCGTTCTGCGTCCTCTCTCTGCTAGCAGGATGTCCCAGATCTTCCTCCTCGAGATTGGATCGAGACCAGAAGAAACCTCGTCAACACAACAAACAGTTGAGCCACCCGTAAACATCATCGCCAATTGAAGCTTTCGTTTTTGACCCCCGGAAAGGGTTCTTGATTGGGCGTTGGGCTTTTTCTGCAAATCACAGTCGGCAATGAGCGCCATCAGGGTATCCTGGCTATCACGTTTTTGAACGGTCTTGAGACCGTTGAAGATCTTGACATGCTCTCTGACAGTCAAGTTGTGCCAAAGGACATTCTTCTGGGGACACAATCCAAATCCAGCTTCGCCGTTCCCATAATCAATTTTAATTTCTCCGGATGAAATCTTGGTGAGGCCTGATATAGCATCAAGCGTTGTAGATTTCCCAGAGCCATTGGCCCCCAGGAGAACCATGATCTCGCCCTTAACAACGCTCAAGCTGAGATTGTTAACTGCAAATACACTCTGTCGCTTGGAACCGAATCGCCTGCCCACATTCCTATGGAACCAGCTTGGTTTGTATTCTTTCGAGAAACTATCAATGGTGAGGGCTGAGGAATTCCCAAGTGCCGTGGCTTGGCGGCTAGACGAGGCGGTTCCATAGAGCATCCGCTCCACCAACGCAGCGAGAATGGGGTAAACAATAATCTGCACAATCAGAAGCACCCAAAGTGCGATACCCGGGATTGTCCAAGGATTATCGGGAGCGGCATGGACCAGGTTCGTTGGAAGGTTTTGTCTCTCCCATCGAGCCATGAACACTGAAAGGAACACATAGTTCATGGACGGAAACAGAAGACCAAGAACGATGACTGCGCCGTTAGTCTTGACGCCAGCAACCTGTGCTACAACCCCCAGCAAGAGGTTGGCTATTACCACGGAGATACCACTCAACTGTGCCTTTCTGAAGAAAGAAGCACCGAAAATCGAGAATGAAGACAGTGCCAATCCGGTAAAGAGGTGATTGACGACGGTGATCCCTGCCGATGTTTTGCTAAACACGCCATACTTCAGAATGATACCGGTGATGATCCAACCGGGTCCGTAGATGATGTCTAAAGCAAGATGGGCCGCAGTGAATCGAGCTGCTTGGGCTTTCCATTGGGAGGAACCCGGTAGCATGCAATCAATCAATTGACTCATGCCAAGTTCTCGTTCCATTGCAATCAAGCCTGTCAGCTGATATGTGACGCCAACCATTCCAATGAATAGCGCAATACTGATGATATTGATAATCGCGCTCATATAGCGCACCCGAATTTGATCTTGGCGTTGCTTTTGGGTCAATGAGGTGTAAGGGTACTCCATGATCTATGAATATCAAATCAGCAAATCCCAGTGAGACTTGACATGTAATGAAGACAAACCTCATCAGGAATACTTCCATTATCCACAGAACCATTGGTTTGAATAATGGCGCGATCGATGGAGTGTTGAAGAGGGAGAAGATAGATCTCCTGGGCATTGGTGCTCGTTTCAGTATTGATGCGATCACCCAATGAACCATCAGCTCGAATCGAGTAATTCCATATCCCTCCTAGCCCTTCATTTGGTGATGAGTAGAAGACCGCCGCGGCTATACAAGATGATGTTCCCCTGAGCGTGGTCCGACAGGTATCTCTGAGATCACTCTCGGAGGTTAAGGTCACAACTTGGTCCCCATGTTGTCGGGCAGGTTCTGCGACTTGATCAATGACCCGCTGTATATCGCCATCGATAAATCCATTGTTGACAAAGACCAATCTGTCTCTCCCTCCACCAACGGCTCCCAAGGCGCTGGTCAGAGACCGCACCGGCGTTGGGTTACCGATTCCATAGATAGATGGAGGAACAAAGAAGTTTCGCGCATAAGAACTGATTTGTTAATATCATTCATTTCATTCACCATGACAAGTACTTATCGACATACATGATGGCAATAAAGACGACAGGCAAAACCAAAGCTCTAAGGGTGGTTGTTGCACTGGGGCGCACGAAGGTGATCAGCAGGTTCTTGACGGTCAGGGTCCAAACCTGCCTCAAAAATAGGTTGAACATGTCTGTCCGTATCCCAGTCGGTTTCAACGTGAGAACATTGAGAAAAATCGCAGCCCCGTGGGGGCGACAGCCATCGATATTAATCCCCGTTGACAAGGAGTGGCTTAGCGGACACGGGTAATCCTAAAATTCCCCGATCGGCTTTAGCGAGGCATGGCACATCGAGTCCTTTAACTTGAATCGGACGTCGCTTCGCTAATGTTCAGGCAAAGCCGTGCAAGCGCCCAGACCCTTGGAAGGGCATGGCACCCCACAGCGGGCGTCGTTTCCTTGATATTGTCCCGATCGATGCTCCGATTTGGTGTCGCCAAGTGCCAAGCACCGAATTTTGCCTGTCTCTGGGGATGATGTAGGAAACGGTATATGATGCTGATAGGGACGAACACTAGAAAAAATTGATATCTACTACAAGGGTCATATGTGTGCATACAGTCTCTACACGAAACCCAGCCTCGAAGCGAATGTACCGTTTTATATATAGTTTTTGCCCTACTTGGGCCTCTCTTTTTCCACCTTTTTCCACCCATTTTCACGTTCCTCGAATTCTGATTGTTTATATACAAGTGGGGATATGAAAGGACCTATGGCATATAGCCCAGGTGCTCGCATGATGCTAGATGCTTTGGTGTATACACACATAGACTAAATGTAACTATCGACGGAGGGCTGCAGTTTCTTGAATGACGAGATTACTTCGCCAACTGTGCTGATTATTCTATTATCAAATTAGACCACTTCCAGGAAAACTAAGAAGGGAAACCAAGGATAGGGGAATGGATAGGGTGTATGGGTTAGGAAGAAAATAGAATGAAACGAGAAACTTATGCGGGTCAGTATCATGAAAGCTCGGCAAGAGGGTTGTTCACGTTATTGATCATGAAAAGGAAGGAAAAGAGTCGAGCTATCTCTATATTGACGTTACAAGTGATCACTGGATAAGGCCAACCAGGTATATATACTGTATCAGCAGATAGTAGAAAGGTGTAGAACTTGAGATCCAGGGCCTTGCCTTGGGATGTTGACACGGCCATTGCTTTATCCAGTCCGACGCAGAGTCTAGCTTAGTATGTGCAAAAATATGTGATTGTCACATTAGTTGTAATACGACCCAGTGATCAATGAGATAACACATTGAAATATTGGACAAGATGATGGAATATGCGTCACGGGTCATTTCTCATCGTACAAGACATGTACTCACGAGACCAGATGTAGTATATGCATTGCTGATCACGGAGCCATGCTAGGAGAGCTTTTGATTAGTCGGCAATTGCTGAAGAGCAACCCTTCCGTTGAGAGAATACTTTGAATGCCCCTGGTTCTCGCCGCATAACTCAGCAGTCAGGTAAGAATTTCCAAAAAAAAAGCATTCCCTACTACAATTTCATACTGTAGGAGTGAATAACAAGCCTTCAGAAACCATGGAAACACCCGATAGCGCCTTTGCGCAGGATGATAAGGGTCTTGAAAACGAAGCAATGTCTCTATTACTTGTAAGTAGCGCGTTACGCTTCCATCCTCATCTCACTAATCAATCCTTAGGATGGAAGAGATCTCTACCTCGAAAAATAATACTTTTTTTAGCAACTACCTGGACTAAAAGACAGCCGCGGCAATTCTGATCAGAGCAAACGAGAAGAGGCTTTCTTGACTCGCGAGGTTCCCAGGGTCAAACCGATACTCTTGAAGTGAGACCAGGTACTGGGAATGGTCTGAGAATCCTCATCTCGGGTAAAGGACGAGACAGGTTTGTTCTTCTCAAGATGTGTTAATGCGGCGTTTCTTTGCAGTTTGGCATGATCGTCCTCGGGATTGTATAACTGGGGAGCCCCTGTCATCCTCAGAAGAATAAAGAACAGTCATTAAATGCATCGTTGATAATTTTGAATGGAGCTACCATGCGTAAGACTAAAAGATAACGAGAGCCGAGGCCAGCCCTGCTACCTGAATTAGACCACCGTAGGGGTCTACCAGACTGAATAATAAGCATCATTGCCCAGAGAATGGTCGCGGTCAATCGCGAGACGGCTAAAAAGCTGGCAAGGAATCGGCGGTTTATGCCTTGGTCGGGTAATTGAACAGCGGTGCGAGATATCAGATGGCATGGGGTTTGAGTAGAAAGGCTCAAAGGGTGTATTTGATGTCGCAGTTTATGAACACAAATGAAGTACAAGATGTTAAATAGTAATACAGCCACTGTTATGCAAACGGGTGTCACGCCAGACGCCCTCTAAATCGATCACCGTCGTCGACCACCCTGGCCACCGCGGCCACCGCCCAAGAAAGCCTTCTTCTGACGGACATAGCTGGCCACAACGTTCTCGACACTGCGGCGGTCGTGCTTGCGGTTCCTATTGAGTAGGACCTGTTAGTAAATGTCCAAGCAGAAAAGTAACCAAAAAGACCAATCACGAACCTCATGTAATACAATCTCGCCCTTCTGCGCTTCTTCTCCGAGCGTTGGACAATCTCCACACTCTGGACATTAGGACTGAAGACTTTGACGGACATCTCAACAGCAACGCGAGTGAGCTCGTTCCGCAGGAGGAACGAAGTCTCAATTCCGCGCAGCTTGATGCTCAGGACGACTCCGTTGAATGGATCGCCATTCTTGAAGACCACCCGGACAATATCACCGGGCTTGACACAGCGCGCATTCCGTCGGTAGTCGAACAAAGCTTGTCGCTCACCCTTGGGGTCGAGCTCGGCCAATTGCGATTCTGTGACTGCTGCGACAGGGTCCGGGCATGCTTTGCGGGCAGATGGCGGAGCAGGGTAGATCTTGAGGGGCTCCTTAGCTATACCAAATGACAATAGTCAGTTAAACCTAAAACAGGAAATTGGATTGGTGCCAACACGTACTAGGGTCCGGGCGGTAGTGAAGAGGAATCTGAGAGAGGAATTGCTCCGGGATGTTCTGGGGAAGAGGGATGCGTTGGGGCCTCTTGCTGTAGGCCGTCGAGATAAACCGGCGGTTGACAAAGGGTGTGATAGGCTCTGATGGCCTCATCAGGGACCTCAGACAGCCTAGCGGCCGCATTGCTGGTAAAGCCGCCATGGTTGTGATGGAGAATGTCAAGTCGAGAAAGTCGGAGTCGAGTTTTGGCTGGGCCGGACCGGCAGAATTTCCGCCAAGCCTCAAGTTTGCCCGTTCGGGTTGCAGACAGCGCGATTCTTTTTCCCCGGTCGAAACACTCTTCCCTCGACCTCTTTTGTCTGTTGTTCTTGGCGAGAAAACACACCGAAGGATCGGTCACTGTTCTCCTTTACTGCTTTATTCTATACAGAACCTGCCGCTTACCTACAATGGCGCAAACCGCCGTCGGCAGGCTCTTCCGCCAGAAAACCACCAGCTCGGTATGCCAATCCATGCTGAGGCCATCTCAGGTCCGCAGCTTTGGCAATAAAGCAGGTATGCAGATATGCTTCTTATGGTGTTAGTCAGTTTCTCACAAGCGACGATTGGCGCAGCAATCCCAACTTTCACTTCAACACCCTCCGCCGAATTAAATGATGCCCTCGACCGCTTCCGACAAGAGCTTTTCATTCCCCTCGGGCTTCCTAAGCGACAGAGAAAGAGTGTGTTCAAGGCGAAATACGCCCAAACATTGGAACATGACCCGATTACCGTGAAGATCAGCGAAAACGAAGAGTTTACCCTAACGCCGAAGAACAAGCACGAATTGCCATCCAAGAAAGATGCCATGGAAGTCCTCCACATGATGGTTGCGACCAAGAACTTCAGCAACCTTTTCCCATTCCTGAGCGGCCTCCGTATGTCGAACTATATCCTCAACAATGACCGATGGGAGTATATCATCCGCAAAGCTGGCCAGGCCGATAAGCTCGGAGCCGTCATTGAGTGCGCCAGACAGTGCTCCCGCACCGGTTTGAGTCTGAGCAACATGAACGTCGCTCGCCGTCTATTCTTCGAACTTCACCAGATGGCGCAGCGCGCGGACTACCAGGGCAAAGAAGTCGTCAAGGCTTTGGATCTGGCAGAGAAGGCGGCCAGTTTGATGGACAGCCCCGAGCACTCTGTCAGAGACGACAGTGCCAGTGACCCGAAGCAGCAGCCTTTCGTTATTGGTACGCTTTTGGAACTCAGTGCCGCTTGTGCCGTTGAAAACGAGACCGCAAAGACCAAGGTCTCCGACTATGCTCGGAAGCTTGAGGCTGCTTGGGATCTCGGCAAGTTCACGGATGATTATCCCAGCCCCTCTGAAAAGCAGGCTCGGGTTGAGGAGAACCTCGCCGTTATCCATGGCATTAAGTTGGCCCATAAGCTGGAGAAGCCGTCTCAATCGCTCGTTGCCCTTAAGTCGCGCATGAAGCCGATTAGGGCTATCCTGGCTGAGCAGTTGAAGAGTGTTAAGAACAAGCAGGTGCTTAATGACCAGGTGGCTCAGCAGTTTATCAAGTGGTAGTCTGACAAGCTGCGTGTCTTTTTCTTCTGTTTTGGTCCTGATTGAGCCATATCGACATGTATATTAAACTATTCTTCTCAGATATTTTGGAGCTGGCACTTGTACTTCTTAAAATGGATAATTTATTTCCTAACACTTTTGATCACGCTAGGTGCGGGTGTAAGATGTTTTAAGATCAAACTTGCTAAAGATGCCGAAAGGAATAGAATCGAGCAGGCTCGGAGGTTATTTTACGTGTCTCCAATATGATGACGCTTAAGAGCACAATTCCAGGGTGTTGTCGGTACCAATGCGTGCTCTTCCAGAAAGAGAGGTGGTGCCATTGACAACAGCAGGGCCAGATACAGTAAGCTGACCCTCTTCCGCGCCGTCAGTGGAGCCCTCGGGGACATTTTTCAGAGTAATTTCCGTGCTACTCAACGGGGCGCCAAAGTGGCTGGGGCCAGTGAGGCATCTGTAGTCAAAGGCATTTGTCTGGGAAATGGCACCAGCAACCCCGGGTCCGGTCAAGGCATAAACAACCCGAGCGCCAGTGAAGATTCGGAGCTCAGTCAATTGCTCCGAAGTAAGACGAGCAACGGAGCTGCCATCAATGCGGTGGGAAATGCAAAGAAGGCGCAGGTTGTCCAGAGAAAGCTCGGCAGTGGGACCAATGCGAGCCAACTGGCTGAAGAAGTTGTGGGTTGGCATATTTCCTGCATCTAAAGTCCTTGCTTGAAGCCAGCGACCAATAGAGGAGATAAGGCCAGTATGCGGGCGCATAATCTTCTCGTGGTAATCGCTCATGGTCTGCGACGATGCAATAATGACTGTGGGAGACACACCAGCAGTAGCCAAAGCAAAGTCAACGGTCTCTCCAGCGACGGAATTTAGGGCGATGGAAGAGTTGGCGAAGAGCGCACCCATAGTCTGGCATAGTGGATAAGACCGAGAAAGGGAGTCGATGGACAGGACAATATCGGTTGGAGTGAAGCGCTGGGTACGAGGCAGTGAAGAGTTTAATGCGCCAACAGCGGAAACAAGATTCTAGAACTTATTGTTAATGGTGCTGGTGTCAAAGAAGCCTGGTGGTTCTTACCTCGGGCTGGAACTCAATAAATTGGCCTGATTGAGACGAAGAGGGCCAAACAGTGCTGACGGATGGCGTCGTCGTTTTAGGGTCATACTCGGGAACCTCATAGCCAGCAAGATCCTTATGCTCCTCAACCAGTTCATGCCAAACCGCCACACTCAAGCTACCCTTGACGTCCTCGGGAACCTCGTTCCAGTCCATGTGTCGGTTGCCATACTTGGCAACCCAGAGGGCGAGTGAGAGCTGTTTGTTGTCCTTTGAGATAAGAGACAGATCAATAGACCCAGCTTCAGCAATGATAACATCTGCCTTTGCCTGTTGCAAATGAGCAGATAATATCTCTGCAGGAAGGTTGTGAGGCACAAGGACAGTCTTGAAACCGTAGAAAGCACCCGCTGAATGGCACCGTTAGCAATCAAGCTATAAAGTCTGAGTGGAAATATATACCAAAAATCGCAGCTAGTAGTTCAATGGAGTCTGTCAGGCAAATAGCCACAGTCTTCGCATCGGCGCTCCGCAGATGACGACCGATAACGTTGATCTCTTGGGTGACTTGGTCTAAAGAGTGCTCGATAGCCTTTTTTCCCAGCACTGTATAGATCTTGCCCTGCTTGCCAGAGATGGTGCCATCTTCATTCAGAGCCCCACGCACAGCAGTCTTCCAAATATCACGCAGGTCACCTCGGCGGCCACCAGTCCATTTTGGTGCACCGGGATCCTTGACGTTCAGCCCGAATCGCAGGGGCAACCCATGTGGAGTTTCCAGACATCTGTATGTTGCGGACTCGCCCTGCTGGCGGATAGGGGATGCAGTAGATTGGCGAGCAAGAAGGAATGGATGGATGTCAGGGTCTCGAGACGAAATCACAGAGTACACAGCAAAGGCAACAACAACACCAGCAACAACAGTGGTGTAAATGTTCCAATCGGCTATTATATCAGCCACTAGAGTGTCCAGCCTTTCCACGACGGAAGCAGACATTTTGATCAGGTTGATGAAGTGTCAACAGAAGAACTATGACGTTGAGGGGCAGAGCTGATAAGAAGGTCATCTTATTGGCTGAGGTCAGCTGCCCGGGTCAACCAAAAGCCCGCGAAACTCCTGATCTGCCAGCCACTTGGACATCAACATCAACATAACACAACATGGCTTTCTAATTGTCCCAGCTATGTGCATGCCGGACTACTAACTAGCAGTTCCTCGTTTAATTCTCACTCCAGGTAAGTGCTGGCCAATTTCTGTGAAAACCGTGAGTTCTCTCCCTGCCGAAAAAAATACAGTGCTTCAGTAGCTGATCTTAAGCTTCAGTCTCTGTTTCATTTCACCTTTTCTTTTTCCTCTGTGATTTCATCTTCTCGACGCGACAAATGGCGACTCAATCTCTCCCTTCTACTCCCAAAGCAGCGACCCCGCTGGCTCCTACCTCGGAGGGCACTGGAACCCCGGGCAAATGGCGACACCCTATGCTGGCTGAGATCGTCAGACGTCAGAATGCAGCTACATTTGGTGAAAAGAACGTGAAACGGCTGGTCTGGAATGGCGCAGCTTTCATAATGACATGTGCCCTCGGAGGGACCGTCAAAGAGTAGTCAGTGGAAGAGACCCTCGTATCCTGCGCATTCGGTGTTGACAGCCTCTCTTACAGTTCACGTAAAATCTTCGATGCCGGCGATGCTTTCCGCGACTTCTCAATGCTTCTTTGTCAACTTTTCCTCTTTGTCAATATCCTAATGGCGCTCTCTCCTCTCTTCCGACCGAAGGATAACCTCTCTGACATTCCTCTTACTCCCACTCAACGATCACTCCTCGGTCTGGACCCTTCTGCGACGCCGCCTGCGACTCCCGGTACTACCTTTGCCACGCCACCTAGATACCGTCTCTCGACTTCGCGCAAGCCTAGTCCTGCAAGCAGGCAATCCTCCCCCGTGTCTGCGAATGCAAGCTTTTCAGACCGGAGACCCTCCGCAGGTACTCCATACTCTCCTGTTTCGAGCCCCTTACTTTACAAAGCGGTTTCAAATGGAGGTATGGATTCTGGTCGGCGACAGAGCTTTGGTTCATCCTCGTTTGGAGCATCCTCGTTTGGAGAATCGAGTCTCGGTCCGAGTACACCTTCTCCACTTGCCGGTAAGCGCGCGAGCTTGGGGGTGAAGAACAAGTGGTTGTATGAGAGAAGCCGGCGGCTTTCTGCAAGCAATGGTGCGCTTTAATTCTTAGGGTTATAAACAATATTCTCAAATGGGCGCTCGGGTCACGGTCATGGTCATGGTGTCATAGCGATTCATTTTTAGTGTACTACAAGCATACCAAATTCTAAGATTACCAAGTTCTGAAAGTATTCAAGTTCTAAGCATGCACCTAGCTGTGTAAATTGTGGGCACTCTGCAGATCAGCCATCACCCCGTGTTCAGGCCAAGTCCCGCGCCCGCAAGATTGGGACCGCCAACCATCTCCAGCACTTGACAATACATCCGGCACCCTTCCCTGGCAAGCTACCCCCTCGACATTTACTGCACTCAACTCTGCATGAAGCTCACGACGGCGTGATTAGTTCTTGTCTTGCGTCATGGGGGCTTCGGAGTCCAAGCTTGTCTTCAAACAGGGCATCTTCCGCCTCTCCGAGGAACAGGAGATCCCCGCAGACGACCCCTACTGGGCCAGAGTATGTGAAGATAACCTGAAATCTTCTCCAGGGACATGGGAGCTAACTATATCAAAAGTTCTGGGAGCTTCCTGAATCAACCGAAGACGTCTTCAGCCTCTTTACGCCGGCTGACATACGGCGAACTCGCGATCATGCCTTAGCCAACTTTGAAACACTACTGCTCGCCGTGACCTCGCGATTAAACGTCTTGAGAAATCATCCCTCGTTTCCCGACCCCGATCTTGCTCCCGAGCGTGATGTCCTCAACTGTGTCCGCGTCCTCACTCGTCTCCTCCCCTATGTTTACGAGGCCGAGCACCTGGAGGAATGGGAGGACAAGTTTTTCTGGGCGCGCCGAAAGCGAATGACCCGGCAAGCACAGATATCTGGAGAGGTTCTCTTTGATGACGAACAACCTGAAGACGAGCAAGATCCGACGTCACCACGCGAGGCGGACTATGAGGAGACGAAGCCTCTCGCAGAGGAGTTGATAGACACATTGGTAGACCTGCTCTTTTTTGCCGACTTTACCATTCCCCGGCTTCCGAGTGCCAAGGGCAAGGTCTCATATTCAATCTGGCAGAGTGGTGTTGGCTGCAACACAGCAATGGGGTCCAACAAACAATTGGAGAGCAACCGGTGCGAGATTCTTCGCCTCATGCTTACGCTGACTGGAAAGGCCATGTATTTGCCATCAAGTAAGTTTGGCCATCATATATAAGGAGATTGCAATACTTATTAACTGTTCTAGATACATTACCTGTGCAAGGCGTCAAGGCCATTACCTACATCACAACTTGCCAGGATAAGCAGGCTGTTTTGACTGTTCTCTGTTCTCTTTTGAACACGGTACGTTGACCTCACTCGATGATCCGAATAATACTCACTCAAAAACAGGCTATGAAGTATAACCCCGCATCGTGGAGAGTCCCATACGACCATGTTGTTTGGAAGGATCCCAGGCAAATTTTGGTGATATATTGCGTGCAACTTCTCCTTGTTCTTTTGCTTTATCCTATTCCTGAGGATGGCCGTGGAGCACCACCGAAGAACTATTATCGCCATTACTTTGGTCGACTACATAGACCCCAAGACTTCCAGTTCCTTGTGGACGGCATGACAAGGATTCTGAACCAACCTGTAATTATCTCACCAGCTACCCATTCCTCTCAATTCTGGTTAACTAACCCATTTATACAGATGCAAGCCACTGCCTCATATCTTCCTGGTAGTCAAAAGTCGGCAAAATGGGCACCGGAAATGCTGGTCCTTTTCTGGGAGACCCTCCAGTGCAACAAGAGATTCCGGTCTTTTATTATCGATTCCAATCGCTCTCATGACTTCCTAGTTTTGTGCATATTCTATGCGATGGAGTATAGGATGGATCCTTCCAAGCAAGGAGTGGTTCGAATGTGCATTTTCATCCTTCAGACAATGAGCGCAGAACAGACTTTTGGAAAGAGTCTCAACAACAAATTCGAGGCACAAGAAACTCTACCGCAGTCAATTCGATTGTTGAATTTCCGAGGCTCATACGCCGACTTTTTGATCATGGTAGGTCTTTCGTTGATACGAGCAAAATATCAAAAACTAACTGCGGCAGTCAATTCATACCCTGATAACGACGAGCAAAGGCAATCTGGACACTGTCTACCCTGCCCTGCTGATCATTCTTAACAACATCGCTCCTTATGTTGAACACATTTCCCCGAGCGCTTGCTCGAAGGTCATTCAACTCTTTTCGTCTATGTCTGCGCCCAGCTTCTTATTGGCGAACGAGACAAATCATACTCTTCTTGCGTCGTTGCTCGATTTCATTAACATCGTGCTCGAACATAAATTCACTGGTTAGTCTCTTGTCCATCTCAGCCAACCATCTGGAGCCTTATTGACATTTTGTAGACAACCCATACCTCGTCTACGCGATATTGAAGTACAAGCAGCGCTTTGAAGCTGTGCGGGCTTTTACTCTCGAAAGTGGCCAACAAGAGATTGAACGACAAAACGAGAAGAGGAAAGCTTCAAGTTCTTCCGACGCGTCTGTCAGTCCAACACTTTCACAGTCAGAGGAAGATCTCCACACTCCATCCGGTGCGCGGTCACCATTGACTCGGATTCCCGAGGAGAACAGCCCATTTGCTATTGGTGGCGATGACTCTGACGATGAGAGGGAAGGAGAACACACTCCGTCCCAAACGCCCTCGGCTCAAACATCACGGAGAGCCTCAATGGCCTCCACCATCGATGAGAACGGATCACAGCAAGTACGAGGGATGTCCGAGAAGGCACGAGGAAAGAAGCCTGCTGGCAAGCCTTCCTTCTCCCGGCAGAACAGCATGACCAGTCAGACAAGCATTTCTGCTTTGTTCTCTGCTTCTGCAAGTGGCTTTACTCCGACTGTCCATTGGGTAAGTTCATACAAACATATCGCCTCCCTATGAAATAACATTCTCGATATTGACACTATCTCCCAGCTCGAATCGTGGTTGCCCGAGCTGCCTTTGCATACGATCCTCACCATCATCGCCGCAATCGCACCCCACATCCCTGATTCAGCTCTTCAAAGTACAGCAAGCCCAGAGGCCCGTACACTAATTCACAACCTCCCATCATTCGCCGAGGAACCTGAGGTCAGGGGTATAATCTCGGAACCAACCCCCGTGCGCGCGCAGTCATTCGAGTGGACCGCCCTTTCCATGGGCTGGTATGAATCGTTGCTCTGGGGCTTCATTTTCTCCAGCGAGATGGTCGTTGGTTCTGCTGGTGGTGGAACACCAGGCAGTGTTGGTGTCTGGAACGGCACCGGAATCCGCCTGTTCCGCGTTCAGGAGGCAGCCGCCCAAGGCCCTACATTGCTTGCACCAAAGGGTGCAGTTGATGCTGTCGGGAGCAACCTAGTTCAGCGCATTGGGAATCTGAGCCTTCGGGGTCGTAACTCCATCTCTCAAGAGTCTGGAGGTGCCTCTTCACCGAGTGTGCGAGAGGTCTAAGGTTATACATTCATGACGTACATAGCATTCATTCTCACGATATGACCTTTCATCGATAATCTCGGGCTTCCTCATGCAATCCGTAGATGCGTGACTCGCCCGTGGTTTCATGTCTTTTTAGCACACGTTTTAGCCGTCGCGCCCGAATACCATGCGTGTATATTTTTGACTAGACACTTCAGTAAGGAAAACAAAGTAGAATTGATGTCGCTTTGACTTGTTGAGTGGCGTACAACCCAAGACCTCGTTGAGGAACACGTGCACGAGATCAGCGTTCCGATTGCCGTAAGAATTCAATCTCGCTCAACTATCCTTCAACTGTGATACCTCGGCCGTGTCGTATCATTTATGAACATTTGCAAAGAGTAATGCTCTCTGTCCTCATGCTGTTCCTCACCGGCATTGTTGTGGCTCTGGTCGCGGGGCCGGTCCCTGCCATTGGGGCGATCACCTCCAGCCTGCAGAGCATCTTGAAGAACACCCACGGCAGCAACGAATATGAATATCCAACTGACCTAACTAGGAATCTTCTGCCAGTAAGTAACTATCTCAATTGACACGTCGGTGGTCAATTGTCTCGATTTGAAAGGTCAATGTTGTTGACCTTGGGGCGGATGTTTAGATTCCTGTTCATTCTCATAAGTACGGAATTGCCTAATGTCCAATTGACCAAATTCTAACTTAAAGAACAGCGACTACTGGCGCGATGAGCCTTTCTACACTGGTAGGCGTGTCCGGTCACTCAGTCTTGCTTGCTCTTAGCTCATCACCTACCAGGTCTGTCTCATGGTTGTACATCCACTGAAGCTGATGTCTGGCTTTATAATGGCACCCTTTATGTATGCAATCCAATGTAGTTTGCATTTACATGCTGATTGCAACAGGTCGGGCATGATCAATCCGCCTTGACGGAGGAGCGAACTCTCGAATCCTTGTATATCAATCCAATCCTAGATGTTCTCGAGCGCCAGAACCCGGAGAGCCCGTTTTTGACATCGCCAACTAAGAAGTGAGTTTTTGACCTTGATTTATCTACTCATTACTAACATTCTGTCAGCGGCGTTTGGGATACTGTTCCCGATCAAACCCTCTACTTCTTCATCGATGTGAAGACCTCTGGCCACGAGACTTTCAATGCAGTCATCGCTGCTCTCGAGCCTCTACGAGCCAAGGGCTACCTTACCACCGTCAAAGATGGCAAGGCTGTTACCAAAGGAGCCGTCACTATCATTGGCACTGGAGAGACACCGTTAGATATGGTTGCACCAGTGAAAGATCGAGATTACTTTTTTGATGCACCGCTAGCAGACCTAAACGACCCCAAATATGCCGATATTACTGGAGTCGTCTCGCCAGTCGCTTCGACCGACTTCGACAAGGCCGTCGGCAAGATCACTGTCGACACGGACCCGATCCTAACCGAGGACCAACTCAAGGCTCTCCGAGCTCAAATCGCTACTGCAAACGAGCGCGGGATTGGTGCTAGGTACTGGAACACGCCGTACTTCCCGATCCGGAAGCGCAATCTTGTCTGGAGGACACTACTACGCGAGGGGGTTATCCTGCTTAACGCCGATGACCTGGATGCTGTGACGGCCTATTTTTAAACGGGCTTGAATGACATCAGAATCGGCTGTATCATCTTACACTGCATCCCACGTGGCATACACTTGATATTTAGGTTTTATGGCGTCGGTCAGACATGAAAGCATAGAGTTAATTCTAGTTCTGTGGCGTATTGAATGAACTTCCATTCCTCCGTCAATGTGATATCTGTCTGCTGGCATCTCGTCTCCCGTTGCAAGTGTCCTGGGAAGAGCTCTTGCTTAAGAGCAAATCCTTATGCACTTCGCAGGCAGGAGCGGCACTTGTGGAGATAGTTTTTGCCGTCGATATGCGTAACCTGGACGTCCAGGGCAGCGCTCATCCTCGGAGTGCATGTGTCGACGACATTTGATAAACTCGCCTCTGGTGGAGTGACCGCAGGCGTAACGGATCTGCACCTGGGTGCAGTAATCCAGGATGTTGGACTCAGGAACTGGCATGTATAAGTAGCGCGTCTGCAGGGTAGCAGTTAGGTATTCTTACCGGGGATGTCTTCGTAGATTTTGTAAGGCATCAGCGCCGGATGTAGGGTCACGTTGCTCAAAACTCTGTGCCACCTTGTATTAGTACCGTTGAAGCCTTTTTCATGTACCATTATCTCTTGGTCTGAAACTTCTACTCGCTGTTTGGTATCTGCTTACTCTTTACTGGTCTTGGCTGGTGTAGCTGTAGATGTGGAGAACCATATGTTGGCTTGCGGCTAGAATGGTGGATGGGAATAGAAACAGAAAGTCCAGAGTAAAAGGGATGTTTGTTGGCATAGCGTGTCACAGCCAGATGCCTTATATATTGGTCCTGGGCGAATTTGCCATATTCAGGGCAACTTCAAAGACTTCCATGTTTGTTCACTACACCCGTATCATTCAGATCAAAGTACTCAAGTACCTAGTACTCCTGCTCAATCTCTAAAGCTCATAGTTGCCACTTACATCGTTTCATAGCCCAATATTGACACAGCAAGAGTACTCCATAGATATACTGAAAGTCCCTGGCACGTGATCTTCCCAGGGCGTTCAGTTGCAGGCTCCGCAGTTCTTCTCCTCTCAACACCAATTCAACGATTCTCATTGGATGAACAGGAAATGGTTTCAGATCTGGCAGATCTCTTGGCTAAGGTGCTCCCCACCGGGGTTGAGATCACCGTTCGACATGTCTCCTCAACACCGACCCCATGCGAAGCTCTCTTCGCAGCTGCCCCAGGCCAAGCCTCCGAGCCAACATTCTGCGAAAATCACTTCCTCTCTGTGTCAATTGACTCCAAGGATGGAGGGGAAATCATCATTTTCGGCATGGAGGTGATGGTCTATAACACGGCCCACCTAACCACCATCTTTGTCTCAAAAGCCGATTCGACAGGCCTCCTGTATCTACTAAAACTGCCGCGCAAGGTCTCAGTCCTGAGACTGGTTTCAAACACGTTTCTCTCATACCTAGCCCAAACGCGGCAACGGCCCGGGGTGCGTCTAGTTGTGTCGCTGTTCGCCCGCGCCCAGAATCAGTACCTGTTCCCGGGCAGTATCGAAAATGCCGGAAAGCACGTCCTGGATGATCGGGGCCTGATCAAATGGTGGTGTCGCGCCGTAGACCCGATCCTGCGCGAGCATGAGCCTGAGTCTGCCCTTCAAGAGACAAAGACGATGGACCAAGCCGTCGAGGCGGCCAAGGCATCTGCCACCGCGTATTTGATCGTCCCAAGCTGCGATCGCTTCGAAACGCGCAATTTTTTCCCGCCTACGTCTAAATCCGACGCGCAGGACCGACCGCGGTGGCTCAATAGCTACCCGTTGAAACAGCTATACCACGATCCCTCGGCTCCTCCCCGATGTTTGGTTCCCCGTTTCCCTGATGACCCCAAGACTCGCTTCCTAATTGATCTTGACGGCGAGCTTCCCGAGCAGGAGGAAGGCCAGCCTGCTCCTCCTAATGACGGAAGATGGCGGAGTGTCAGATCCCTGGAACAGTTCTGGGAGATGATGTCTTTCCGCCAGGAGTGCTCTGCTGGACGTCTGGTTGGCTTCTTATGGCTAGTTATCAACCCTCCCGGTCTGATGAACTCGACTTCGATGGAAAGCCGGACACGTGCCACTGAGACTGGTCAAATCCCCAATGGATCGGAGGTGCCTGCGGCCACTAAAGAGGATAAATCACAAACCGATCCCAGCAAGACCGAAGCACTGGATACATCAGCACCGGCAGCAGATGACAAACCTGCCGCAGCTTCCATTGAACTTCCCCGAGATGAAGCATCAAACGATATCAACCCCTTCGACTGGCCAGAGGCCGGGCGTGGACACGTTGTCCTCAGCGAAGCAGACTACAAAAAGATGATGGACTCCATTCTAGATCATTTCTATGACGAGAAAGAAGTCGTCGCTAGCACAAAAACATACATCGACCAGGTTGCTTCGCTCGCAGACGAGCTTACATGGGGGAAGAAGGTCGTCGGCAGCAACACCGCTAGTAGTGATTTACCTCAGCCAGCAGAAGGCAACGCCGGCAGCAACAATGTCCTCGACCTCGGATTAATTCGCAAGCGCAAGAAGTCCCAAGGTGAAGGTAGCACTCCCGCTGTCAATAGCCAAGAACCCAGCGGATCAAGCGACACGTTCCCAGCTCCATCGCAAGTGGCTCATGTGAATGTGCTCAACGCGAGTTTGGTTCGTAAGAAGAAGAAAACTTGATACATGGGCTGGTTGTTCTTTTGTCGGGATGTGTTTTTTGGAGTTTTGGGGGAATACTGCCCTGTCTTTTCTTGTTATACAGTACTCGGCATAAAATTAGTACGAGCAGCATCATTGGATTGCATAGAATTGCTCATTTCCGGGACATCCGAGTAAACGATGCATTTTGATATTTATAGTAGCTCGGGCGTAAGCAAGGTCCGATACAGCTCTGCTAACAGCTTGGATTCACGGATTGTCCCGTCAAGGCCACTCAGAAGATGCATTCCTTCATTTAGAGGTTCAAATTAGTACAGGATGACAGCAATAATCGAATATACATGAGTTGCTGTTGACTGCAGTACATATCGTTATATGCGGGTCAGCTCATGGGGCGGTACAGCCCAATCCACCGCCAAAATGAAATCCACCTGCATTTCTTCCCACTTCTTTTCCTCTACTCCGTAGAATGTCCTCATTGCCTATGTTGTCGCCTTCAATCCCATGCTAAAGCCTACATCCTCGTCCCTCTTCTCCTTCCGGTCCGCTGATGGCGCCCTATCTGTGCCCGTCGCGGCGAGCTGGATTGCTCTGATCTGGTACACAGTCGTGCAACTAGTATGCGCCTTGGGATATTTCCAAATGTACGACCAAACCTGATACCCGCGATCAGTATGAGCATGCGACTAACCTGAATCCTTGCCCGCCAGATGGAGATATTTCTCGCGACAGCCACACCGGTCCCGTCTAGCAAACGCCGCCGACGCACCGCACGTCACCGCCATCCGGCCAGTCAAGGGTCTCGAACCACACCTCTATGACTGCCTCGCTGCCACCTTCCGCCAGGACTATCCGCGCGACAAGCTGACCATCTGTCTCTGCGTATCGACACGAGACGATCCCGCCTACCCCACGTTGCGCAAGCTCATCACCGACTTCCCGTATGTCGACGCGCGTGTCTTCGTCGAAGAGGAGGATCCGCTGTTGCAGCAGGATGGAACCAATACTTATACGCTAGGCCCGAATCCCAAGATCCGGAATATGAGCCGTGCATACCGCGAGGCTAAGGGCGACATCATCTGGATCATCGACTGTAATGTCTGGGTTGGGAAGGGTGTTTGCGGCCGGATGGTGGATCGACTGTGCGGGACTGGAGCGATGCCGGGCAAGAAATACAAGTTCGTGCATCACCTGCCTGTGGCTGTGGATGTTACGGGGGAGAGTAATTTGCTTGAAGAGCGGCAAGCGCTTTTGGATGCTAACCGCCAGGCCTCGGATGCGGATGCGGACGTTGCCGCTGCCGTTATGCCCTCTGTTCGTCCGGAGGATGGGCCGGCGGCCATGATTGCGACGGGAGGTGGTCGGCTGGAAGAGCTGTTCCTATCCTCTGCTCATGCAAAGATGTACACGGCTATCAACACCGTTCTTGTTGCGCCTTGCATTGTGGGTAAATCTAACATGTTTCGCCGGTCCCATCTCGACTATCTCACTGGTCCGTCGCTTTCAAACCCCCAGGCACGCCATGCCGGTATCGACTTTTTTCGGAAAACATTTGCGAAGACCACCTGATCGGTGATCTTCTTTGGAAAAAGAAAGTGCAGGAAGAGAAAGAGCTCGGTGAACGTTGGGGCAAGCATGCCATGGTCTTTGGTGATCTGGCAGTCCAGCCGGTTGCGAACATGAGTGTGCCGGCATACATCGCCCGCCGAGTCCGGTGGCTGCGTGTCCGCAAGTTCACCGTTCTCCTCGCTACACTTGTCGAGCCTGGCACCGAGTCATTCCTATGCTCGATCTATGGCGCTTGGGGCATCACAGCTGCACTGGCACCGCATCTTGAGCAGAAAGGTGTGCAGTGGGCATCCAGTCTGGGAACCTGGGCTGCATTCTTTGCATTCTTCGTCTTCAGTATGATTTGCTGGATCCTGGTTGACTGGACGCTGTACGTCAAGCTGCACTCCGCAAAGGCTATTGAGATGGACGAGGGTACCCCAACTTTCACACGGCCCCAACGTTACCGGTCATCCCAGACTACACGTCGACCATTCATGCAATGGTTTGCTGCCTGGCTCGGTCGTGAAGTGCTGGCCCTGCCCATCTGGGTCATGGCTGTGTACGGCGGTGTGACAGTCGTCTGGCGAGACCGGCGCTTCAAGGTCGGCTTTGATGCAAAAGTACGCGAGATCGATCCTGCTGCCGCAATGCCTTCCTCTAGTGCAACCAACGCGCACTCTGTTCCAGCCCAACGTCCCGGTAGCAAAGCCGGCAAAGTCCGAAGCGATTGATGTGTATACGAGCCCATATGAACCTTATGTATACTAGAGTAGCATTTCGAGCCATGCATAGCCTTGCAATGTGACATTATGACAAAGTGATAAAAAAAATCAAAATGTATGAATATTGACAATAACAAAAAAATAATCCACAAGAATACCCATATCTTCAAATCTATGCTAACTTTTCCCCATCATTTCCAATCATATTAAAAAGACAAACCTCAAGCAGACGCACTACCCTCACCAGAACCCTCAGTAGCACCCTTCTCAAGACTAGCAGCAACATCCGAAGCAAGCAACCACTCAACAACCTGTCTGCCCGCAGACATCTCCCCAGCACCCTTATCCTCGCCCTCGCCCTCACCTTCACCAATAGTCATCTCAATCTCCTGCGTCTCGTCATTCTTATCCTGACCTTCACCTTCGTCCTCACCCTGAGCATCGTTCTCAAGAGCCTCCCAAGCCTTCCGCTCAGCAAGGAAAACAGCATCATGACCAGCATCATTCTTAACAGTAAGATCAGCACCAGCGCCAACAAGAGCCTTGACACATTCCAAGTGCGTGTTCAGTGCAGCCCAGTGCAGAGGCGTGTTGCCGGAGTAGTTACGGTGGTTGACAAGTGCCGTGCGCTGCGCACCGTCTGCGGCAGAGAGTTTTTGGAGAAGGGCGTTGAGGATTTCTGGGGGCGGGGGTTAGAATGACATTTAGATATAAGGTATGATATATATGATGGGATGATGGTAAGAGTCGAACATGAACATACCGATGTTTCCATTAGCAGCAGGGAAGTGCAGCACGCAAGACCCTGAGCCGCCCTCGCTCTGCTCTGCGAGGTCGATGGCTGAGGCAACGATCTGGGACTCGTTGCAGCTGTGCTGGCTGGCTAGATTGGCTACATCCTCGTTCAGGGCTTCGAGGTCGCCGGCGCGGGCGTCGTAGATGAGGTCATCGATTGCCTCGGCTGAAAGGGTGATTGGCACTGAGGGCTTTGATGTTGTTGAGGTAGACATGATGTGTGGTTGGATCCTTTTTCTTTGCTTTGGTGGGGTTGTTTTTGATATCCCGCTTTTTTGGATGATCAACTTTGATTCTTCTCTTGGAAATGAGCTTGGGGTTCTAACCTCTTTCAGGTTCTGTAATGAGAGCTAGTTGGTTGCTGAATTTGGTGTTTTCTGCTCCGATGCCAGATGCAGATTTTATGTAGCTAGTGGGGTGTCAGTATGGCACTTTGTCATAATTGCAAGACAACAAGAAGAAGTTGAGTAGGAGTCTTTGCAAAAGAACAAAATTCACCGATCTCACGGCTTTCGGGCTGCATGATAGTCTCCCCCGCAAGATCTTCATGCAATCCCTTTCTTGATAAGGGCATCGATCTCAAGCGGAACAAATTCAAGCCACAAAAGTGCATCAAGAGTTCGAGGGCTTTCCCCGCCACAAATTTGCATTCAAAATGCATAGGGAATGTTCAATCTCACCTTTGCTTTTTAGTTTCTTGCTTTTGAATGTGGTCTATGCCAGCCGCAAATGTAGTGATCGCCGCAAAAAAAAAGAAATGATATCGCGGTCATGTGACTGATAGTGGGGACCAACGGGCATATAAACTACGAGTATGCGGCGTGGTTCAGACATTAAGTGTGAATAGTAGAGATTCAAGTGTGGTCGTCTCAATCCGAGGTGATCATATTGATACATAGTACATAGTACAGAAAATTGCTCAATCGTGGAGTCCAGACAAATTGCCTCTATCCACATGCAAGGCAAAACGCCTAGAGAAAACACAAGCAAGGGTAAGCTCAAACGCCCCGAGTCCCACATCCAGTGGGATGGTATCAAAAAGCTCCAAAATGGCAATATGCGACAAGCAACAATGAGAAGGTACAACAAACAACCCCACCATAATCAAACAACGAGTCGGGGGCCTCCTAGTCCCTCAACCAGGCACGCCGTTTCTCCTCTTTCTTTTCGCGGCGTTTTTCCTTGAACTGCTTCAGCTCTGCTTTTGTCAACTTCCTGGCGCTACGCTCCGCCCGCAAACTGCGGCCGTCGTGACTGTTCGCTGCAGCATCGACGTCAAAGAAAGCATTCATCTGTCGCCGAGACTTGTTTTCGTCATTGTGGTTCTCAGGGTTGATTCCTTCCGCTTGCCATCTACCGGTGAAGCGGTTAAATGCTCCAGTTGCGGCGTATGCGGCGGCCGCATCCTGGCCTGCGGCAGTTGACTCGGGCTCATGTTCTTCATACTGCTGCGCGTATGGTGCGGTTGGGTCGTAGTCACCGTGGATGGCGGGGTTGTATCCACCAAGTACGGGTGCCTTTCGGGGTGCTTCCTCCTGACTCGTTTCTTCTGTGCCTGGTGCCGCAGGGACAGAAGCCTGGGGCACACGGGGGTTATCCCACTGCGAAATTCCGGTAAAACGGTTGTAGAAATAGTATTTTTGCGCGATGTGATCCCAGGCGGGTTCCCATCCATCATCCTCAGGCTTCGCTGGTGGGGCCTCGTCTGGCAGTGGTGGAGGGACTTCATCAGGCAATGGCGGCGCAGCTGCATCGTCCTTTTCGGCTATTTCGCTTAATTCTGAATGTTGCGTATCTTTTTCTGGCTGTTCTGTCACGGATTTTGGATCTCGTTTCTCGTTCACTTGCTTGCTTTGGTTGGTGTCATGTTTCTCTTCCGTCGAAGCTTGCGGCGATGTGGGTGGGGGGAGCTCCCTGCGCGCTCTGGAATAGCTGACGCGGGGTCTTCTAATGGGGCTGATGGGGCTGACATGGCGGTTAGCACGGGGCCTGTTTTGTATGCAATTGGAGGCGAGGATGATGATGAAGCAATGCATTGAATTCGCGCATTTTGCCTGTCGAAATGAGTCGAGATTCAACTTCACCGCCTCGCTACGGTCGCCACAGCGGCGAAAGTACGCTATTGGCGGCCCCCACTCTTATAGATCCAGGTCAACATCTTCTATCAATGTTCCTAGTTATTCCAGCACAGAATATCCTAACATCTAGTAAATCCTAGCTAGTACATTATTGTATCATACTGGTGGATAGACATAGACACGTCAATAGCTATGTATTCGATGGGCGGTTAATATGAATATATTGTGTGGCGAGCATGTCTCGCGACAACTTGACAAAGGCATGCTACAATTGTTTTTTCTCTTTAATATCCGGGACTCTTATGGGATGGAATCCCTACATGGGTATCCTAGCTTCAGGTTCATACCTTAATTTAGTGTGGGACAATCTAGGGTATTTATCCCGTATACGTTATTTAATTGGACATTTTGTATGTGCCACCCGCTACTGAATAAGCGGAACTGTAGGTTGCTAGATTAATACCAAAGGTAGGTGATACCTTGGCATATATAACTTCGCTATATTCAATACTCAAGACGCTACAGTTGTGAGAGCTACTAGCGCACATAAAATAATGATTGCTCTTGATACTCATGTGCTGATAAAGGGTAATGGGCTTAGAGGAACCGGTACTAATGAGATCTCGGCCGTCCGAAAGTAGGGACGTGTGCATGGCCAATTATGCCCGCAAGGGTCTTCTCCCAGTAAGATCTAGCGGACTAAATCTACGGGATGCAAACTGGTGTAAACAGGAGTTGAGCTTCCTATTTGAGATCATAGATATTCTGACTGCGAGCATCAGGTAGAGAGGCGATCACATAAGCCCTAACTAGTCTGATAACTGTAAATATTCGATTAAGGTATCTTATGATAAATCATTGCGATATGACGGAGTATGTTCGCGGGGGGTAGACCGTATTCTTGAAATTAAAGTTCTTTGGTTGTTGGTGTCTGAAATATATGTTAACCATGGTCGAGTTACACAGCATATACCAACTACAATCTATGAAACAACCCTGTACCTGTTCAGCAAACAAAAAATTCCTGACACAGTAGATGTTGCAATATCATACAACAGTACTCATTAATGCCATAAGAAGTGCTATATGCTCATCTCTTACATGGCGATCCCAGATGAGACTTATCTTGGAGCACCGTTCCCTCCGGACTCCCTAAATTCTTGCGTATAAAACCATCGGAGGTAGAGACAATAGAGACTAGACCGAATTGATGTTTATTTACACTCTACAAGTTCGATAAGTAATCTCTACGTAAGAGCATTCGAGTTGTCGATGAATTGCTTCGCCAGTATGACCTCATCTCTACATTGCCTATAGATCTACTTCACCGAATCAGACAACCAAATCAGGGGGATATCTTAAAACATTCTTTGTTAGTCTAATTCAAAACACTTAGCTACGCAAGGCAGAACGTTGCAGTAAGATCTACGAAATGCTGTTGCAAGGATGAAATGACGGTCAAAGAATCTACAAGGGCCAGTCTAGTACTAAAATTGTGATGTGCACTTGGATTCTGTAGAATCCGAATCATTCCATTCGAATTACTAAGTGCCTGATCTGATAATCGAGTTGAGACTTAATGTAATGAGCAAGAATTGTACACAGCATAGGGCAAAGGGGTACGGAACTATCGAGGGAGATATAGGCAAACACTGCAAACCGCAACAAACCCCGTGAGACGCCAGGGATTACTTCACTGTAACCACCGACGACATTATCGGAGAAAACAGTCCATTCCCCAATCGGAGGCTAAGGGCCCATGGGGCCAAGAGTGTTTACCGTTACGATGTCTAATTCTTCATAGCTGGAAGGCCCCCGAAACAATGAAGGGAGTGTCTCGACTCCCTGTGTACGGGCTTACTGCCCGAGGTGCAGCGGGCGCCCTTGCAGATAAGAGCCACACTCCACCATTTGGGCGGAATCCTAGTGGTCCTGGATAGGATCAGGTGTTGGCCATGAGCTAATGATGCGGAGCATGCCATAGTGCTCGAGGAGAGAGACCAAGCCAACCAAGGAGGGCGAGGAAAGCCCCTGTGTGGCTGGGAAATGAGACCCTCAGGTACAAGGGCCCTGTGACCCACTGAGCTTAAGCTTACTTTGGCCAGTATTACGTGGTATGAATGCGCAAAAGGATAGTGAAATGATTCATGCCTGTTTCTAGGGTCTATACCCGCAAATAACATTGGCAAAAGGATCAACAAACAACAAATTGGGCGAATTGTGGGCACTCTACGAGCCTGGGCCGACAGAGCAAATGAGCCGGGGCCAAAGAATGCCAGGGCAATCCGGTAGTCGCGTGAAGTGAAGTCCTACGATGGGGCAGATCCATACCAGAAGCCTAGTAGGGACCGCTCGTTGGCCTACAAGGCCTACACAGCGAAGCGATCGTCACCTCCCTTTCCCTTCTAGTCGCATTCCGGAGCCATACTGGAGATGACTCTGATCAAGGAAGCAACAATTTGGCCTTGGGACATAGGGAGAGAGGGACTCTCAGACCCTCCTACCAAATCTATAAAGACGAGGTCATTCAACGTGCTCAGTTTCTTTTCTGTCCATCCGAATCACACTTTCTTTCAAACTTTCCTTCTCTTGAAGCAGTCTTTTCTTGCCTTCAATCTTTTACTCCGAGTCTTCTCTCGTTTAAATCCAAATCCACTGTCACAATGCAGTTCACTATCTCCGCCGTCTTGGCCCTCGCCGCCACTGTCGCTGCTCTTCCTCCCGTCGGACCATCCTCCGCTGGTGGTGAGGGCAACGCCAACGGTGTCGCCAACAAGGGGAACACCAACGTCCGCTTCCCTGTCCCTGATGACATGACTGTCAAGCAGGCTCAGGCCAAGTGTGGTGACCAGGCCCAGCTCTCTTGCTGCAACAAGGCCACCTACGCCGGTGACACCACCGATGTCAACTCTGGCATGCTCGGCGGCACCCTCAGCAACCTCATCGGCTCTGGCTCCGGTGCTGACGGTCTCGGTCTCTTCGACCAGTGCTCCAAGCTCGACCTCCAGATCCCTATCCTTATTGCCGTCCCCATCCAGGACCTCATCAACCAGAAGTGCAAGCAGAACATTGCCTGTTGCCAGAACTCCCCCTCCAGCGCCGTGAGTACCATCAAACTTGGGAACATTGATACAAAGCTAACATCGTGCCCAGAACTCCGACCTCATCGGGCTCGGCCTGCCCTGCGTTGCCCTTGGCTCCATCCTCTAAGCGTTTCCCTGTGCTTTCTCGCACTATGCAAGATGCGCTGGTCCCTTTGCCAGCCCTCTGGGCCTTTGGCTCCTGGGTTTCGGCATGAGCGACGATGTGAACTGTTATAGATCTCGGGGATGGAAAGCAGGCTTTGGCTTTTGTTCGATTAGTTAGATGCCTGTTTATCGCGCCGTCCGTGTATCATTAATCGTGTCGTGTGGCACCCCTCGGAGAAGAAAGACTGTTTTTGCGTTATCGCTCCTGTTTTTGGCATGGTGCTTTCTGTTTCTTGCTTTTGTGCTTTGGAACCCTTTCGAGCTGCTGTCTCGACTTGGCGTCTTTCGCATATATAGTTTTAATTTATTAGACTCGCTGCATTTCTTTTTTATCCGACTGCCTCTTGTAGATCCGTGGATTCTATTGTATCTCACACTTCACCTCAGTGGTTCGCCTCAACCCTTCCCTTTCACTACTATATTCATCTTTACCCCCTTATTGGTCTCAAACCAGCCATGAATGTCACTGTCTTCCTCATTATTGAACTTTCTAGCATAGAACCTAAAGGAGTAGATCCCTTAATGGTCTGCCCCATTCTGTCAAACTTGTGAAGTCAAGTCTTCTCTCAATCCTCCGACGTAATCTAAGATTCTCAACTACCATCCCTTCCTTTTTGTGTAGTACTACCTAGCAGGAAACTTTTATTGTGTTCAGAACCATCTCATTACCAAATCCACAAAACCAAAATGACAAGGCTATACACATAACCCTAAACCAACAAAGGAAATCAAAGTATCAACAACCTCAGAAAGGCCTTCCCATCGCACTCCCATCCCAAAACCCATTCCTCCTCTTCCCCCTTGACCCCAAATGAGCCTCTAACCACTTAGGCGAAGCCGATGCAGGACTCTTCCTAGACTTAAACGAAAGCGACGAGCGCGGGCTATTCAATCCACAATGCTTCATCAGTAAACACTTCATCGACCTCCTCCTTTCCTTCTTCTCTTTGACATTGCTATTCTCACATTTCCCCAGAGAAACCACATCTACATCCTTCTCAACATCCGTCGAAGACTCAGACGGACAATCCTCCCCACCCATCTCACCCACCCTCCTACTAGGATTATGTATCTTCTTCCTAGTCCCAGTCTCCAACGGCTCCGCCAATTTTCTCGGCTCAAACGAACCCTGAGACATATCCAATTTAAAAACCGGGTATTCAGGCCTCGAAAGCGCCCCCGCAGCTCGATCATCCGTCGGCGAGGTAGCCGTGGACGTGGGCGTAGTATGCGATGCATCGAATAGCGTGCGGATTTGCATTCTGTTTACTGGGGATTCGGATGGCAGGACTGGTTCGTGGAATGAGTGATGGACCATTGTCGATGTGGACGCTATGCTGTCTGCTCGCAGCGAGGCTGTTTCCGAATACGGCTTGATTAGATCGTGTGAGTCGTCGTCTGGGAGTTTGATTGATTGTGTTGAGAGGCGTCTGGAGAGTCTGTTGTTGCGCATGCAGCGTGCCACTGTTGATATGAGGCCCATTTTTGTTGTTTGATTGCTTGGGTATTTTTCGTTTTTGGGTTGCGGTAGGGATGGTTTGTTTGTATGTATAGGGTGTGTGTGGTGTGGAGGTGTATATGTTGCCAAGATGAAGAGCTATACGATGATAATAGAGGTATAGCTTGCAATGTAGATGAGGGGTCCGAAGACATGCAGATATCCAAAGCGATGAGGCAAGGGAGGAAGATAAGGACCTAAATCGGGCTGCATTCGATTCTGGGCTGGGGTACGTCGGACCCAGGTATGTCACGATTTAATCATCATGGGTTGCTGGTCTCCATGTAGCTGCAGTACGAAGCCAGAAACAAGTTACAGGGATTGGCGAGTGTGTCTAGTTTGTACTTGTGCATGTACATGTGTGAAGCGAGGGTTCTGTATGTCTATTATTGCAAATCTTCTTTGGAATAGATGGGTAGCATAGCGGTGAAATAGAAGGTTTTGTATAGAACAGCTCTGTCTCCACACTACATAGCAGAAACGGAAGTGGACTATCGCAAGCCGTAAGGGTTGTCTTGCTTGGAGACCAATCATCGTCTATGTGCCTGGGACATCGACACAATATTATGATCGCCCAAGAATCAACGGTGGAATTGAAACATGCCCAATCGCTTCTGTTGGAAGAGCAGCTTCCTCGAGAATTCCCCATAGGATCTGCTGCATGCAGGGATATCTCCACATCCCTTTCTACCTCGCATAGCCAGAACTAGCGCTTTGGAGACCAGTGTTTGTCTATTAAGGTCATTTGAATTAGAGTGGATTTCTGGCGCATGGATTTATGGCTGCAAATTGTTCTTAAGACGTTGGCTCATTATTGTTGGAGGTTGGAGGTGGAGGAATGCCATTGAGTATCTGAGCGTGGATCTACGTGCTTGCCGATCCTTGCTGCGCGTCTCACGGGCCCTCGCTCGGGAATGCTTGGTGATAGACCGTTGGCTCCGCCTTTGGAATATTGGCCTATTTTCTAATAGCATGAGGCTATGGCGTTGATGAATGTGAAGTTGCAAGGAAGACCCGAGTATATCCAAAACGTAAATGTATATGTAATTCATAATATATGAAACAAAAGTTCAGCTAGTCGATTCTATTGGATCTTTCCAAAACAAAAGCAAACTAAATAAATAGGGCTCGGAACTACATGTGTAATGAGCCAACTTCAAAGCTTGCTAGTGGGGGCATCGCTAAACAGAGACCTGGTCCGGCTCATGGCCTCCAGGGCCTCTTTCTCGATCCGAGTGAGCAAAGCATCGCAAGTCGGGATGTCGTGAATGAGACCAATGACCTGGCCAGCTGTCCAGACCTGTGCACGAAGTTAGAAAAGACACTATCCATGGAGTATAGAGTAGGTTCAACTTACTCCGTAATCAGGGTCACCGTTCAAGAAGACCTGGCGACCACGCTTGCCGCTAACATAGGGTCCAATCTCGCTAAAGTCACCCGTCTTGCTCTCCTTCTCAATCTTCAATGCATCCTGGGTCACCTTGTTGGCGAACAGACGCGAAGTGTTCTTCCACCGACGAAGGACAAGAGCTGTGTCGGTCTCCTGTGCATTGACAATAGCCTCCTTGATCTTCTGGTGGATAGGAGCTTCGACAGTGCTCATGAACCGGGTACCCATGTTGATACCCTCGGCACCAAGAGCCAGGGCAGCAGCAAGACCCTGGCCATCGGCGAATCCACCAGAGGCAATGAAGGGCACGCCGAGCTCCTGGCGAGCACGGCTCAACAGAATGAAGTTGGTGATGTCGTGCTCACCAACGTGACCGGCACACTCAAATCCATCAATCGAGAGGAAGTCCACGCCGAGCTTGACAGCGGACTTGGCGTGGCGGATGGTCGTGCACTTGTGCAGGATGATTGTGCCGGCCTTCTTCAGCTGGGTGATGACAGGGCCCGGGTTGTTGCCGGCGGTCTCGACGATCTTAATGCCCTCATCGATGATCACTTGTGCGTAGGCGCCGTAGTCGGGGGGAACCATAGCGGGGAGGAGGGTCAGGTTGACTCCGAAGGGGTACTTGGTCATGGTGCGACATCTCCGGATCTCTTTGCGGAGGTCTTCGGGGGTTGGTTGGGTGAGGGCAGTGAGCTATAGGTAGTCAGAACATGCGGTTTATCTTGTCCTCAGACTTATAGAACATACAATTCCTAGTCCGCCTGCGTTGCTAACGGCCGAGGCCAGCTCGGCGTATCCGACCCATTGCATACCACCCTGCACCACCGGCACTGTAGACATTGTCAACAACTGAACGTGTTTGAAGTATATCTGTGATATAACACACCTCGAATACCGAGCTTCCGCGTCAAGGCTGTGTTGAAAGGCATATTGTAGGAACGAAGTCGGGGTATCGATATCTATCAGATCACTGAGAAGCTCGACTTAGTACAGACGCAACACGGCCGGGGACAGGATACTGACATGAACTTGGTCACTTCTCAAGTATACAAAGTGTATCGAGTGTACAATATAGTCACTAAGCAAGAGAGAGTGAGCAGATAATAAACCGTTGACAGCCGCGGACTGCTGTGGGGAAGGTCCGAGATGCCGAGGTTGGCACAATTTCTGGATTAGCCGGGTCTAACGAGGTATCAATGGTTGATTAGTCGTGGTTTATGCCGTTGAAATGATCAAATATGATCACACCAGACTTCCTAGGCTCGAAGCAGAGGAGTAGACGTTCTACAAAGGAACTCACACTCTTACATCTTACACTCTTGCCTTGTTTACAAGCCTGACCCCTGGACCATTGCATGTGATAGGAACTCGTGACCTCTTCACAAGACTAGTACAGTGCACATGTGTAAGTTATCTTGTATAACGTTAAGAGGCATCGGGCATTGTGTGTGGAACGTCCATGTAGTTCCTGGATCTATATATGCATATAGATTGACCTGGACCTGAACCGAATAGCATCCATAGCCGCTTGGCCGTATGCTAAGCAATTGCAGTTTCTCTTCTAAAGGATGTCCCAGTAAGAAATCCAAGTATAATCTGTCAAGACTTGGCTGATGTTCTACAATGCGATTGTGATTACAGTATGTGACCCTGATATGAAACCCCTTCTGCTCATAGAAAGAGGAGAACGGGCGATTAACGACGGGAGTCCTTCTGAGAGCCTCAAGACCCCTCGGCGATCACGACAGAAAGCCGCAATCAGTGAGGGAAAGCTAAACACGACGACATCATCCCAGAGAGGTAGACGACGAGAGCCGAGACTCTTGGAGAAGAAAGAAAAGAAACAGCAGAAACGCGAGAGAAAGTGGGAAAACAGGCGAGGGTCACGTGGCATGGTAGGGGGTGTTGGGAAGAACAATCTTCCGGCTGGTAATAGACGACCAGTGATTGGCCGAGTGAAGTCCCGGGAGCCAGTCCCGTGACTTGCACTCCGGTACCCGAGGTCGTCCGCGATTCCGAACGTTCGCGAGGCACTTGGGATTTCTTGTTCTGATCAACGAGAGCATATTCGACTCAATACGCTTCACCATGTTCTCTCAGAAGGTTGCTCAGCAATCGCTGCGACGGCGTATGTTTCTTTCCCCCAATGTCGCCCTTGTCGAATTTGCTAACTTGTCCCGTCTTCTCAGTTGCCGTCCAGCAGCCGTACGCCATGCGGTCCTCCTTGATGCGCGCCTCCCCCGCTGCTGTCGCTCTTGGCCAGAACATCCAGACGAGGTCAGTCACCCAGCACTATCTCGACGAATTGATTCTCGCCCATCCCCAGATCTAAACCCCACGGAATCCTACGTCATCTGCAAAAGACCTAAGTCGAGAACTAACCCGAGAATCGTGGTCTATAGACAAGTCACCTCCTCTCCCAACACC